TGAATACAACAAGGCGCACGGGATTGTAGTGCGTAGGGGGCCTAGGAGGGCTGTAGAATAGTGAATGTATATTATCATGATTCGTTGAGGTGGCCCGTGCACTGAGATGGCGGCCACCTAACTAGTTAGGTGGAAGTGGGGCAAATTTCGAGGAACGAGAAACTTGCACTACGCGAAAGCCACGGGTAAGGACTATACTGCTTAAATATAAAGTTAAACAGCTATACGTAAAGAATCAGCGCTAAAAAAAGAAGAGGGCAAAGAAACGCACGTATGTAGCTAAGGGAGGTGTTTTATTAGGGGCAGAAGGGTCTTCTCTTGCACAAGCTGCACAGAATATTACCGTGGAGGGGGCTCCAGAGGCAGCGAGCGAGCGGCCGCAGCGTGCAAAACCTAAGTGCAGCATGTGCGCATCAACAGATCATAATACACGTACGTGCGCTAAGAGGCAGGTAACTGGCTAGCAGACAGCTACATCTATCGTTACATAGAACGAACGTTATAGCCACATTCCCCTGTACATAGAAGACAGCGTGCTTGATGACTGTGCCATCTTTATCACGCGCATCGCGCCTCTGTGCCAAACCCCAGCGAATAATCGCATTATTCGGCTCTATTTTGATCGGCGCCTGCTTACGTACTTCCCCTTTGCCTAAACTATGGTCGACGTTTTATTTTCTTTCTCTTCTTCATTAGTATGAAACTTGCAGTCTTTCATCTATACTTTGGTTTTCATATACTAAATATGGTGGATCTCACTACTGGAAAGCGTCATGCAGCGTGTGACAAGTGTCGTGAGTACAGCATGCCGGTTCAGTACAACTTAGATCCCAAAAACTCAGCAAACGCTAGGAACCAGGAAGCTGAAGTGCTCTGGCGGGCTGCCTCGATGCAGTCGATGCTTACGAGAGAACATACAATGTGTATACTCTCTTCAAAAATCAATGGGCAGGCCCAGGAAAAGGCGACGCGATGAATCCAGTGACCAGCCTCGTCCAGACCTTGAACGCCATGGCTCGCGATCAGGAAGCAGTGCAACCACACTACATCTGAATTCAAATGATTCGGTAGCATGCAATAGTGGCGGGATAGAAGGAAGCATGACGAACTGGTTTGGAGAGCCGCCACAAGTGCACAGGTGTGTAGGGTTGAGAAGGTGGTGCTCCTTGAGTCGCAAAGCTAACGTGACGCGAAGTCGGCCTTCTTCGGCGCTCGAATGGCCCGCCATGGAGAGTATGCTAGAACTTGATGGTGCTACGGCTGTCCCACCTGACCAGTTTCCAAAATTGTCCTGCTTGTGCCTGTCAACCATGTACTTGACGCTTTCAAGTCTACAGTCATTACCGTCGTTTTCATTTCCAGTGGTTATACCCCCACTGCGATCAGCCTTGGCGTCCACGTTGCAAATTTTACATTGCCCGGATTGTCCTCGAGAGACTTTCTCCGGCATCCAAAATGTCATCACACTCACGTCGTTGTTGACCGCGATCGCGGAGCGTTACCATCGAGCATTGAAGGCCATAGACGAAGAGGCAGAACAATTAGAAAAGTCTGGTCGAAAGAAGGATTTCAGGGTCGGCGAAATGTCAGTGAATACGCTGCATCTGCACACTGGCGAGGTTGACTGTCCAATGGGATTCCACATTGAGCTCGGGGCTGAAGAGTGGAAGAAACTTGCTAAGAAAGTGATCAAGACGGAGGTTTTAGGTAAGGGCAGCAGCCCCACGCCACTCATCGAGGTTGTGGAGCAGATGGAGAAGCGGCAGACGGAGTGGCACTCTAGGATGCACGAAATGAATCCGGAGCGAGAGAAATTATTTGGGAGGTGCAACGATGCACATCAGAGTGGGGATGCCACTTGTTTGAGGATGGTGAAGCAGGTGCGGATGATGATCGATGCGATGAATTGGACGTAGCTGTATGGTAAATTGCTATCGTCCTGCAAGTGGACATCAGTGTCTTCCAATTGGACATTATTATCTTGATAGATGGCAGGCTATTTTGAATATAAAGCGGCAGCCTAACACCGTCTGAGGTGGCCCGGAGAGCTACCAGGCTTGCTAAAACTGTCACTTTACAGTTTTAATGATATATCGGAGGACCTCAGGCGGTGCCAGGTACGCATGCACAAGCACAGCAAGAGTGTGTACGTCACTCGAAACCACGGATTCGTGGACTGCCACTTTGTGTTTAAGAAACCTGGGAGGGACCATACTTAGTTCGTGTTAGGTGACAGAAACAACAATCATACTCTACAAGCCAATGAAAGGTACCGTGATGAGGGTGGTAGTGAAACATGGACCTCCAAACGTCAGGGCATCCACATTCACGTGACCTCTGTTTCACGATGGACTGCTTCACAACGGGATCGACAGAGTGGTTTGGAGAGTGGGCAGCGGGGATCTGATACGCACGGGCTGGAACTGCGTGGTGAGTCAGATCTCAACCTTGTTGGAACGTCCCAAGGTTGCGCCGGCGCGGATTACGAGATATTGTGCTGCCCTTCTGGGGCTGGTGAGGCTCGCAGAAAATGGCGTTCACCGCTGCTGTTGCAGACGGCTCTCTGTTCCCCACGCCCGCGGCCGGCCGGCGGAGCGGTCGCAAGAGAAAAGGGCGCTGGAGTGCACTGCCCGTTTGTCCCGCGTTCGTATCATGGTCCTCGTTCGCCCTCGGGGCGCAAATCGACGGTAGGGCGTGCTGCGGGGCGACGCACCTGTTCCGCCGGCGCCTAGTTTGGGCACAGCTTGCGATCACTCCGGCGCAAGGGCGGAACGTGCCCGGCTCACATGCGCGGCCGTTGAGACAAAGCGATGCTGGATTCCTGGACTGTCGGACGGCTGGATTGGCAGCAAGGCAGCAAGCGGGAGGGTGTTGCGAACGAGCGGGTTCGAAAAGCAATTCTCGCGCGCAGGCCTCCGCCTCTTCACGTCGGCCTCCATTTCGGCCTCTCGCCCCGATAAGCGCATCGGGACGCCGAGTGCGCCAGGCTCCGTGGCCGGTCCGACTCCATGGCCAGGATCCCCTAAACGCAAAGTGGCATCCACGAATCCGTGCCAAGGCCTATGCAAATTCTTCCTGCGCTAGGGACACTCGCTGTCGAGGCTTGTGTACAGCTGCTTGGGTACAGCTGCTTGGCACTGCTCGAAATCCTCTGGCACGTCTATCAAAACTATGAAGCAATAGTCCTCGCAAGCCTGATCGCTCTCCGGCCGCAGACGGAGTTGCACTGCCACTTGCTGCTCAACGAGCGTGCTGCGCAGTCCCCCGGCTCAGCTCGAGGCGCGTGCGCGGCCTTGCCCGGTAAGCCAAGCGCTGGCTGTTTCAAGGGCTGACGGCGCCTTCTGCGGCTCTCATTCGGCGAGGCCAGCGCCAGGACCACAAAAAAATGAGTCACAGCTGATTTCCAAGGTTGGCCCCTCGGTAAGCGATCAGGCAGCCTTCGCACTTAAGGTTGCGAATTCCTCGCTGCCTTGCCTCCTTCTTTTCTTCCTCCATCTTACACCAACTTCACACATCACAACACAACACAGACATCCACAGGCATGGCTGTTTAACTCCCTCCCTCACTCTGTCGCCCCCCGCCGACACTATAGCTACCAACGCAACACCAACCCACTCCACTCACCAACCCCCCTCAGAGTCTCCCTCACCAGGACCTCTGAACCCAAGCCTAGCCCCGCGCAGCTTCCGTTCGCCCCAAGTAACCATTTCCCCGTTCGACTTTACGTCGTTCACCACGGCTTCTCAACAAACATGGCTTCCCTCACCAGCTTCTCAAGCCTCACGGCCGCTACCACCGTTATCCCAGACCGAATTCGTCCCACCTCAAGCGGACTTTGTCCTGTTCGATCAGCCGGCAGAGGTCTCAAGGCCCCAACGTCGACCGAGCGCTCCTCAGCCTGGGCATTCGTTTAACCTCGATCACTTCTACGCAAATTCTGCTCCCTCATCATCAGTAGGATTTCAGCAACATCAACAACGCACCTGTACTCGTCCACCGGTTCCTCTTTTCTCTGGCAATAGCACCCCAAACATTCATCAGCAACTGCATCACCCCGGAAACATGGCTGGTAATACCTACCCATCCGCGCATCGCCCGTATTCACGCACAAATCTAACGCACGCTTCAGACATCAACGTGGCATACGACTCGATGGGTACGGGGCTCGGCCCGGCCTACGGACACCTTGACACCAGCGCGGATATGTGGGACTACTCGCCCTCGACATTCACACCTGTCAACGATGTCTCCGCGTCTGGCTCGACCCGGACTGTGTCTCCCAAGGACATTTTCCAGGATCCCCTGGCGTCGGCTCCAGCGTCTGCCGCGTTCACGAATCTTACGTCTCCTGACATTGGTGACTCACCATTCATCACGGATAGCTATGACACATCTCCACTGTTCAACGGAGAGAGCGATCTGCACGGGTCTGACGCCTGGTTCACACTTTTCCCTGAGAGCAACGACAAGACATCTCAGCCAGCATCCAACTCTCTGGAGCGCACTGCCAGCAGCAACTCCATGGCCCGGTCGAGCTCGTCAAGCACAAACTCTCCTGTGATCCTTGATGGATCTCACAGGCGCAAGTCATCGATTCAGGGATCTCCAGCCACCCACTCTGCGGCAAATGGTGTCAAAGCCCGCCGTCGCAAGGGCCCCCTTCCCCCTATTGCTGTCGACCCACATGACAAGGTTGCCTTGAAGCGAGCTCGCAATACTCTTGCTGCTCGCGACTCACGCCAACGAAAGTTCGACCATGTCTCCACCCTGGAGAAGAAGAACGCGGAATTGGAGAGCGAGGTAGAGAAGTGGAAGAGCATTGCTTTCGCACACGGCTACAGTGGCCCGTGATTGCCCATTGCGCTGCGTGCGCTTTGTCGGCTTGAGAAGCTGGGAGCTCCTTTTTGGCCTCGGTCATGTTCCCGAAAAGTTATGATTTCCTTATGTTAGTCCTGTGGGTCTCTTCTCCCTTCTATTTGGCGTGCTTGTCGCGTCTTGTATGGGGTTCGGAATGATCTCGCCTTCTCTGTTCTTCCTTTCACCGGCCGTTCTGATGTCTCTCTTCGGGGATTGACTCGTGGTCTGGTCATCTCTTAGCTGCGGATCTCTCGTGTCGTTTCTTGCGAACCTCAGGGCTTCTTCCTTTGTTTTCAGACGAAGGCCTCTACTCCAAGAAGGGATCACGACTACTATTAGTACTTGCTTCATATTATACACACTCCTTAAACATGACTCTAGATGAATGTGACTCTTGGTGACTCTGGACTGCTGAATCTTACTTGCTACACCCGTTACTACGTAATTAAAGTTGACTCAATAACATCAGCAGGCGCATGAGTCACCCTATAGATCTGAAGCCCAACTCGAGACACGATACCCTATCATGCGTTCGACAGCCTGTACTTAAATGAGGCAGTAATCATACTTAAAACCTCGATCTAAGTAACGTAGGTGGCAAGCGAGCTGCGCACCCCACCAACGTCTTCTGCCTTCATAGCTATATATCTCAACAACGCTTGAAAATACTAGTAGTAGGGTGGCTGTCTAAGCTTGGGCAGTATCTACAGTACGTTTCTCACACGTTCGTGAGTTATGCCTAGGCTGTCTGCAAAGCTTACAGCGCCTGCCGGCTAGCACCTGATGGCGCCTTATTTTGACGCGTTTCACTCTCTAGCTGCTGCCCAATGCCCCTTTAAGCATTAATCTCCTCTCCCTCTGTTATTGTCAGGGTGCCTTTATCCTGGATCTATTTCTTTTTACGTTGTCTGCGCCTTATAGCGGCCTTATTTGCCTTCTTAAGTCTAGAGACATAATCCTGCAGTAGCACCATTTTATAGCTTATTCCCTTAGCGCCCCTTATAAGCTGATTAAGCAACCGGATAATTAATATAGGAGAAGAATCCTAATACTTCTATATCTAATCGCAAATCAGTATTAATTAAGACCCTAGCTTATGCGCGTTACTTAGTATTTTTAATTCCTATAGGGTAACATGCGGGGTAGGTGGGGTTGGCGTCCGAAGCTTAATATTATGCTATAATAGTACCCTATCTAGATTATATAGAACTAGGCCAGCACTTTAAAAGCTTATATAGATATTATTCTTTATAAATAATATATTAAAGGCAGTATTAAAGGCTAGTAAGAACTTAAGCTTAGTAATATAGTTAATATAGTTGTATACTAATGTAACGGGTCGTCTCTTCTATACTGTGCAAGTGCTCACACAAGGCACGGTATAGGTCAAGTCGTCGTCGGGGTGCGATAGTCTTCAAAGGGTAAGGCAAATCAAGCTCATGCATAAGACGGGTTACTTCCTGTGAGGCCGGGCAGCTGGCTTTACCAACGGCGCCACAAAAGAGTGTGAATTGAGAACCAATCTCGATTCCCAACTGCTAGCTACTTATACGCTCACCACCAGCCAGCGCCAAGCCCCCCCTAAGGCCTAACACAGCGCCTAGCGTAGGCGAAAACCTACGCGCATCTAGGTCCAGTATATATATAACAATCGCCTCCTCTTTAAGCATAGTAAGTTTCTTTGAGTTGAGCTCGCAATCGCGTCGTGCACGCGTTCCAGCGCGTCAAGAACGTAGTGTAGATTCAGAGACATTGTATATTGATGAAGCGCGTCGTGCACTAGGCTATTGTGTAGAATCGATAGATGAGATAGCAAAGAAGATGTCTCCTTCGTTGTATAGCAAACGATTTTTATTTGGTGGAGCCATTGTAGTTACAAGGTGTCGCGTTGCAAAAAGTTGAAGGGTGCGCAGCTCGCTTGCCTGCGCAGCTCGCTTGCCACCTACGTTAGGGAAAGTGTTCGTGTCCTGCAGCCTCAGCCATCACAGCCTAGAACTTCGCATTGCTCAGCGGAGCACGCTTGTGGATGCTGACAGGTAGAGGACGGTATATTGGGCACTGTGACATCGATAATCGTCATTTCGGCTGGTGTAATATCGGGAATTCCTTTCTTAGGCAGAATTGGCTACGCTAATAGTGTATCCAATGCTGTGAACTCCGTCTTGGCACGCAACATATAGGGCGCGTTTCGTCGTGCTTGTACTCTCCAGTGGTAGATACCCCACCTGCTAACGGTAATCACCCATCATCGTCACAATATATATAGTGGTCCGTGAGCGTTTAATGTCACTACTATTCATAAAATATCTGACTAGTGGCAGTTTGAAACACTCTGACTTATCAAATTACTACCCTCCAAGATGACTCTTGTTCCTTCATCAACACCATTCTCTCAATTCCGGCTCCTTTCCTTTGACATCTATGGGACTCTGATTGATCAGGAAACGGGCATAGTGACCGCTCTCCTGGACTCACCTCACATATCCAAACTCCCACCCTCTCACCCGTTCAAAACATCTCGATCGGAATTGCTGAACGCTTTCAAAAAGCACGAGCATCCTATCCAAAAATTGCACCCAACTTTGCTATACAAAGATGTGCTCGCACGTACCTACAAGCGCCTGATATCTACATCTGGCGACGTACTAGGCGACGAGCCACTCGACGCCGCCGCAGACCGATTTGGAGCCTCAATAAAAGACTGGCAGGCCTTCCCAGATACAGTACCAGCATTGAAGTCATTGGCAAAGCATTTCAAGCTCGCACCTTTGTCAAACATCGACAATGCGTCGTTGAAGTTGACGCTCGAGAATGGACTCGCAGGAGCATCGTTTGATGCGTTGTATACTGCGGAGGATATTGGATCATACAAGCCGGACCTCCGAAATTTTGAGTACCTCATCAAACACGCTGGGGAAGACTTTGCTGACGACTTTGGGATAGAGAAAGGGGATAGTGAGGAGGTCAAGAGGGAGAAAGTGAAGAGCCAGCTCTTGCACGTTGCGATGGCTTTGTTTCACGATCACGTCCCGGCGAAGGCCCTGGAGCTGGAGAGCGTGTGGGTAGACCGTGAGGTTAACATCCTTGGTCGCACCATGGAAGGCGAAGATATCAAAGACAAGGCGAGTTTTGGATGGCATTTGCATAGTCTTGGAGAGCTCGCAGCCATGGTAGAGGAGCAAATAGCAAAGTTGAAATAGTGCTACAGCATATACAGTACTAGGACACGAATTTGGGCTATCGTCTTATTCATCTCGTCCCGTTTTGTGATGAGGGGCTGAAGCACCACAAATAGTGGCAAGTAGGCCTACTGTCAACATGTGATATTTCTCTAATTCAGGCTCTCCGGGACTTGATACTTTGTCTAAGCTTTCAGAACGCGCCAAAGCACTTCCAACGGTGGTGAGCTATCACAACAGATTAGTCACTTTTCGGGAATGAGAACACTACAATGCTCATATCGCCAAAAATTTGACATTGACATTTTGCGATCAATCGCATTCATCGCCTCTATATTAGGCAGCTTCTTGCTTAGCTGAGCAGCAAGTTTCATGGTACGTTAACCAGTACTAAACTGTGGTAATAACCAACAGCCTAGCCTATCCATAGCTAGGCCACTAACCCTAAACGCCTTGGTGTGTATGTCCATATAAGACCCACGCAGAAACGCTCATTTTGACGGGTATAGCAAAAAATAAAAATAAAAAAATAGACATGAAGCGGCGTTTCAAGTGAATTGTATCCCAAACCCCATTTTGTCATGGAATAGAGAGTAGCAAGAGTGCGACCCGAGGATTGCCGGAGATTACCTGGCAGTCGAAAAATAAGAGTCCTAGGGGACTTGAGCAAGCTTGTGATGCTCATCGTCGGAAGCCTACCATGCCCATACCGGACATTCCCCTGTCATTCATGCCAAGCGGACTGCCAGCAGAGAATTCCTTGACAAAAACGTTAGCAAGATTTTGCAGGAGAAGGCCGTCATTGGGAATATACCTTCCGACGCTTTTTCTTTGTTGAGCCCCGGCCGTCGTCTTCCCCGCCAGTTGAATCGGCAACATCGTCATCGGCATAGCCTTCCCCGTAGCCAACAAAGCTGGTCTCGTTGTAACGGCGCTTCACTCCTGATCGTTCTGGCCGAGCTGATTTGAGACCAGGTGACATGGCGGCCGGGTTTCTGCCAGCGGGGGCAGGCTGTAGAGGTCGTTTGCCGGGCATATCTGCAATCGATTTGGGCTTGACGGTCTCGTCGGGGGCTACTATGCCCTTCCATTTCTCTGCCTGGTCATGCGGTAGCTTCCCCGGGGCCATCTGCAGCGCCCGGTCAAGCAAACCAAGAACTTCATCGCCCAACCCATCACTTATACTCTTGCCGTGCTCCTTCTGGTTGTGCCATTCTTCAGCCGGCCACGAAAGAAGATCTCGAAAGTCCTCATTTGGATTGTTATATGGCTTGTTCTTACCAGCGAGCTGCAGGTTCTTGACGTGGCCGAGGTAGGTCTTGCGCAACGTATTCTTCTCGTTGGCAGTGCCTGGTTTTATTCTCTGAACAGAGGTAGCGATGTCGTTCAAGCCGTAGAGAGTGACGAGGTTTTGGGAGGCGTGCGGTCGCGAGATAGGATGTGCTATCCGGCAGCCTGTGTTAACCAAAACATCGGGCAAGACAGCACAGCAAAAGAGGGTCCTTACGAGTTTTACAAAGCTTGAAAAGCGAGCCCATGTCGGCTTTCAGCCGGTCCAAGCCTGCTTTCTCACCTGCTGACGGCGCATCACCTTGCCGATCGTGATTGGAACGCCTGTGCTCGGTCGACGCAGCCACGGCGGCATCGTCGCCGCTGGCCCTGGCAACCTCTTCGGCGGAATCGTCCGTCATCTGGGCATCTCCGTCCCCGTCCCTGACGGCAAACGAGACGGTGCCGGCAATGCTGCTCGCTGGGGTGGGAAAGGCGTGGTTCGCGACGGGCGGGGGTGGATGCGAGGCGTGCTGCGATACGGGCGTGGACGAGGGCGGCGTCATGTCTGGCGGATGGGCAGTCGCGGCTGCGATCGAGGACGGAGCGCCATTGGGGTGCGTTGTGTTTGACATGTACGGGGGTGAGGTTGGTGTATTGGGGTGGACAGGCGGCTTTGTCTGCTCGGCCGTCTTGGCGAGGTGATACGGCGGAGAGGCTGGCGAAAAGGATCCTGCCAGGCGCTGTCGTTTGTTCGGGCTGGTCGACATAGGCGCGGCCGGCAAGGCAATGCGAGTCCGCGGGGCAGCGGCGGCGAGGGCGAGATGCGATGGGGGTGCGATGCAGGGCGATGGAGCGGGACTTGGGCTGACGGCAGGCCGGGGGGCGGCACCGCAGCAGCGTCGAGCCGGACAGACCTAGGCGGCGTGCATAGATGAGTTGTAGTCGAGGACGAGGGTGGCAATCGGCGCAGGCGGTGGCGGTGGGCGAGACGGGGTGTCGCGGCGGCGGGTGGGTGGTGGTTGAGGTTGGAGTGGAGAGTCTCTGCTCTGCGTGAAGGCCTGGTTTGCGAGGGATTAGTCACGTGATCCTCGACAACACCACGCCGACTTGTCTCTATGCATTCACCTTGACCCGTCACGCTGCAGCCCACGCCGCCCGCACGCCAATGCCACGTCCACGCTGCAGCCCTGATGGACGACCGCGGCGCGCAATCGCCCTCGATCCCGCCGCCCGTCCCGCCGGTCCAGCAGCCTAAACCGCAGGCCCTGCCTCAGCGCTCCGGCCCCAATGCGCTGCTCGTGTCGCCGCGCCAGAAGGGCAATCCCATCCTCAACGGCGTCAAGGCCGTCGCCTGGGAGTACTCCGACATCCCCGCCGACTATGTGCTCGGCACCACCACCTGCGCGCTGTTCCTGTCGCTGAAGTACCACCGCCTGCATCCCGAGTACATCTACAACCGCATCCGCGATCTGCGTGGCCAGTACCAGCTCCGTGTGCTGCTCACCCTCGTCGACATCGACAACCACGAGGAATCGCTGCGAGAGCTGTCCAAGACGTCTCTGCATAACAACGTCACTGTCATGCTCTGCTGGAGCGCCCAGGAAGCTGGCCGCTACCTCGAGCTGTTCAAGACGTTTGAGCACACCGCGCCCACGGCCATCCGCGCCCACCAGTCGACCAGCTACCCGGACAAGCTCGTCGAGTTTATAACAACCCCGCGAAGCATCAACAAGACTGATGCTGTAGGCTTGGTCTCCAATTTTGGGAGCGTCCGCACTGCTGTTAACGCCGGCCCTGACGAAGTCGCACTCATTGCTGGCTGGGGCGAGAAGAAGGTCCAGCGCTGGTGCAACACGGTGCGCGAGCCGTTCAGGGTCAAGAAGGCGGCAAAGAGGGGGATGGATAGAGAAGACAGCCGGAGTGAGCGTCCATCGGCACCCACGCAGGCTCCTGGAACAGCAGCTATTACAGATGATTTTGTAGCTGCAAGCATCGTAATTGCAGCGCCTGCTATGACAAGCACTCTCAGGACCAAGCATACCAGCCCCAACCAAGCGCGGCGTAAGGAGACTACGGAAATACAGCCTGAGTTGACGCTGGACGAGGACGAAGACGAAGAAGATGCAACACGGCAGGCTACAGGGCAGAGGGGACCCCTTCGAGACCTCGAAAGTAGACAGCCTGCGTCTGATGTTCTAGTGGAGCGGAAGAATGGAGACGAAGAGCTTAGCGAGGGGGTTATGGCAGCATTGGCGAAGCTGAGACAGCAAGGCTGAGATATCTAGATACTTTCAGCATGTGTGTGCCATTTGATTTGCAGCTGCAAACGACTTGAATATGGTGAACCAGTAGCCGATTCTAATTGACCATCCTGTTGCCCCGCTACTGCCACTGGCCCGTGGTTCTCTTCTTAGCCTTACCACGGCGCTGTAGCCTGCCCCTGCCTTCTCCACCTCCACCATCAACTCAACCACAACACCACACCGTCTGCACGTTCTTCTCTCGCGCAGCCGTGCATACATGCTGCATGCGATCCGGTTGCCCTCCTTCACTGATCTACTCTCGGAGTTACTCATCGACACCTTCGCCTATCTGAATCGCGTTGACCTGAAGGCGTCTGTAGGAGGTTTGCTGAGACATCAACGCCCAGCGTTTTCCAACGTGTGCTCGTTGCCCCGAGATACCAAGCATTGGGCGCGTTTCAAAAAATCTTCCAGCATCCTATATATCACAAGTATGTGATTGTGTACGATGGCTCTGCGTACGACGGGGGCCTCGCCACTAATGAGCACGTCTACATGAGCCACTTGAGTCAATCCTCGTGTGCTGCCTATCGCCTGGATAGCTAGGGCCGACGCAAGAGATTCAGGCAGTACCAACAACTCTACCACGACCAACAAAGTATCCAAGAGTCCCTCATTCTCTTGCGTACTCTAGAGCGAGGGCTAGAATCGACAATCACCTACTCACACGGACCGCGGGAGTCTCAATCGAGAAGAAAGAAGTGAAGGACATTCTTCCGCTCGGAGAACCTCATTGTACCCAATTATTGACCTTCCAACAATTGACATTCCAACCATTGACCTCGATCAATCGCAACTACCGCGGCTTCCACTCCCTGATTAGTGCCCTTACTCTAGTCAATTACTCAGGCATTTGAAACTTTCGCGTAGAAGCTCCGAATAGAGATTTTGAGCTCAAGGGTACGATCTTCACTGACTACGCCTTTGACTTGTCCGGTCAAGCACAACAGCAAGCCGGCCTTCGTCTGTTTAGCACGCTGCATAGTCTAGACCAACCCCTCTCACTAACGATACCCGGTGCTTCTGACCAAGTATCAACGAACATTCCCGCTCACCTCACAGCGCTTCGGAAGGTTCTTCATGGCGCCAAGGAGTTGCGGGCTCTATCTCTTCATCTGCAAAATTGGCACCCGAGTCCAATGGTCATGTATTCACAGACGTGGGCACCGAATACCTCGATCGTTCCATTTGCGTTAGGGAAGACCACCTGGCCCCACTTGCGTTCTCTGAGCCTCGGGGGCTTGCATACTAGTGCTCAAGAACTGGTTGATCTTGTCCTTCGAATACGCTTCGCGAAGTCCGTTACTCCAACTGTGGCCTTATCGAAGGAAAATGGTCAGACGTCGTGGATAGTATAGTAGAGACTACCCGTATCGAAACCTTTGTACTCTCGGACGTTCACGAAGCTGTGATGAAGACAATAATATTTACCTATCTCTTAGTGGCAGAAATGAGGGAGTATACATACAGCGGACAGCTCCAAGTGGGAACCGGAGGAGAAAGGGAATACGTGAGTTTCCGATGAATTGTTGCCGGGCGCATTAAGAAAACTAATTGCGTTTCCTTACACTAGCTGCCGTCGCCTGGGCATCGTTCTGTATATTGGTGGTAGAAATATGTGCCTATGCGGAGCGCAAGATGAGCACAGAGGATGGCTCTCTTCAAAACAATATATCCAGATTGCGCTACCAAGCCGCGCGGGGCATACAAACAGTGGCACTCTTAGTTTGAACAAGCCGCGGTGGGTGTATGCCACTGCTTGGGGTCCTTCAATGCATTCCCAGAAACTTGAGCGCGATGGAAGCTCTTCGCCTTGGGCTATTTCAATTGTCGTTGAAGCACCCCAAGCACTGGCAGACAGATGTAACATAAGAGGACTTTTTGAGTGTGCCATTTCCCCCAGCGTACAAGCCTAGGCTATCGCACTACTAGCGCCTAGGGATTAAGCATACAGCAATAGCACATTAAACTATGAGCAATGATCTGATCCTGATCGGAATGGTTTTGAATTCTGGACGTGCCAATGGCGGATTGGCCCAGTATCAATTTAGCATTCTATCTCATTCGATGGATGGAAGACACACCCTTGCTTCTTTTCAGTTACAATGGAAACCGCGTACCCTCCGAAGAGGGCTCGGTTGCTTCTAATATAGCCTAAGCGCTTGCTCTGTTCTTTCACCACGAGTTGTCTTAGGGTCTTGGATTCCAACATTTTTACACCTATAGCTTCACTCTGCCCGCACCTAGCCCGTCCCAATCCCCATTTTGAAACGGCACATAAGACTCCTCACCTGGCGGCAACCAAAACAGCTTATCCCCACCAGAGACCTTCTCTGGATCGACCCCCTCCATCTTCAACCGTCCCTTCTGAATCTTCAACGTCCCCGTATACTCCAGCGCTGGGCTGAGGCGCAGAAATATCGGCACCGCATACCGTGGTAGTCTCGCTAGCGCATGCTCTGCGAGCCCTTTGTAATCAAATTCGCTCTCTTTCACATTCTCAGCAAGAACGAAGCATGCAGCGCCAGCTCGCCCGTCAGAGCGCGGGATTTGGACACCATAGACGTTAACTTCGGCGATTTGGTGGAATTGGCCCAGTACGTCTGCCACCTCGTTCGTGGAAACGTTTTCGGATTTCCAACGGAATGTGTCGCCGAGGCGGTCGACGAAGTAGACGCGGCCGTCGGCGTCTTGCCTCATCATGTCGCCTGAGCGAAACCATCTACAGTACAGATGAATTTAGCTCCTGGGTTCCTGAAACGTTGTGATCGTCCTCATACATATCCCAATGATTGTCAGGCAGATGAGATGTAGGAGATCGTGGACAAGGTAAGATGCTGAACAAGAAAAGTAGCACTCACAGATCCCCCTTCTCAAATACATCACTCAACCTCCTCCCCATCGTCGCCCCCTCATTTTTGTAGTATGTAGGCGCGCTGCCTAATAACGCAGGATCGAGCTTATGCAACACCTGACCAGGCTCATTTGTTCCCGCTTTCACCGCGAAGCCATTATTATCCCGCACAATCTCCTCCGTATCTACATCCATCTTGACCCTGACTTCGTTCTTCGCATTCTTCCAGTGCCATACAAGTCCTCTTAGTCCAATTGCGTGCTGCGTAAATGGTCCATGGTTTCGATTAAAGGTCGAGCCTAAGCCATCCGTGGCAGCATAGAGCTCGTTGATACACGGGATGTTGAACCGTTCGCGGAAAGGTTCCCAAACGTCTGGACGCATGCCATTGCCCCACGCCATTTTCACGTTGTGGGCACGTTCCAGGGGCGAGGGCGGTGCGTTGTACAAGTACCGACATAGCTCGCCGACGTACTGGATGATATCTGCCTTACTTGAACTCACTTCCGGCCAGAAGGTCTTGTGACTGAACTTGCGGCCTAACACTACTGTGCAACCAGCATGGATAGAGGGGGTGAGACACAGACCATGAGCTGCACCGTGGTACAGGGGCATACAGGTGTAGAAGCGGATGGAGGGGGTTAGTTTGAGGTAGCGGGCGGTCACATGGCCCACGAGAAGTTCCCGTCCAGTAGTCATTTGCGTGCCTTTAGGTAGCCCGGTGGTACCGGAGGTATATATGAGGCCGCGAAGGGTCTCAAGGGTGATTGAGTCGCGACGAGATTGAGGGAGAGGTCCCGATGAGGGAAGGCTGGTGATCAAGTCGGAGTTGTAGTAGAGGAGCTTTACTCCAGATTCTTCTAGTTCTGGGGCGCATGGTTCGACGTTGGGTTGGACGTCGCTGTCTGATATCAGGTATCTGCTCTCGCAAAGCTGTAGATGGTTAATCGTATCCAACGAGTCATATCTAATGTTCAGGTATTTTACTAGTCCCAGCTTGGAAAGAGTGTAGGGTGCAGAAACGGGGACGGGGGTGTGAAGGTCTTTGAACGGGCGCTCTCGGGCTTGGTTAGGGATCTCTAGGAACCTTTACTCACCTTTACACAATGTACCAAGGCTTTTCCTGTCAGGTTGTAGTTGATGAAACTAGGCACTGCTCCTATCCCATCTAACGCCAACCACAACATTAGAAATTCGGGGGAATTCCCTCCATTTAATGCCACCACCTCTTCTGTCTGAACTCCTAGGTCGTTCATTAACCAAGCTCCCACTTTAGTCACATGATCGAAGAATTCTCGGTACGTGAACTCGCGGCCTTCAAAAATGAGGAAGATATGGTTCGAGACGTTATGCAATGCCTGTGCTTCGAAGATGTCGTAGGTAGTCAGTTTGCGGCTAGCCGCTCGGTTGGCGAGCCAGGCAAATTCGGCATCTGTAGGGGTAAGGGTGCTCCCGGAAAGATCGTGAATAAGGTGGTATTTTGCGTTTAGATAGGCCGCGAGGGCGGTAGTGCCAGCTACGCCGGCGAGAATGGGAACTGCGGGTGTGAGTTGTGATTTTACAACATTGAGACTGTCCATGGGGATGAGGGCTGAATAATGACTTGGAGAGCAATTTGTAGGTTGAATAGGAAATAATGTATAGAGGGAAGCAAGAAGGTGAAATAGGGTAACGTGAGGACTAGGATAAGCTTCAGAACTTACGCGCCATGTTCACAGCTCAATTTTCTTGTCCGAATACACAGGTATCAAAGACAACAGCTAAACGACACAGGACGAATCTAGATGCAAGAAAAGCTGTCTATCCACTAGTCCACGCCGAAATGCAGCTGAAGACACACTCTTGGCACACACAGAAGAACTGAGGGACCATCGCCACAGGGGAGCTCTTAAAGTGCCGCTCTCTGAGGGGCATCATCAAGCCGAGGCTTGCAAGGAGAGCTGACGGCGGTGGCAAGCAGGAAGCGGGCGAGTCAGCGTTGAAGCTGGAGCTCTGAGAATAGCATAGTCGACCCCAAACTGCGGGGAAAGTTTATTCCTATTGCATCCGGGGAGTTTCACCACCGTGAAGCATGGCTCGAACACAGTTTTGTCCTCAGTGTTCATCGAACCCATTCTACTTCGCTTGTAGAGGAGCGGTGATGAATTCAGGGGTCGTCTAGCTTCGAGTTGCTCGGCGGCCGCGTTGTAGCAATTCACATACTGGTTTCAATCCTTCCTTCCTACCTTGACCCTCTACATCTCACCAAGCATTCACTTGAGCCCACCCAAAAACTCCAAGATGACTGTATAAGCTATCATACCGCTTTCGGAACACGATCCGTCGACCCTCTCAACCCCACAATGCCGGAAACATACATCCAAAACCTCACCCACTTCACGACCTTCCTAACCGCCTACACCCACACCCTCCTCGCACTCCGCAACCTCTACCCCCGTGCCACCTTCCTCACAGCTCGCTTCCACAACACCGCCATCTTCCAAAACCGCCACCCAGCCGTCTGTGCCTGGATCACCGACGCTATCGCTGCTGTCCGCACCGAGCTGCTCAAAGGCACAGTCACGAGAATGGTGGTGGCTATATACCATGCGGCCGACTCACGGCGCGTGAATGTGATGGAGCGGTTCGTGATCGACGTGGCCTCGTTTCTGCAGGTCGGGAAGGCAGATTGGGAAACGGATGTGCAGTTTGCGCCAGAGCCCGAGGTTGTGGATGATGACGGCAGAGGGAAAGGGAACGAGAAGGCGAAGACGCCGCAGTTAGATGCATCTACGGACCCAAATCTGTCGGAGCAGTTTCGTGCTGCACTCACGCTGTTGCATACGCGTTGTGCTCAGCTGGCGCCACTGCCACGTGATTGCAGCTTCAATATCGCCATCGAGTTGAAGGATGAGGTGGATCCGCCAGTTGGACATCCGCAGCCGTGGATACCTGTGGAGCCTAGGTTACAGAGGAGCTCTAAAGGATTAAATTTTCGCGACAGACCGATTCGTTCGGACAGACCTTCGTGGGACGCCACGCAGGAGGGTGGTGATGGCGAACTAGAAAAGGAGGGAAAAGATCTAGGTGGTGTAAAGGTTACGCCTATTAGGGCCGTCCAAGCAGGCGTGCTGAGGTTTGAAACGTGGATGGAGGAAAGCAAGGCTAAGTACGAGATGGCGGCCAGGGAACCAGACACAGTTGACAGTTCGAGGGACTTTTGATTGCCGGCGTGAGAAGATCTTTCGGCATTAGATATGGGGGATGATGTTTTCGGTTGAACTCGCACTATTCACGGGTAATTTAGCCTGCATCTCCTTCCTCTATCGTGGCTGCTATGACTATCTCTAACGTATTCTATAGTGGAGTCCAAGCCCGCGGCATTGAACTATATCGTTAGCACATAAGCTTGCGCATGCTTGGATGCCACTCCACGTGGGGCTTCAGGTGCTCGGGTATACATGATAAAGTCAGTAGTTGACTATTTTTCTCAGGCTGGCGAAGCAAGGTAAGGTGCCGCTGAAACGGTAACTATTCCTACTATATAGACATAATTCCAAAAACATATGGAATCACTCTTCCCAAATCTCGGAGTCTATTATTTATCTTTCATCATATACCCCAGGGCTTAATCCGCGATGCCACCCATTTTCGCGACAAATCGACTTGGGACTCTGGCGAAAAGGGTGCTTTGTGTGAAGAAGCATAATGATGCTTAGGAAGTGTAGTACATTTAGATTTGTAGCTGCATGGATATTAAAACGTGCGTTATTTTAGGGAATGTTTTGATTGTAACAAATGTGAGTGAGCCAGAGCGGCTTCAAAAAAGCTAACTACCAATTGCACGAACTCGGAGGACAACATCCCTGTTCGATTGTGTGACTCATATGCAAATAATAGTAGGAGGCTCCTTATCTTGGGATGGCAGCATTGTTTAAACGCTACCTATAAAGTAGGCAGTGAAGAAAAAAATGTAGTGCCGAGGTGAATTTTGAGCTAGTTCTTGGCAATACGATGACGTGTTCCAGTCCTGAAATTTCTCATCTGCCTCACAATAGTAATTCACCCCGGCTCCAACTCCCGTGGCCAACTCCAGCCCAGAGTGAATAGCGTTGGGTGGTGGTATTGTTCGTGCACGGACCAGGGATCTCTTCTTATTGTTCTATTGAGACCCCTGTCTAGCGCCTCACATCGCGCTATTCACGACCACAAACGGAAACATCCCAACCACGCAATATCACCGCACATCGTCCTAGCAACGGATACGATTGGTCGGATGCGGTGGCCCAGCCTCAATTCCGCGTGTTATGCTATTGTGGTTGTGCTATTGTGCCCTGAGTCAGTCGAGATCGGAATGCAGGAGCGACGGGGCGGGGCGGGCTAGGTGACACGGTGCGAGGTCTGAATAAGGCGGTGTCACACACAACAAAACGACGGACAATAGCAAACGCTTGCACGTGCAGCACCGTGGTTTCAGCGCCTGATGCTATTGTGCGCTGGACAGGGTTGGATGAATAGGACATGTGGTACTGTGTCACAATAAGAGCAGGGCGTAGGGCGTGTTTGTGTCAACCTTCTTATTGTTATCATTATCCGGCATCTCTTCCCTCTCGATCTGTTCCTTCATCAATACCGTCACTGCAAGACATTGTCTGAGCTGGGGCTATTGAGAGTGTTTGCACAGTCGGAACTATAATTCATCTATCTACATTTATCTGCCATCTATACCCACATCTACTGTTCATCTGTTACTTCCATCAACCATCTCTGCATACATATTCGTCCTCTCCGCCGAGTCTTCAAGCCTCACGATAACTTCCATCCATCAAACTCATCGACCACCCTACTACATCGGCTCGTCAATCACAAAATGTCGGCCACAACAGCAACCCCACCAACATCACTTCCATCACTTCCATCACTTCCATCAACCACACCCATGACTCCTCCACCACCCGCCTACACGCCCACCACCCGGCCGCCCCTCCCTCAACCCTCAACAAACCTCCCCTATACCGCCAATGCCAACTTCACCTACAACCCCTACAACCCTTTCGCCGGCGACGATTCCGATGCCGAAGACGACGACACAAATCTCGTCATCAACGCCTCGACCCAGATCCGCGGCTCAGGAAACGTCGTCGCCATGCCCCTCATCGACGCGCCGCGTATCAGCGCCGCGCTGTTCTCCGTCCTGAAGACACAGGGCACAGGGAGGAGGGGCACCGTCAATGTGCAGATTCATTGCGGGGTGACGATTGTTGGGGAGAGGAATGTGGTGGGCTTGCAGGGGTTGGGGCTACGGCCAAAGGCTACGGCGGCGACTCCGGCGGCAGCGCCGGAGCCGCAGAAAGACGGGGAGAGGGAAGGGGAGCGTGTTGAGGAGGTGAGAAGTGGGGCTGGTATGAAGAGGAAGGCTGACGATGTATGTTTATTTGCTAATTGAAGCGTGAGGGCCAATGCTAATGAGAATAGGATATTACGCCTCCAGCCCCCAAAGTTGTGAAGGTTGAGAGCGCCTAGCCTCATCCTCCGTTACTACGCTCTCTCTCGATTGGGCTGCCCCTATAATGCGAATATGATTGGAGATATATTTTTTGGATGTTTACCTTTGCTCAAGCACTGCGACTGTTTTTTCGAGGAAGGATAATCAGACTGTCATGCCAACGATACGGCTATGGGTTAATTCCATCGAGTATGTACTTGGGAGGGGGCTTATTCAAGACTAGACTGTCATTCTCATCAGCGACCTCGATACGAATGTGGGTTTATCTGGGAGGGCATGGAGGAAAATGAAGAAATCAATGGATTGGAAGCGGGTATCCATATGAAGCATATGGAGTAATGAAAATGAGTTATACATAACCACAACCACCATGACTGAGGGGTTGAGATCTGGAATATATTTGGAATTCAGGCAGAGTGGTGCCTTCGTCTAGTTTCGCCTCTAGCTTCTTCTTCTAGACGTTTTCCTTGCACGTTGTGTATACTGTAAGAGGCCTCCGCATGTGCCCTTCCGATATTTCCTACCACTCCCACATAATTCTGACACTGGGAGTATGAAATGGATGGCCTCTGTTGTGGTCACTCCTGCATTCTAGGCGGTTGCTAGGCTACTGAGAGGACGTTAACATCAGCGATGATCGCCCAACGGCACAGGAAAGCGACGCGCCTTCGAATTGTTCAGATGCAAACCGTTACGTGACCGCTGCCGGGGGATTTAGAGCTCCGATAGATAATGCCAGATATGACGACGTGCGACGAAGAATAGAATAAAGGAGAGCGGTCGTAGCTACGAGGTGAAATATCGGTGAGAGTTTCAGAGACCAGGGATCCATCAATTCTTCCGCATTGCCAGTTTCCAGAAGCGGCACACTGTGCGGCTATCAAGCGCGTTGAGCCTCAAGATGATGATCGACCCTGGAACGGGAGGCGATCAAAAGGCGCGGGTGGTGGCAACTACCTTGCTCGGAGCGTGCTGACACCGTTTGAAATTGCGAGAGGTTCAATTATTAAGACCACATCTGTAATTAATTTTGGAGGTACGTTGGAGACTGCGAAACTTGGCTACTGATTTTAAATTTCTCCGAATAGCTTCTGTGAATCAACAATTGGATCAAGGAAGTTGGACTTGAGTATTCCTCTAAGAACTGTTTGAAGATGGGAATCAAGTCTTAGTGTCGGAGAGCACGCATGAAAATCGGTGCTGACTTCAACGGCAAACCACAACCGTATCTCGGTGACCGACTGTTTCTGAATGCACTCTTGCGACAAGAATGAAATGTAGGACAAAAGATACAAGGAAGTAGATTACGTGACCAACCAATGCTGGTTCACAGTTGAGACATGACTTTGCGCATGCTTTACCCTCTGGTCTTGGCCTCATTCTCGGCACTCAGACAATGTATTGGACTACCCCGAACAGCTGCGAGATAGAAGCGTTTGGAGTCATTCAAGTCTTCGCTCTCTAGGATTCACATCCCACCTAAATTTCTGGAAAGTGCCGAGGGGCCTTGGACAATGGCGAGTAAGTATGCACAGACTTTTATTCATTTCCTCATTCCACACTACGGGATCGGTGGAATCGGGCGGGTACCTTTGAAGGATCGCCAAGGATGGCGGATTCGGGACTCACATATTGCTTACCGCATCTTAACAACTTGGCAACATCAGACAGCAGCCGAAATAGTGGGGTGTCAGCGACAACGGGCCGGCGAAAAGCTTCAAACGCATAATGAAACCTTTTTCGATGTGGAAGATCTGCGCAAGTGGGAGAGCGCATATGAAAACAAGCAGATGGCGAACGGTGCACAGAGCATCGGACCCAAATCATAGAGAAACGTGGACGCCACGATGGACGTGCGGAGAAATTGTCCCGACGCAGGATGAAACCCGCCCGCCGTTATGGATACGCGGAGACGAGAACGAGAAGCACGTTGTGCGGCGGGCGATAAGAGAGGGAGGAAATGATGGCTCTTTCGGCACAGGCACAGCCTGGGAGGCCCTCGCGTCTGGGTCGGTTCCTCCAGGAGGGACCGCGTGCGTGGTTTGACATTGGTTTGAGGCCGAGCGGCGATGTCGCGAGCGAGCCCACGCGGGGGACGGGGTTGCGTCAGACGCCTCGAATGCAATCAGTTTCAGCGTGCCGGATAAGTGGACGCTCCTAGTCGCTTTTCTGGAAGGTCGGCGAGGGCGGCATAAGGATGTGGTGTTTAAATTTGACATCGGCCGCCGAATACCACGGAGACGGGTGGTTGCACGACTGGGGCCTCGGATCGACGGCTCTGCTCGTGACGGCATCGGCGGAGAAGGCAGAGCGAGCGCGTGGGTGTGACGGCGAGAGGACATTAAATGAGGATCTCACGATGCGCACGCTCTGTGTGGTTTGCTTTTGGGGGGAGGGTGGTCAGTGGGGACGAAGCGCTTCACATTCACACGCCAAGGGGCGACGTCCCTGGGTGGCGCGCGGCTCCATGAGGAGCGAGCGTGCCAGGTGCAACGGCCACGAATAGATGGCTGGTGGATGTGACAAGCTGGCGGCTGAGGCGATATTGCTTTGTGAAGCATCGCGAAGTCGTGGGCACGGCGTGCTGCAGCTGTGCCTTGCGGCGGCGGTGTGGTGTTGTCGCTGTCGGATGCCGCAGCCGGGCCGTGACGGGAGGGGTTCTCGGGGGGCGCTGTGAGTGGTGCATCGGCTGTTCCTGAGGCGTGAGGGCGACGGGACAGACGGCGGCGCGAGTGGTGGCCGTTTCACTGGCCCTGGATGCGTGCCGGAACGAGTCTAGCACGCGGGACCCCTGAATTAGCTCGTGAACGCCAGTGCCAGGCACGCCAGGCACACTTTCGCAGCGTGCCCCGAGAACGACGCCGTGCATGCTGCTGCCCAGCGGCCCAGGTGCCGTCGGGGTGCGGCGAGCGTCGAGGTCGAGAATAGCATTGCAGCAGTCGCCAAACAAGTGCTGCCTGGCTTCAATGGAGTCGAGCTGCCTTCTCAGCGGGAGCTCAACGCCACGGAGCGTCCGACGGCGATCGCGCAGGGCTCCAGGTCAAAACGAGGCCGCTCCCAAACAGCCCACGCCCGTTGCCTGCGAATCAGCGGCCGCATCAGAGGCCCTCGCCCGCGCCCGCGATCCTGCTGCAGCGAGTCGCGCGGCCTGAAGCACCCAAGCCGCCAGCCCAGCCCCCCGGTCCTCACCGCTTTCGGCATCCCTCCCCTCGCACGCCCAACCCTCGGACGACGTCCTCTCGAACGGGCCACGGCTGCACTCCTCGCCCACAAGTCCCCGTTCCTGTGTGCCAGAGCCTGCCTCACGCTGCCGCCCACGACAATCGCTGCCTGGCCTCATCGCGCGACGACGACAGCTCGTCACCTCTCGCCGCCAAACCGTGCCGCTCAGCCTCAAGCAGTCCTCCCCCGCCCTCTTTGACAGAGCCTGCGTCTGCGTCGCTCCCTACTGCGAGTGCTGTTTCAACCTCTGACACTCCCTTCTTTCTGCCACGAAACACGCTGTACCACCGTCTGCTGGAGCTGGCAGCCTGTCTGTTCATACGCCCAACACCACTCTCTTCGCACCTGGCCGAAGGCAAGTCCCTGCTGTGCCCACCGGCGAACCCCCTCTGACGCCAGACTGCGCGATAGATCACAATCCCTTCGCCGTTGACTGTTCTTGCGGCCTACCGCGCCATACCACGCCTACCCTGCATACACTCATCCCGCGCAATTGGAGGATATTCGAGGGAGCATACGCGCAATCGGCACCGTCTGCCGTTGAAAGAGCTTGGAGCCCGCCGTCGTAACTGGAAGGCCGAGCCACCTCATCCGGAAGGAGCCTCGAATTGCACCCCACCACCACTGCAATCGCTATGAAGTCGCAGCTGGCATGCTAAGCGTCTGTCCTTTACTTCATGTCGAGTCCCATACACTGTAACCACCTGGACTCGTCTCTTGCCGTCTTTTATTCGTCCTCCACCCGCCTGGAGCTGCGTCTTGTATCATGAGCAACCCGAAACCGCTCGTTGAGCTGAGCGGCCACTGCTCCATCATCAACAACCACACTCTCTACGTCTACTCGCCCGCTGCTTTTCAGTCGATCGACTTGGCTGAAGGGGCAGAATGGAAGCCGCTGCCAATGGGTGTGTCGGTGACTGGCGGCCAATGTGTCAAGGTTATACCAACTGGCGGTGACGCCAGCCAAGCGGGCCTCTACATTGTAGGAGGAGCCGTGAATGAGACTGCCAGCAGTTGGAATTACCCCGGGATCCAGCGCTACTCTTTCGCCGACGCGACGTGGGAATGGGTCAACCCCGTCGTCCCCGTCACCCAAAACCGACAGAACCACGCCGCAACCTACCTCAATGCCTCGTCTTCAATTCTCGTCTACTCTGGCTCGCAAACAACCGGAGACACTGGCCCTTCATCACAAACCTTTCTCATTTCCACACTACCGCCTTATGGAGTACAGGCCTATAGTTCGACCGCGCCGCCTGCGGTCATGCCTATGCTTCTGCCATGGGACGATAGCCATGCCGTTATGATTGGAGGAGACACCCAGAACAAGGCTGTATGGACCTTCAGCCCTGCCGATGGCTGGCAAAACCTAGGTGCGACCTTGGAGAAACCCATCGAAAACCAATCGCAAATTCAATGCACCGTCGTATCTGGCGATGATGGAAGCAAAGTACTGGAGACCTACGACATGGGTGCATCGCCAAACGTGGTCACTCGCACCGCTCTGCTTGCTGCGGGAGGTGCAGTAGCACCCCCTGGTTTGATCGTCGGTCCACCAGCCAAGAAGCAGACGCGAGATCTCACCGTGGCTAAGTGGCCATCATACAACGCCACATTTGCCCCAACAACAGCACGAACCGGCTTCTCCATTGCGCAAGACACAGACGGATATGCCGTCATTAGTGGCGGCGACCCGAAAGACCCTCTTTGCATCTTCGACCAGAAGGCAAACTCTTGGGTGAACACCACGGAGCTGTTCGCTGGGAACCAAATCACTATCCAATCCGAACCAACATCAACCTCCGCCTCATCGACGCCTTCTGCCACATCTGCATCTGCCACATCGTCATCAGCGGCAGCCTCGTCGTCGGCAGCAGCAGCCGTACCGGCGTCAACAGGCAATCAGCATAATCGCATGCTTACTGTACTCGGCGCCACGCTGGGTGCTATATTTGGCATCGCTGCGGTAGTAATAATACTGTTACTGCTGTTGAGGTGGAAGAAGGAACGGAGGAAGCGAGCTGGTGGAGATGGATACGTCGAGAAAGATCGTCTAAGCTTTGCGGATCGTGGTGCCGAGTTCATGAGCGAAGCTGGTGGGTCTGTTGGGCACAACTATTCAGCCTCACGAAACATGTCGCAAGACTCACTTGCCATCATTAGTGGCCGAGCCGGGAAGAATCACCAGAGAGGGATTGGGAGTGACGCCAGCACGGCAGGCTTGGTCATGAAGAAGAGCCCTCTGGGTTACGCTGAGCCAGTGGAGATGGCTAAGATTGACCAGAGGACAGCGCACATCTCTGAGAAGCCAAAACAACCCCAACCGGCCCCGGCACCCGAGTCTGCTCCCTATGGACGTAGCCGTAGCTCAGGATGGAGTAAATACTTCGCCAACAACGAAGCTACCAACCTGGCTCAAATGCAATCAGGACGATCGACGTATACATCTGATAGGACGAGCGGCGAAAGCCACTCACAGTACACAGACTCTCGGATGTACAGCCAACCTTCACAAGGGGTGCCGCCGCTTGACTTGAACTTCGCCAAGTTTGAGGGTCAACGGCTAAGTCGCGTAGCCACTGGAAGCCCTACATTGGGACACTCACGAGAGAACCTTCCTGGCCAACCCATGCAAGCGGAATTGGCTCGTGCAAATTCGACAGGCAGTACAGTTTCAAGCCTAGGACATGATAGCAGCAATCCTTTCAGCGACAATCGAGGAGCAACGGAAAGCTGGACGCCTGTCTCATCAGGCAACGCGTGGAACCAGAGGCCAGTCAGCAGTAACTACACGAGTAGCCTTCGAGACGGCACCACTTCTTACTATAACGATGGCGCGAGCTCCTATTATCCAAAGAGCGAAGCACCTTCAGCGTTCTATCCTGCACGAGCAGCTGAAGGACGAGACAGCACAGTGACTGTGTTCCCAAGGGGTGTACCTGAAAATGGCGGCTCTGTAAGGAAGAACGGGACTCACCAAGATATGTCATGGTTGAACCTAGGAGCCAACGGGACTTGAAATACGAATCGCTCGGTCACGGATATATCATTATCTTCTGTTCCTCTTCCTCATTGCACCATGTGCTCGGCGGCTTGACTAGGGCAGTGGCTTCTTTTACATACAAACGGCCAACAGGGGATTTCGGATTTCCTTACCAAAAAGCGACTGATACGGTTCCCACGATGGCTTATCTTTCGGGCTTTTGTTTGTCTTCTTCGCCTCTATTTTACTGCTTGCATGCATCATCACTAGCGCCGGGCGTTTTCCTTTCAGCTCTCGTTTCATCGTCTTCTAGCTCCCTCGCTGGCTGGCGATTGCCTTCTTGCCTGCTTTCTGTGTTTCTCTTTTTGCTAGCTTGCTACCCGTACACTCGTCAGAGCGTACAGCGCTTTGCGCCTGTCTCTACAGATACCCGACTGCGCCCTCTAATACGGGCGTTTTGTCAACCTAAACCCAAACCCACTCCATCGTACCTTGTAGCAATATCCTCCACCGACAACGCGGCCCCAGGGCCCTCGCTTGAGCATCTCCTGCTTAGTTTCTTTTCTTGGTCCAAACTTGTATCTCTTTTTCTTTCTTGTCCCGATTGCTGATCGCTGTTCGATCCGAGGCTTCTTTTCTTTGCCTTCTTTTCTTCTGGTTAGGTATCGGGTTTCTCTTTGTACAGGGCTGGGTCTCTCGGAGAATCATGTTTCAGTGGTGTATTTGAGGGGGCGAAGGCGAAGAAGTGGGGTGCATGAATGCGCTTAAGGTGTATGCTAAGAGTAAGAGAAGAAGGAGGAAATGTGGAAGCCTGCAGGCTTTCCGAAGGCCTGGTTTGAATCGACAATGCGCCCCAAGTGGGGATCGCGCTTAAAGCTTAATGAGATGCTCTGTACAAATACTCTTTCTACCTCTGCTTGTGAAAAGCTTGAAGTTGAGTGCGGTGGATTCAGTAGTCCAGGCTAGATCACAATCAAGCATCGTTATACGTGCTTCCTGTACATCCTCAATGCCTATACGACTTGCTCAGACACCTCATAATACTACATCTCACCGTCGGAATTCAATGACAAGAAACATTGCCACGTGCTCAACCTATTGACCGCCATCTCGCAATCCCCCTCACAACCCCCCAGAATGAGGTACAGATGTACACCACCAACACGCCCCCTGAATCTTCCCCGCATCCACCCCTCCACTCCTCCATGGGCCTACTCTGCGTGGCTTTTCGATCCACAGCCGCCTCCACTCCACCACTCCATCGCAAGCTTCTCGGTTGATATTTGATCCCTCCCTCTCCCACACCCATGTGCTAGGCTCTACTTCGCTTTTTGATCCCCACACGCGCCAACCCACATGCGACGTGAAGACGTCACGTGCTCATCTCCTCTCCGAACCCTCCCTCCCATGCTTCCGTGTCTGAGACTCGGGCGCGGGAGAGGTTTAGTTATATACTCTTAGATGAGTCAGCTTGCATGTGCATCACGTGATACAGAGGGCCGATTTGAGGCATAATTACCAAAAATGCAACGAATCTTCCCCGAATTGGATCAAAGCTCTTCAAAATCAGTTCGCGAAGTAATACACGAAATGACAGGTTGATTCGTGTCGAGGTTGACTTGGGGTCGACTCACATGTTTAGCCTAAGTGTTGTGTTTTGGTGGCTCAACTTGACTGCTTAGATAATGGACGAGCTTAATTACCACCCCCCTTTTCTCTCCGTATCACCCCCCTTTTCTCTTGCTATAACCCCCCCAAGATTTAGCTTAGCTCCAGCCTGTAACAACTTTGTCTCACCAATTAGAAGCAGAACCACCAAGCTTTAATACGGAATCTACGTTAACCCGCGTGACCTCACCACCTACTATACCCATCTAGCCCTGTGCCACTAGGACTGCCACGCATTTATAGAGGAGAGCATAAGGTCTACTATCTTTCTAGAACGGGCCTCTATCTACTCCTAAGAAGGAGGTAGTTTATAGTTAAGGGCCCGGCATAAAAGCAAGCTATTTAGGCTAAATGCTTAGCTATCTAGGCACGTTCTGTTTTAAATATAATGGCAGGTAGCAGGCTGGTATATGGCTATTAATTCACTCTCGTGGTGTTGCAGATTTAAAGCTTTGAATTTGTAGGACAAAGTTGTTGCGGGCCGGAGCTAAGCTAAATCTAGGGGGGGTTATAGCAAGAGAAAAGGGGGGTGGTAATTAAGCTCGTCCTAGATAATGCGTCCAAGAGAGCGATGGGTCGGGATGGTTAGGTATTTGATAGTTTGGCTGTTCGAGGATTCTTTGTCCTGAGTTCTGGGTGGGGCGTATCTACTTGCATTCCTCACAACCCTCACCTCCCAAGCCCTGACAATAACACTATCACATCTTCTCAAACAACACTCAGATGTTGCCATATATCTATTCATAATCCTCGTGAAATTCGTCACAAAGCCTATCCAGTGTATGCCACCCGCCCCTTTCCCAAAAACCCAAAACCGTCCAATCCCATCCATCATCCATGCACTGTTCATAAAAAAAAGCTCCATTCATTCATTCGTCCATTCATTCTCTGCATAACCGAAAAGATGTCCATAACCATCCGTCCACAAGAAAGAAAGGAGAAAAAAGAAAATAGTCATCTCTCGGGTATACAGTACCCAGGTATCAATCACCACCCTTCTTTCTCTTCTGAAGCCTTCATTCCGTTCACCTTCCAATACCTCAAAAGCCTGAAACCCCTGAAAGAAACCGTCATCCTACTACTCTATCACTCTAATATCTCGCGCCAGGCGGCGCGCCAATAGGGGGCGGGGGAACGCTCCCATACGGATTCGCATCCGCATAAGTCGTCGGATACGCTTGTTGCCTCGGAGCTGTCGGATACGCAGGATACGCATTAGCATACTGTCCATTAGGAATCGCGACAGGGCCGCCACCACCACCACCACCACCACCACCGAGCGCATTCTGGCGAGCCTCCTTCTCCATCTTCTCCCGCTGCTTCCTCCTCTTGCGGCGCTTGTCCTCGAGCTCTTTGACCGTGTGCCGCTGCTCGTTCATCTCCTTCCACTCGGAGAAGGCTGACTTGATACCGAGTGCTGCAATGCCCACGGCCGCCGCGTCCTGGAGCATGTTCTTGCTCTTGCGCTTGCGCGCCTCCTCGGGCGTGATCTCGCCCTCGCTCACCAGCTTGCGCCGCTTCTCGGAGGCCACCATAGACGAATAGACGCCGTGCGCCGCGTGGATTGTGGCGACGGTCGCGAAGCCCGCTGTCAGGAGTTCCTTACCTCGCATTTTCTTGCGCTTGCGCTCCATGTCGGTCGTCGACTCAGAGTCTTCGCTGCTATTTCCACCCTTGACTTTCTTAGCGACTGCACGGCTTTGGCTACCGCTATTGCGGGACGCACCGTCGTAGGATTCCATGTCGCGGCTGCGTCCGCCGTTGTGGTTGCGTCCACGCGACGGCACGTAGCTGTCCTCGCTGGAGACGCTGCGGGAGCGGTTCCGGTCCTTGGCAGAGCGGGATTTGGAGCGCACACGATCGTAAAGGGCCTTGCCGGCAGCGAGGACGGCTCCCGCGCCGGCGACGTCGCGGAGAGTGTGGCTTTTGTCTTCGCCGTCGCGGCCGCGAGATTGGGAACGTCCGCGGCCAAAGAGAGACCTGGATCGAGCACGGAGGCCACCGCCTGTGGATCGTGACCGCGAGCGTGATCGGGATGCATCACGTCCTCGGCCTCGAGATTGCGAGCGGGAGCCGTTGGCAAGACGATTGGCAACGAGACCACCGAGGGCGGCTTCAGCAACGTGACGCTTTCCCTTGTGACTTGGGTCTTTATCTACGAGACTGTCGATACCAGCGGCACCAAGCGCGGCAGTAGCAACGCGCTGGCCCTTCTGCCCAGTCCAGGGACCAGGTTCTTTGCGGCTGCGGAAGGCTTCGATGGCACCAGCAACGACGGCTGCTTTTGCGGCTTGCTCCCACTTGGCGGAGCTTTTGTGGCCTTTCCCGCCCCGGCTGCGGCTGCGCTCGGTAGACTCGTCGCTGTATCGTCGACTGCGGCGGTCGTATCGGTCGCTGTCGTCGTCCCAGCCTCCATGACGGGACCGAGAGCGGCTTCGAGACTTCTTGCCGGTCACAGCGGCGATGACGCCGCCGAGGCCAAGACCCTCCGCCGTATCTTTGATGTTATCGACAACTGATTTGCGGCGCTCGCGACGAGGCTTGTCGTAGTCGTCAGAGTAGTAGCCATCGCGATCGTAGGAGCTGCGGCGTCTGCCACCGCCCCGGCTGGAGGGTGGATAGCCGTAGTCGGATCGGTCGTCGTAGCTGCGGCGGCCGGCGGATCGGGCGCGCGGGGCATAGTCGGTCTCGCGGTATCTGCTCTGGCGGTACTCTCCGCCCGGCGGTGGGAAGTCGCGGGGGATGTCCTCGATGCTGTCCTCGCGGGGACGGTAGACGAGGTCGCGGACTGGGGCGCCTTTGCCGCCGCGCTCGATGTAGGTCGTCTCTGAGGCGTATTCGGGCTCTCGGTCGCGGGTGCGGCGCGACCCGCCGCGGCGCGGGCGGTCGTCGTAGCTGTACTCAGACATCGCTGCGTGCCAGCCGGATGGCGGGGTGTAGAGGGGTATCGGGTGGTGAGGGTGCAGCGGATATGTGGAATCGTGTGGTCTTGAATTTCGCGGCGATTAGCATCAGGGCACGCTCGGGGGCAACTCGGAAGACATGGGGGCAGTACCGTTTGCTTTCCCGGTGGTGGAGTGACTTCGCGCAGAGACGAAGGTGGGTGGGTCAAGGAGAAATGATGGGTGTCGAAGGACGGGATGAGGGGGAGGGGGGTTGCAGGAGGAAGGGCTGATGAGGACAGCAGGCTTTATGATGACTGGGCAGCAGGCCGACTCTCCGGTGAGGTGGGAAGAGGGTTCCAAGCGGCGCTGAGGCTGGCAGTCGGGAAGGAGGGGCGGTGGTGGGTTGGTGGATGATGCCGGAAAGGCAGCGGGCCTGTGGGCCCAGCCTGCTGCTGCGTCGTTCTTGCAGCCCCTCAGAGGGTGATGTCATGCACCACCGTCCAGAAGCAAGCATGCGCAGACTCCCGCCACCGCTGCGGCCCAATGCCAGCGCGAGCAATACTCCGCTCGTCTGCTCAGCCGAGCGCGGGCTGCCGGTGAGGTGTCGAGCGGCAGATGACTTGAGGGGGCGCAAACCAGAGGGGGCGCAACCCAGAGGAGGCGCAGTTGTCGCCATGCCACTGCTATTGGCGGCGAGAGAGGCCTTGCTCAATCCCTTCACCGTCCTGCCGTCTTGACACTGCTCATGCTCCAGAACGCATCCTGTCGGGCTGAAGACACAGCGTTGGCCACCTGGCCACCTGGCCACTCCTCGATTCCAACACGATCCGCCCAGCGCTCGACGACCAGCAGCCAAACTGCAGCCTGCCTCCCTAGCGACCCCGGCCTGGCTGCGGCCACCTCAGCGCCTGCAGGTTCCTAAACGGATGACGAAGCCGGTCACCGAATGTCACGTGCCCTCACCGGCCGAACTTACCGGTCTTCACGCCTCACGATAGTTGAGAATGAGGGTTGCAGAGTGCACTTGTGAAATCCACTTCTGGAGATGTTGTTCAAATCGGAGCTTAGGGGGCAGGCTGAGTTGACGTGCGACGTTCGATTAAGACTCAACATCCGACGTTTGTTCCAAGGTTACCCACATGGGATCTCTGGGTCGCCCTCTATCAGATCTTGGAAAAGTATGGAGCAGAGGGTCCATCTTGCCCACTATCTGCTTCAGGAAAGTCTGGGCAGCAAAAGTGTCGAACACAGTGCCAACTTCTGGGCGCCCAGAGACTAGCAAATATCTTGGAAGTGCAGAAGAATCACGGAAAGCGTAGAGTCTATAGATAAGAGCGCCATACGTAGCCTTGAACTCTACAACCGAAGGGAATGACACTGAGATGCAAAGGTCGTGAGCGCGAAAGTCGACCTCTACTCATACAGGTTCTTAGAAAAAATTTAAAAGCATATGGCATCTGCTGTATTAAGTTCATCCTCTTTGCCAGCGCACTGAGCAGCACTCTAGCGCATGCCTTCGTCCCACTAACTAAGGACCCGAATCTAGTATGGAATTACGGGATCGTATCCCTACTGGCTTTCTTTGGGGTGGGGTTTTGGTTTACTTATCGCAAGCTAGATGCTAAGGAGGGTGCCCTCAATGAGCTTCTGAAAGCAATTTCGAGATGGGAGTGGTAGAGAGGGATAAGGAACGGCGTGCCCAGAAATGAGAGCTCAGCGTGTATACAGAGGGGATGGATATGGTGACGAGCGTAATGATTATTTAATTTGTAATGAAGCCTTCGATTGGAGCATTTGGGGAGCATACTTTAGTGACACGCTTTGCCTGACTTACGGAATAGTCGATTCCTATTTGCGAGGTCGTGGCCACAGTTTTAACGTTTGGGAGCACTCTGCGACTAGACCAGCTTGATAAATATTTGAGTGATTCCTATTCGAGTGGTTCCTAATCAAGTAGTTCCTAATCTGTGAAGATACTCCAAAGTTTCTTATCGCATTCCAGTCAAGTTCACGTCACGTGATGCGCTTCTTCACGTGACGCCGTCGGCCCAAGCTCAAGCTCAAGCTCAAGCCCTTCCGGTCCAGTAACGCGAGCGTCCCCTTCCAGGTCCACACACCCAGCCCCTATTTCAGTTTGAGGCTTCAAATACCTCCTTGACTGTCAACTGACCACTCTTGTCTCGAATATGCCTCGCGCAAAGAGACGATCAGCAGAATCGGACGGCAATGCGGCCCCGGCCAGCGCGTCGACAGCTCCGAGCAGAGCGAAGCGGTCAAAGGATGCGACGCAGAAGAACAATACGAGCGGCAATGCCTCTATCGCCTTGGAGGCTCCTAAGAAAGCTGGTGCGAATCTGTCGAAAGTCTCGGAGAAGGTGAAGGATGACACCAGCGCGGATGCTCAGCCTCTCACGGCTACTGCTAGCAACGTGAACGCTGCGGAGAAGGAAAAGGAGAAAGACAATGTTTCTGGGTCTGCTACCGAGGGCAAGAAGCAGACTCCAAGGGAGAAGCATGAGGCTGAGAACGCTGCTGTGAGACAAACCCTTTCCATCTTATGCATAGCAGTCTAGATGGCTATGATGAGATCAATCATGTTTATAGAGGGCTCATAGAAAGCTAACGTACAACCGCCAGCAAGAAAAAGCGATCCTCGCGAAAATGGCATCCCCCGAGGGTCTTGAATACCGCTGCATGTCTCGTCCTTGGAAAGACCGAAAAGCCGAATGGCGCGACGACGAAGATATGGATGAAGAGCCAGATGAGGAAGACATGGAGCAGTGCATTGAGGAAAACAAGAAGTACTCAGAGGCTACACCAGAGGAGGTGCCGGAATGGCCGTGGGTTGTTACCAAGATGGGCAACTATCTGGTTAATGAGTACACCGACCAGGCCCAACGTAGGGACCAGGATAACTTTGACATGTACGTCTATAACGACTTCACTGGATATGGGCTTCAGGAAGTTGTGGAGAATCAGGTCGGTGTCCTCGATATCTGAAACAATTTGTTGGGGTGAGATGGATCCACTAATAGCTGGTAGCTCGTTGCGTTCCACGAAGAGTATACGAAGAAGGACTCCGATCCCCATCGCGTGTTTGTGCATATGGAGGCCATGGCAATTTGGCTGTTCATCAATGAGCTTGCGCCTTGGGTCGGTAAGTGATCTCGAACGTGTTTGTTAAGGATTGCGATTGCTAATTGACTTATTTCAGGTCTCGATGACGGCGACCGTCTCTGTGCGACTGTAGACGCCATCGGACGAGCACTCCTCACTGCCCTCAATGCTCTTGAACGTGCTGATCTCCTGAAGCCCGACTCGAAAGTCAAAAACCTACCTATGGTGCTGTCCATGTTCCTTTCTCTTGCAAGTGATCTAGATGGCACTGGGGCTATGGAGCGGGACATGCTCGGTGCCGACAAAGACCAGACATGGCCCCACGCTGTAGTGGCTTACGCGCGAGCACACGATATTGATCTCAAAGGCAAGGGCATATACGGTAGTGCAGAAACAGTTGACAAGTTCGACGACATGGGTATGGAAGATTTCAAGAAAAAGGCGGGCCCCGATAGGTGGGGCTTCAAAACGGCGGTATGTTTGCCCTATCATTCTGCAAGATCCTCGTCACTGATATCTGCCATGACAGTTCAAGGCCTTCACAGCGCACTGGGCCGCGCCTTCCGGTCCGAAGAAGAAGACGCTTGGAGGGGAATTCTTTGATATCATCAAGAAATCGTCAGCGTACCGTAAGAAGCATGCATTTGATGGTAAAGACCCTCTGGATAAGATGGACCCCGATCGCCTCGTTCATTAGGCGGACGTCTTTCCGGACTTTGAAATCCACTGCTACAACCGAGATTGTTGGTTTTCAAGTAGGTCTCTTTATTGGAATTGTTGAATACAGCAGAGGTACAGAGAAACTTGGTAAGGCACCTTGTCCTAGGAGCTTGGAATTAACTTCACCTACAATGCTTGGATAGTTAGTGGACCGTTCACTTCTGGAGTCTTTTAAGTTTCTCAATACTTATAAAATAGTAGGGTAACTAATCTACTTACCTACCTTACTCAATCAATGTCTGTAAATCTCATCACCCTCGCGCACAACGTGTACCATTGCTCAAATGCAGTAAGACCAGGACGCATTTAATGACCGGCTGCCTCCGGCCTGCCGACATCTGCGCCATGCACACTATGTCTATCGACCTAACTCTCCTTGCTTTGAGTTCGGGATTGCGTTTCTCGAAGTCTCGAGGCCAGTTCTTGCCTGGAGGCTTAATTGGGCTATCCATCGTAGACCGCTGGCGGGCGAGGCTGAAGGCTAGCGAAGGTATATACTTAGAGCCAGTTCGGTTACCTCATACGCTACAGTATAATTAGCATGCGAAGGGATATCTAGAGGCAGGCCTTGCGCTAGTACCTGGCTGGCTCGGTCCATATTAACGATTGTGGTGATAGGAGAGGCACGAATGGGGGGCACGAATGGGGGGCACTAAGGTGAGGTACATCCCCAGTGCTCCTCACTCAGGCAGCTCTTGGTGCATGGCCAAAAGTGTAGAGTCCAGAGATCAGAGCGCTATTTGTGTTGCTGTGTATGTAGATGCAGCACAATGGGTCACGTGAAGGTCACGTTGAAATCACATATCGTCTCAAAACTGAAGCAAACGTTGCGAAATTTGCTAACAGTATTAGAGCAACTTGGCATGCGTCAAAAAAGCTATTTCAAATGCATCAGCTCAACATTAATAGTTTGGCTTTGAAAATGCAAGGTGCGGTGGTGTAGAAACCTGGGCGACATGACGTCTGCCATCGCTTTCCCATGAATCATCCTCAATCACGCTCAACACCATGAAAACCTCACAACCGCCTTCTCCTCGCCTCTATGTCGGGAAATACCAACTCCGACATCCTTCTTGTAAGCGATTGGCCCCCTAGTATACCCAAAACACAAGCTTACATCTCCACACCCAGGCCGGCGCATTCGCAGCATTCACAATTGACCTCCTCGTCTACCCCCTCGACACTCTCAAAACACGAATTCAGTCCCCAAACTACGCCCGCATATACACCAATGCCGCGACCAGCGCCGTCAACAAGCCCGCGCTCTTCCGCGGGCTATACCAAGGTGTGGGTAGTGTCATAATAGCCACTTTGCCCTCCTGTATGCCCACTCTCATTGACTCCCATCCATCTATATATATATCTGTCCTAACTTCTCCCAGCAGGAGCATTCTTCACAACCTACGAACGCACCAAAGCCCTCCTAACCCACCTCAACCCCACCACGGCCTCCTCCCCCCACGGCCTCATCCCGACCCCCCTCGTCCATGCCGCCGCCTCCTCAGCCGCTGAACTCGTCTCCTGCGCCATCCTCACCCCCGCCGAAGTCATAAAGCAAAACGCGCAGATGGTCGACTCGACCGCCAAGACCAGCACCAACCCGACCCTCCAAACCCTCGCCAAGTTCCGCTCGAACCCGCTCGCTTTATGGAGGGGTTACACTGCGCTCGCGGGGCGCAATCTGCCGTTTACGGCGCTGCAGTTCCCGCTGTTTGAGCGGTTGAAGCAGGGGATTCGGGATCGGCGGGAGCGGAGGGGCAAGTTGAGGGGAGGGCTGGTCGAGAGTGGGCTTATCACGGCGGTAAGCGCGGGCACGGCGGGCGCAGTGTCGGCGGTTGTCACAACGCCGGTAGATGTGGTCAAGACACGGATTATGCTCGCAGCCACGGGGGATGCTGTCAGCGAGGTCGAAGCGGCAAAGGGCGGTGGTGATGCCACAGCGAAGGGAAAGGGTATGGGGAAAGAAGGGTTGGTGGGTGCGGTGGGGAAGGGTGTGCAGAGCTCGGAGGAGACGGTCAAGTCGGCGGCTCAAGCGCTGAATCCGCTGGTGCGGCCGGAGGAGAAGGGACGGAAGAGCGCGTTGGCTATTGGGCGAGAGATTATGAGGGAGAAGGGGTGGAGGGGCTTGTGGAGGGGTGGTGCGCTGAGAGGTGTGTGGACGATGATCGGGAGCGGATTGTATCTCGGCGTCTACGAGAGCGGCCGGATATATCTGGCCGAGAGGGGAGGAGAGAGCATCAACGAGGAAGACTTGTTTTAGACGGCACATTGTTCACAACTCGGAGAGTTGCTTCCCGATCTAACCGTCCGGATACCCTGAATTCAATGTAATATAATGTAACACCTGACTCTCACGCCACTTGTTTTCGCCGTGCGATTGTGATTCTTATGAGTGAGAAACTTAGAGAGATTTTGGTACATTGAGTATGCATAGGTGACAGGTAGTGCAGCTCCGGCATATTGACTTGTTGACGTAGCGGGAGATGAGGTGGAACGAAGTGGTCGAGATATGGGTGCGTGCAAAGTGTGATATGATTTCATACTTAGGACATAGTGCTTGAGCGTTCTCTAATGATATATTTAGGAAATGGAAATGGATGAAGTCAAATCTTAAAGTCTCTCAACTGCTTTTTCTCCTAACTTGATTTAGAGAGCTATCCATTCATATACCAAAATCGACTTCAATTCGCGCCGACAGGCTCCCGGTAGCACATCCCAGTGCATTGTGATTTACCTCATTCCTTGCTTTCAATTCAGGGTGTCGAGCAATAACATGTCAAAAGCAACTTCAATTCGCGTCGACTGGCTCCCGGTAGCATATCTCAGTGCGCTGTGATTTGCCTCCTTCCTCGCTCTCAATTCAGGCCGTCGAGCAATAACATGCCAAAATTGACTCCAAATTGCGCGGACTGGCTCCCATTACTACATCTCAGTGCACTATAACTTACCTCTTTCCATCAGCCCAATTTAGGGTGCGATGGCTTTTACAGTGCCTTGCCATAGATATATGTACACTTTAAATTTGTGAAGTTGTTCGAGGTAAACCCCCCTCAGGTTTAGGCGGTCCTTCTCTTCCAGCTTAGCGTGTTTTTCCGCCCTTATATAATCAGTCTTTGAACCTCCTCTATACCCTACTTCTTGTTGAATTGCAGGCCGTAGCATCTAAACTAAGGTGGAAGACGTGCTAATATACACAAATGTGCCCAGGTTTGCTACCAGATTGCTTGTCGTAGCTGATTGTCATTATCCAACACTTCTTACTTTACTTTCTCATCTCATGCATTCCTACTAGATCCCTCCCCTTTCAAATTCCCACTTAATAAAGGCTTGCATTCGGCTGCATGCTATAGTTCACGCTCTACCTCTTTACTACTTTACCGCCTTATCCAGAGCCATTTTATCCCATCTTTTAATTATCTTACTATTATTAATAACCTTAGCGCCTACTCGCCTGCTTACCTTTTATCCCCTTTAACTTAACGTGTTCTACATGCATGTGGTGGTTACAAGCGAGTGGTGGCGCTTAATTTTTGGTGCGATTTGGACGTTTTGACACCCCAGCAACCTCAACAACTATAAAAGATTTGAATCTATAACTTAGAATAAAGATATGCATAGCTGTTTCAATATTATAAGACAAATTTTTAGGGTCTCTTGATGGCCACATTTAGTTATAGTAGAGTTTTGGCCCCCTAGCATTGGGTAAGATCTACGATATAATAGAATTACAGAGACACATCACTCCAAACTATTGCCTAGCCATTGAAATGAGCTAAATACTATATGCATTCATATAATCTTATTTAATACTTTTATGGTTGTTGAGATTGCTGGGGTGTCAAAACGTCCAAATCGCACCAAAAATTAAGCGCCACCACTCGCTTGTAACCACCACATGCATGTAGAACACGTTAGTATCCCGTTTATATAGTGTAAGCACCGAACACCAACATCGTGATCCGACCCGTATTGTTGTACGGGGGTTCGGTTCCGTCTTATTCGAACCGTACGGTCCGCTTGAGAATGAGGATCACGTTCTCTACGAGTGCAGCGCTGCGGCGTGGCTAGAGGACGTCCTTGAAGACGTCGTCCTTGACGCCGCTCGAGAGGCAGAGTTTTCACGGAAGTCTTGGCAACACTTTCGAAAATCTACGTTGCTCAAACAGAGGATTAAGGTCAAAACCATCCGACATTCTACTACCTGGGCAGGCCATTCCACCCCCGGGCCATGCCAGCGCCTGTAATTGCTGGTAGGAGCGATAGGACCGATCTATTAGAACAACAGGACACCTCTGTACCGCCGCGGTCGCGCTTACGCCTCTGGACGAAACGACACCTGGACAACAATACTACTACTGGACGAAACGACACCCGGACGACGCCATTACTGGAGCCAGGATTTAGGAGCCGATAGGCGTAAGAGCAAGGATTAGACAGTTTGGTTAGTGGACGGCAAGGGATAATAGCTGCGCGGCGTCGAGTTATTATAGGTAACGACCTCCGTCTGCAAAACACGGTCGGCCTGTTGTCGCGAGAGCGTCACAGGCAACGCGAAGGGGATGCCCAGATCCACTCTGGTAGCATCCGTGGGGCGTGGTGTATAATGGCAGCGACAGTTAGCTCCGGGCCTCTACGGACGCCTGGTGGACTCGTGATGGACGGCAGTCTGTGGAGGGTGTGCAGGGTATGCGCGCATACTTCCTATTTTGTTCCTCTCGGGCACGGTTGTACAAGCTTCGGCCTGTACAGCACCTCTACACGCTAAGGATGTAATGGAGAGTATGCGTGCATTCTTCCTATTCTCTTGTGTGGGAAGTGTGCGGCGCATCCTTCTGCAGCCTTCCCATTTTGCAGGCTATTACATAGGGAGGAGGATTAACACCTCGCTAGTGACACTGTCTATACAGCCCGAAAGGACGGATGCGCGTGTCGGTCTACTATTGTACATAAGCAACAACTTGTGATGTAGGCTTAAGGAGCAAATCAGGATTGTATGCAGGTCGTTGTAGGAAGGGCGGCCTGGGGTAGGGCCCTGGCAGGAGGGCATGTTGAATCTATCTTGTATATAGCAGACAGATATAAATACAACTGGTACCAACAATCTGGACACCGTACGACCCTGGAACCTAGGCCCTACGGACACCGGATTGATCCTGGAGAATGCATTAAGATGGCTTACTCCGTGGTGATGCTTACAGAGCTGCCACGCGTCCCCCACAGCCGCGTAGAAACAAAAAGGAACGCAAGGCGTTATACACTGTAGAAAACAAGGTTTTTACCCGACCGCTTAGAGCGAACGGTTTCCCCTTGTAAATAAAACCTAGATAGCACTGCCGCATGGACCCTAACGGGAGCTAAATCGACCTAATAGAACCTAATAATAATAATAATAATAATAATAATAAGGGACCAGTACGAATATCAGACCATTACGAGAAATGCATAATTCGTACCATTACTGAGAGTCTACCAGTACGAAAAGGGAAGAGGAGCCTAAAGGGGCTCCTCACTATCGCTCCTCCTTAAGCCCTTGACCTCCTGCGTGTAGCATCATCGTGATATTAATATACTAATAGAGGTTAAGTAGAAAGGATATATTATATGCTTAATAAACAGGAAAGGGCGACTACTTATATAGAGGTGGAAGGTCTTTACTAAGTATTATAGGAAGAGGGCAAGGGAAGTGTAAAAGGGAAGGGCACGGCAGGGCCTTGCAACGGTAATTGAGGATAATAGTGTATTGTGAGATAAGACGAATCCTTAAGGAAACCCGGAGGGGGCTCCATAGAGGATCAGTATGTGCGACCGTCATGCTATCACGTGAGGGACACTAGGCCCGAACGGGATTCGCATGCTAACCGCATGCTACTCGCACGACTATCTACTATATAGGTGCTCTAGCACCTGACAGGAAGATATTAAGGAAAGCGTCCGTGGCCATTTTTTGGGCCATGGGCATTTGCGTCTATTTTAGGATCTTCAAAACTAAATTTATATCTTAAATGGCATCTGCGGCAGCAGGATTGAACCATGCTACTAGATGGAGCCTTTAGCACGCTTATGCGAGGCCGGGGCTGTGCTCTTAGCATGGCGGGAAAAGGCCCCCATAAAACGGCGTCACAAACGTCCATTTTCAGAGGGCTATTTACCAGAAACCTACGTTTATTTGTAATGACCCTGCTTGCGCTGCAAGGGGTAAGCTGCATGTTTACTAGTTGCCCAAAATGCTAAACTTCTTTCCCAGTTAGAAAGCTTAAAGTACCATGAAGCTCCTCACGCAGCGGTAAACGAGTGTATGGATATCTATGACGAGGCATTGCATCTATAACTCGACTGGCATACACACTGCACTCAGTAAGAAAGGCTCAACCACACCGAACGAAGGACAAGTACATCCCAATACCATATCATATTAATCTTTTCCATTTTTTGCCTCCTACTTCCCACTCCTGGAACCCGTCTAGCCAGACGATGTCAGATCCCATAACACCCCCAGTGATGGTGTTGACTACACACACTTACACACATTAAGAGTAGCTCCTAGTAGGTAGATAGGCCCAGAGACAGCCAAGCCAGCTGAATTACCAAATAACCCCCCTGCCGAGATCGCTGAATCGGAAAAAGGATACAATTACAAATGAACCCCTCCCTAGGTCTGATATCGCAGTCGTTCCAACAACGCCTCCGAACTTGCGATGACGCGATGCACTGGTGGTTCTCCACATGCCAGCTCGAACAAAGAGTGGTGACATTAACGAGAGTGACAGAAATTCTAAACCAAACGATTCATCGCCTAGTATGAAAAGCGCGCACCGTCTGTATTTTGATGTTGGGAAATGGTGTATTGCAACAGAGAAAAGAGTATACCGAGAGAACCTTTTTGGAATTGGGCGTGGAACCAATGAAGACAGGGAGGGGTTACATATTTGGTGAGCCGCCGGGGTATTTATGAACACCGTTGTCGTAGATCGTAGCCAGGTGGAGTGATACACGAGACAATAGCTCGATTATCTGTCACGAAACGGGATCTCCGTGTCGGATGTGTCGTTGAAGTTCGTAAAAGAATGGTGTGTCGCTTTGTCTGAGCATGGGATGAGAATCCAATTTTGACCAAAACAGTGCAGCTGACTCTACCGGCTGACTCTCCAAGATGTCAAGGCCATTTCGCAGATTCGAGTGATGACCTGTTGGGTGCTAGCTTTGGACTCATCGGTGATGAAGCCCCTTGCGATGTTTAATTTGTTCACGTCGTCGTTCGGATCATTGCTCCTCGGGGGTGGCAAATTGTGGGGAAATCCAGGAACACGGTTTCCGGCGACCCGTGCGATGGCAATAGAGTAGATGACATCTCGTGCCTCAATTTGCTGCAAAATGTCTCTCATAGCGGAGAGCGACCGTTCGACCGTGTCAGGATGAGTTGACTCGTTATCCACATTGACCACGAAATCGCCGAGGTGCGCCCAGAAGTCAACCTGTGCCTTCTTTGCTTGGTCGATGTTCGCGGGGTAGGATATCCTAAGAAGTGGATTTGATTCTAGCCTGTTGTTAGTCAAAAGCGCCTCCAGGACGTCGAGTCGTCCGCGAGCTTCTCGAACAGGCAGGTCATCCTCCTCTTTGATAGAGGTGGATCCATTGATTCCATTTGTGGACGGTAGTGATTGTCTGCAGACGCAGAGGAAGCGCCAAACCAGACGGATTTCCTGGCTGGTAATCTGGTTGGCCAAGTCGAGACGCTGGCTGTCGTAGCTACGACATGTCATCACAAAGAAAAGGGCTTCCTCGTGCAAGTCCTTGTCATTCATGATCCTGTGAAGGCCGTTGTTGTTGGTGATGAACCAGTCTGTCTCTAGGATGTGGCACAAGCCGTTGACGTAATCCTTGGTATAGACTTCGGTGAGCTCACTGTCTTCTGCCTCCGTGATTGGACCTGTTCGCGGAGGCACTTCGGGAGGCGCATGTCCATTGGTGGAGAAGGTGTCACTGATCTTTATTCGCTTTGCTGAAGAACCGAAGTTAGTCAGTCGCTGCTCGGATCATTAATGGCGAAAAGCACAAGACAACGCAGTGCTCGGAAAGGTTACTCACCCTTGACGGGATGCACATCTGAAGCAATGGAGGAGTATGGACTGGCGCTTCCTACAGCGGGCCTGAAACTAGGTGGCACGGAGCCATTGTACGGTGGTGGCCCACCTTGCAGGGCCGGATCTGTGGCAGCGAGAGCTGGGTCGATAGCTGAGTTGAACTGATCGTACGGCGGATGTCCACCCGAGGTTGGAGGCGGCGCGTACCCTGCCGTGACAGCGGGAGCGTAACCTTGTGGCACATGAGCGTAGCTACCCGATGGTGGGGGTGCGGAGGCTGGTATTGAGGGCTGCAGTTGAGCAGCGCTGGGTGCAGGCTGGATTTGGGCGGGCCCGGGCTGTTGCTTGAAGATGGGGTCGTAGCCCAAGCAATCGCGCTTGCTCTTCTGGCAATTGCGACACGTGGGGTGCGCTTCGTCGCACTGTGAAGAATTAGCGAACAGTCGCGGCAACAGGTGCGGTTGGATTTGAGCTGGTGAGGGTTTGGTTCGCTTCTTTGGTGGCTCGGTTACGACGACGGCTGGTCGTTCAAAGTCGCGACTTCAACCCGCACCCTGGATCCTGTCGCAACACCGCGCCATTGGAACAACGCGTAAATGGATTGCGGCTCACCTTTATTCTCCGCTTCCGACACGTCAGACATCCCGTTTTTGTCCGTCGTTTGATCTCCTTCTTGTGTCTCCCGCCCGACATCATCCTCTGCTCGCCCTGGTGCGGTGGCAGCTGGTATCGCATCGCCAACTGGTGCGGCGACGACGTGACGTTCATCTGCTGGCCCGGCGGCGGCAGCGACTGATTCGGATTGGGATAGTACGCGCTCATGGGCTGCACTGGCGGTGGGAGCGGCGAGCCCATGGGTTGCTGTCCAGGCTGGTGCTGCGGCGGAGGCTGTCCGTGGCCGTCCTGGAGACGGATGGGCGGTAGATTCAACGAGGGCAGCGACATGCTGGAGCCGGTGGGCGACGCGCGGTAGGGCTCCTGGGACTGCTGGCCCTGGGGCGGCGGATAGGTGTAGGTGGGCTGCATGGAGGGCGACGGGTATGAATGTGGCGATGGGTAGGACTGCGACTGCTGTCTGGCCTGCGAGGGATTCTGCTCGGCCATGCTCGCCAGGTCAAGCTGCGACGGGAGGGCAGGGCGCAACAGAGGTCTGTGGTTTGTGGTAATCGTGTGACATGCGCGGCTGGCGGTGAATGGGCCGCTATGGTGCCACCCGGCAGTGGGAGTCGATGCCCTGCTGGCGCGTGGAGAAGATGGGACGAACTGCTGGCGATGGACAACGGGCGCAGGCGAGTCTAGGGATCGAAGCGAAAAGCTTGACGAGAAGGGGGAGACAGCGGGAAGGCAGGCCGAGACGCAGATGGCGTACCTATCGGGCGGACCGGGGCCGGGCGAGGTCGAATCCAGGGGGGTGCGCTTATTAGGGGACCTCGGTTTGAGGCACGGCGAAGAGTGAAACTACCTGGAGAACAGACGCGATCAGCAAATGCACGCCTCTGGCACCCGGCAACGCGCGCTGCAGGCTGGTGAGGCCCGAGGGGCTTGATGCTGGATGGCGACTTGATGGCGACGGGGACGGGAGACGGCCGGGCGCGAAGCGGGCGGCATGGTGCGTCTGGAATGCGAGCAATATGCGCTGAAAAGAAGGGTGCTGTGGGCCGCCTGATTGGCCTGCCGCCAACCTAACGTCAAGACGGCAGGTCAGTGCAGGCTGCGTGTAAAACTGCCTGCGGGATGACAGCCCGCGGCGCCCTCCAGGACTGGCCAGGGCTGCCCCGATGGCAGCAGCAGGGCCGCCATGTGCGCGGACGAGCGGAGCAGCAGCGACAGCAGCGACAGCAGCGACAGCAGCGACAGCATCGACAGCATCGACAGCAGCGCGACGGCGGCCAGACATGAGGGCGCGGTGGGGGAGAGGAGTGGAGAGTTGAGGGGATGCATTGGAGGGTGCATCGGGGACGTACCTGACGTTGGAGCTGCTGCTCGCTTGATGGAAGCGAAGATTTAGAGGAATCCTTGCTTTGCGCCGTAGCGAAAGGTTGGCTGGCGACTATCGCTGGCGCGCGCGGTGGAGAAGCGCGGACTGGAGCGCGTCGAGGGCGAGTGCTGCAGCGATGCCGGGCGACGACAGCCCTGGGAGCGGGCGCGGCGATGGATGGGATGGAAAAGATGTGGAGAGACTGCCAACGGAAAGGAATAAGAAAAGGCCTGAAGAAGGAGCGCTAGGCCACATCGGGACGGGGCCTGGCGCGCACTCTCGACGAACGGCGAGGCTGTCTGTCACCCTCCACCCTCCACCCCCGAGACGACACCCGCCATCTCGTTCTCCACGCAGGCCGGGCATGTCCAGCGTCTCTTCCGCCAGTCGGCCATGCGAACACAGCCTCTGCGCGCCCGGCCGCTGCCCGTCATGTCCATGCGGGGCTGCCCGTGCCGTGCTCCCAGCTGCTTCCGTGTCCCGAATCCTCGCAGACGACACCCTCGTCGCTGGTCTCACCGCGCCAGATGCCGTCCACAGGCCCGCAATCTCAGCCTGCGTGTGCTGGGTGGTGCTGGGTGTGCGGTGGAGACGGCCACGGCCCAGCAGAGCGCCCAGCCTCAATGTAGCATGTTCCCACGAACGAGGCATACTGGATCTGCTCGCCAGGCGCATGGACACGCGTCAAGGGTGTCATCCTGCACCTCTCTCACTCATCCATCGCCGTTGCGCTCCATCCCGTGGGCAAGCGGCCGGTAGCCCGCCCGCTGTGGAATGTCGCGGCCGTGGCCCCATGCCGCTCTCAGCCTTGGGCATATTAGCCACCACGGCTGAACCTGGCATCCGGCGCTCTCCTCGTCCCTCGGGGCAGCACGCGTTTCAGGGTGCTGGGTGGGCGATGGCAAGAAGACAGCTCCGACACAGCAGCAAGCACGCGAGACGAGGCACCAGGCGCACGAGAAGGTTCCGCGACTGCGTGCTGGTGTGCTCCCAAGCCTGGCGCCAAAGCCTCAGTTAGATTGCCGTGCGCCAGCCACCAGATTTGACCGTTGAGCGGCAGATATACTGACTGGCTACACGTGAACTCGGCTCCCTCACCTTCTCGCTTTCTCCACCAACAAAAGAGCCGTGGTCCTCGGTAGCGTTGAGACAATCAAGTGAAGTGAGCGGCAAGATTACGCCCGTTTGCCTGGAACGGGATAGCATCGACGATGGCAAGCCGATGCGAGTTTGCAACAGGACTTCTCACGACTCTCCATGTTCATCTCCAGCTCCATCCTGGGACTCGGCGCGCTTCAGCACCACCACGCCCAATACAGCTGCCGATCATGGCCCAAGCAGGCCAGCCATCCCAACCACCTCCCATGCTTCTCGATAGAAGCGAGACAAGGGCTCTGGCGTGGCTGGCAGGGTAAAGGCAATTCGCGGGCCGGCCATCCTCCACCTCTGCACAACATAATATTGCTGATGTGCTGACAGCGGAAGCCTACAGTGATATTCCGTGCCGCGATTTAGCCGCTTTTTCAGTGTGCCGCTTTCTGCTTCCAGTTCCAACTACAACTCCCGGCTAGGCAGGTCTTGATATCGGGTCTCAACACGATATGAAGCCGCCCGGGACGAGTACACACTAAGCAGGCAGAAGCACCCACCGACGCAGCCGCCGATCGAGGCGACGGCAGTGGATATGCGAGACGCAGGCTAAGTGCCTTGGGATATGTAGACGCTGTGTGCTACACGGGTTTAGAGCTGCCGGAGCTGTCACTGTCAAAACACACGGACGGGTAGAGGCAGCACTACGAGATTGACAACTGACAGCTGGCCCACATGAAACCAGGCCAGTGACACTGATCACTCGCAGTACCCTTGTAGTACAGGTCACAACTGTAGCAAACGGCAGAAGTCGCCAGCCGAAGGACCAGCCGAACCGCTCGTGGTACCACTGTCTGGGCAAGGGCTTCGGTGTTACTGTGTGAGGTTAGGAAAAGGAGCACGATACTGAGTCGTCGAGACTCGTCAGAATTATCTCGAGTTAGCTTGGCGCATGGCAATTGAAACAGGCTTGGGCGTTGTCGGACCTCGAGCGGCGGGAGATGTTGAGACGACACGAGATGTCCATCCACGACGCACATCCGGAGTGATCAGCCATCGCTACACTCCTCAGGGATGAACCTTGAAGAGGCGTCTGCGGGACTGACAGCTTCTAGAAAACGTCCAGCTTCCAAGGGTGCGTCTTTTCACGAGACGAACCCGCCAACCACAATTCGTCTAGCCTAATTCGTATCCTGAGAAGCTGAGCACGTCTCCCAGCAGCCCGTGTAAACCAGAAAATAAATAACACGAGAATATCCAGCAAAAGCCCCGCTGGTTCAAATAAAACAAGAACGTGTGTACGTGTAACTCGTTCCCAGCCTCCCCCATCCCGTTCAGGGCACCAACGCCTTCGAGCTCCTGAATCCTGCATCCTCACTCGCCTAATTTTGCTTGTGAAAGTCTCCCCCTTCCCTTCTCCGCAAACGCCTCGCCCTCGCGCCGCGGCATGGCATCCTGTTCGCTCGTCAAGCGATCGATCCGGCCCGCCTCCACGCTCGGATATTTGCCTGTTCCAAGCCATGGCCGCGAATTGCCAGTCCGACCGACAGTTGCGCCCGGCCATGCAGGAACCCGGGCTGACTTGACGTTTTGACAGATTGACAGGTTCGTCAGACACGAGGTTGACAGGGCAGACTTGTTGCACCCGAAGAAACGACGCGAGGGTGACAAATATGTACGTTTGGAGTTGTACATAGAGTAGGACAGGTGTGGTAGGTGGGAATGGGAAAGTGGTTGGTAGCGAGGCGTGTTGCTGTGCTGTTCCCACTTTGTCTCACCGATCTCCCACGCCAAACCGGCAGGATCAGATAAGGCGGTGGCAAGACGCGTTATTTTCGTCGTAATACGCGACAAAAGCAACTTTTCTCGACAAGAAAAGCGACTTGGTGGCACTGGAGGGCGAAAATCCTCAGAGCGACTTCTCCTCTGCCTCCACCAACCCCTTGCCCCTTGTCCATCTCAAACAACGAACCGGCAAGCCAATCGCCACAAGCGAAGTCTGAGGCACACTAGGTAGGGTAGTCTATCTATTTCCCATTTTCATCGCCTTCTATCTAAAAGCTGCCTGGACTCCGATTTACCCAGCCCTGAAAGCCCGGGTGCGTCTGTCATGCATAATCATTTGTCGTCCGAACCCGACAACATCCCCAGGGCCGATCCCTCATGTAGGCAGTAGCAAAAAAAGCATAGTACGCAATCGCAAAGCCGCTTTTTTCCTTTCCTTTCCATATCTTGTGGCCCGTCCGTCCGTTTAAACCCAGCCTAGCTCTAGCCCCAGCACCAGGCGTTTTGGAAATTGGAATGCTTGAAGTATGGAAATTGATGGGAGGGCAATGGGGAATGAGAGAAGTTCACACTTCAGCTTGCTCGGGGACGACGTTGTTCAGCTTGCCCTTCTCGAGGGCGGCGCGCACGTTGCCGATGTTCCACTCTTCCATGGCGAGTTGGGTCTGTGGGTGTTGGTCAGCGTCTTTCGCCTTTGCTTTTTCTCTCGTCACCGACCAAGCGACACCATCGTCTTGGAACGGAGACTGGCAGACTCACCTCATAGGTCCAAGTTCCCATATGCGGCACCAACATGACATGCGGATTCGCCACCAAGCCCGGATGCACCTTCGGCTCCTCCTCGTAGACGTCGAGGCCACACGACCACACGACACCCGCGTCGAGCGCCTTGACCAGCGCATCCTCGTCCATGACTGCGCCACGGGCCGTGTTAACAATGACGACGCCCTTCTTCATCTTCTCGAACTCCTTCGTGGAGATCAGGTGGCGCGTGTTTTTCTAGCCGAGAAGTTAGTCCACTTTTGCTCCTTTGACGATCTGTCTCACGATGCTGCAAGTCATCTGCGACGCGGCGAATCACCGTAAGCGAGCGGACAGCTGCACATCGTATCACCCCACCCACAAAGCTTTCTCTTGCTCTGAAAACAACTTACGTTCAAGGGAAGGTTGAGAGAGATGACATCGCTGTCGGAAAGCAACGTCTCGAAGCTGACGTAGCCCGCTCCGCCGGCGAGCTCTTCGCTCAGCTTGTTACGATTGTGGTACACGACCTTCATGCCGAACGCGTCGGCCTTCTTCTTGAGATTCCTGCCAATGCCACCCATCCCCAATATCCCCAGCGTCTTGCCCTCCGGATCGTGGCCGAGAGGCGGTGGTGGATGACCTCGCCACTTGCCCTCACGCAACGCAAGCATCGACGTGTTGAAGCCCCGGAGCGCGCCGAGGATCAGGAACATGTTGACGTCGGCGGTGGCATCGTCCACGGCGGTGGGGACGTTCGAGACCTTGATGCCGCGCTCCGAGCAGGCATGGACGTCGACTTGATCGTATCCGGCGCCTAGGAGCCACTGTGTAAGATACCATACAAATGGTAGAAGAAGTAGACACACGATGCTGACTTTTAGGAGAACAAGCAGAACATTCAACACAACCGCCCAATTAGGCCCACGACTCCGCACCAATCAAGCACCCAGCTGACCCTCAAATCGCACGCTAAGTGGGCCCCCACCTTCACGCCAAGTTCCAGGGAAAATACCGGGGAAATCGGGTGGCATCTTCCTCCAACCGCCGCAGGCACAAAGCACGCACTCGGCAAATCAAATCACAACAACACACCACGCTCGCAATTGACTTTGACCGGAAACAAAATGCAGGAACCGACTCCGAACTCACCATTATGGCAAATGAACTTCAAGCTCTCCGGCAGCAGCTTCACCAGCTCCGCGTCAAACACACCCGTTATCTCCACGCTCGCAAACGTGCGGTACGTCGCGACGACGCCGTCGAATTTCCCAGCACTACACTCGGCCAGGAAGTCGGCGCGGCTGCGGGCCTCGGGGGCCACGAGATCGGCGAGGGAGGAAAGCGAGTTCCATGATTCGTGCGCGCTGCAAACATGGCAAGAAACCTGGTAAGACTGGGCTGTTGCAATTCGTAGGGAAGGGGGAAATGGGTACGTAATGTGTTGTGCCAACGCACAACAATGCAGAGTAGAGAGAGGATGGGGGCGCGAGCCGTGGAGCCTCTCATTCTCATGCGCGGGGCCTAGGCCGGCATCGGAAGAGGCATCTTGGGGAGTGGGAGGACGTACTGGTCAATGGCTCCCAGCAGCAGCACCTTGGGCTTTCCCATGCTTGCGGAGGGGGGTACGCGCAGCCGGCGCGCAGTTGGCGAGACTGGGGCGGTTATGGGTTCAGGGCGGGCGAGGCAGGCGGGGTACGGGAAGAAGAGGAAGAAGAAGTAGAGGTAGGGAATCAAGTAAAGGGAGAGAAAGAGGAGGAAGGCCGGTGGTGGGGAGTGAAGAGGGGCAGAGGCTGAGGGGAGGGCAGATATACGCTGTTTGGTGGACGTCGGACTGCACCACACGGCGACAATCTCCAAGGTGCAGCGATATGACGGCCTAGCTGCTGGGTGGGAGTCGCGGCGGTCGTGCTCGCGCCGTCTGCAACACGGCTGATAACGGGCGCTTCTTTTTTTCTGACAGTTGTCGCAGCGCCGTGTGCTACAGTCGGCCTCTGATGCCCCGCGCCGTCCCGCAAAATGCTCTTCGAACTGCCCCACCAGCCCTGGCAACGCAGCAAAGCCAGCACCAGGCCCGGCCGCGTTTCTCCACGAGAGGCTCTGCACGCAGGGGAAGCGAGTCGCGCCCAGGCTCGAGGCGGTGAGGCGCACAACCAACCTGCAGAGGCTCCGACGGCGCTGGACGTGGTCTGCAGCAACAGCGCAGCAGACGTGTTTTATATCCAGCAGCCCGCCTGTTATCGCGCCCGCCGCCAATAGCAGCATCGCCCCAGCCAGTGCCTGGCCACCGGCACTCCGCCCGCACGCCCGTGCCAGTGCTTTGGGTCTCCGGGGGCCCTGTCAGCCTGTTGGTGGCCCGATCTGCAGCCACCCAAGACACGCTGCACCACTCCCGGCCCGCCCTGCCAGCCTGCACTATCAGCTCGTCGCTATCACTTCCAGAAGACCGCTCGCGCGTGGATGGCTGGCCCTGGTGTTGGTTGCCCAGAAGCGGCATTATGTTCCGCAACGTTTGCTATATCTACCTTTGTCGAGCACCGTCACGGATGCACCTGTTTGCCCAATCGCGACGTCAGACCCCAACCAAGTTATGTTCTGACGGCAGGCGACTGTCAAGTTGTCGTGGACAGCCATCATCCCGGGAAGACGCAGCCCGGAAGAGATAACGCCGCGGGGAGGGTGTGGCAGCCTTCCTCCACAGTATCCTCCGCAGCATCCTCCACGGCCTCCTTCGAGGACAATCTTGCTCAATCCAGAAGGAAGCCAACACAGATCCACATTTGCAACAAGCCCGTGAGCAATGACGGCAATGGTATTGATTGCATAGATTAATAGACTCGTACCAGCATGTTCCAGCCTGGCACCCGTGGCCAAGCACTACGACCCTCCATTCTGGCCGGCCTGCTCTTGCTTCCACTTGTGCGCCATCTGCAGCAGCTTCGACATCTTGGCCGCGCTCTCGTCGTCGGCCGGGAACACGTAGTCCATGTACTCCTCGAATGAGTCGTCGTCGAGCTTCCTCCGTTTCTTGACCTTGCGTGGCATTTGCGCGTCCACCTTCTCCAGGTCGGCTGCCGTTCCGTGTGTTGCCTCGAACGATTTCCACGCATTGAGAAGAGCAACTCTCTGTATGATAGTTAGCATGTGCCCAGTAAATCCACCATTAGACAAGGGGAAACATACCTCTTCCTTCAGGTCTTTCTCCTTCATGCTTTTGTACGCCCTCTCGAAGATCTTCCGTGCCCTCGCCTTCGCCTCCTCGCTGACAGGCCTCTCCTCGTCCTCGTCCGCCTCTTCCTCATCATCAGGCACCCCAATCTCGAACTGAGCCCAGCTGATCCAGACCTTGACGTGATCGGTCTTCTGCAGCAGCCGCTCGTAGAGCTGCCTCGTTGCGTCGTACTCACCTTCCTCCTCCTCGAAGTCGATGTATGCTTTCCACAGCAGTTCAGGCATGTCCAACTGGGGCTGATCCACAGCGAGTTCGAAAATCGCCTTGGTTCTTTCTAGATCGTCGAGACCGCGCTCCAATTCCGCAAATTTAATCCATGCCTGGCAATTCGCGGGGTTCCATTCGATGTACTTCTCGTACAGCGTCCGGCACCTGACAAACTCAAAAAGCTTGAGCTCGAGTTCAATGTAGCCCTTGAAAAGCTTGTCCTTCGGGCACATCCCTATCGCCCTTCCCAGCGTCTTCCGAGCGGCTTGAAGCTGACCTTGACGGATCTCGAACTGCGCCGCCATCAGCCAGACCTTGGCAAACGTGAACTTCTTATGCGGAAGAAGCTTGAGACATTCCTGGTATATTTGCCTCGTTCGGTCCACATCTTTGCTCGTCATTTCCTCATAGAGCGCGTAGAACAGCCATAGGTAGATATATCTCCTCCAGTGCCGCTTCTCTTGGGTGGGCGGAATTTGTGCAATGGCCCGTTCGTAGACGTCCCGAACCCGGTCCACGTTCCCTGCAGTCTCTTCCAAACGTGCATAATCAATCCACGCGTCATAGTTTTTGCCGTTCTCTTTGACTTGTTCCTCGTACTGCACCCTCCGCTTTGACAGAATGACATCCTCCACCCCCTCCCGATCGCCAAACTGCTTCTCAAATGTGGTGTAGGCCTTGTGTAGATTGACTGATTTGGAACGGGGCATTCGGTCGAGAGCGAATTTGTAGATTGCCCGTGCTCGTTCCAGTTCCTTCAAACTAGCCTCGAATTTGGCGTAGCTCATGAAGAGTTTCTCGTCCATAAAGTCGTCTCCAAGCGTCTCGATAGCCATGCCATACACCTCCCGAACCAGATCACTAGTGCCATTCTCTTGCTCGAAACGCGCCCACTTGATCCAATTCTGCGGCTCCGGATGAACGGTGGTGAATCTCTGGAATAGCTGCCGGGCTCTCTCAACCTCGTTGTACCTCCTCTCCAGCTTGATATAAGCAGACCATGCTGCTGGCTCAGGCTCCCAGGACATCCATCGCTCAAATACCTGGCGGCATCCAGCAACATTGCCCAAGGTCTCCTCCATGTAGACATACTTGTACCATAGCTTGTCTACCCGCGGGAGGTAAGACACAGCGCGATCAAGTACGTTCCTGGCATGCGCAATGTTCCTCTCCTTCATTTCGCTCTCGATGTACCGAACCCATAGCACCACCGACGTATAGTCCACATCCAGCGCGCGCTCAAAGATAGATCTGGCTCTTCGAAACTCCTTTTGCTCCAACTCGAACTGTGCATAGCGCATCCAGTTGTTCATGTTTATCCGATTCCGTCGTACATAGTCCTCAAACTCCTTCCTCTTTCGCCCTTGGTACTCATGGAGCTCCTCGAGATCGGCGAACCGCTGTGTCGGCGCTTGCAGGCCTGGTTCTTGTCGGTCGACGGCTTCGCGCAAAAGCTGTTCGGCGCTGATTTGGATGGGTGCTGCGGCCTTGTTCTTGACCCGAGGGGGTCCCCGTGAGGCCTCCATGGTGGCGGCACTTGGAGGTTGGAGTTGTCGTAAAGATAGGTGAGGGGTTTGAGGGCGCGTGCGCCGACAAAAGTCGTCGTCAAGTATGTGAAGTGGTGTTGGACGAAAGTTGTTTGAAGCAAGGTGGAGCTCTCGAAGTTTACCTGGATGGCCTGTGCGCCAGCACGTGACTGTTTACCGGCCCTCAATTTTCACACTCTTTTTCGACTCCATTCTAACAACACTCACACAATCGAAACCACCCCTGGGTTCCTTTCCAAGTCACATACATATTGTCTGAATCTCGATCTAGAAACTGTTAAGCGTTTATTGTTAGCCCAGGCTCTCTCTTTATGACGATCAACCCCAGAATCTGCCCTTGAATGCCTGTACGCAATATTGCTGCAGCAGATCAATCGTGTCCTTTTCACATCTAGTACTACCTAATCTTCAAGATATACTAGAAGCGGTAGGCTGCGGTCTAGTTATGCTCATTTCGACGACCTAAAAGGAGCCATGTGGTCATCGGCCGACAACGCATTCTGCCGCCTATGTATCCCAGCGTCGATGTTCCGTTATGGTAATTTTCCGTAACCCACCTTGAGGCGCCCTCTCCTATAGATCTCTTATTCAGACTTCCTATACTTTCATCTCTCATCAAGACCCAATCAGAGAGCTGCTTCCGTCCGGTGTGCTTCCGTGAGTCTCCGTAATCAAGGTGCCTGAATTCTTATCTCGCTTCACAAACGAAGCCTGCCCTGCTGCATCCATAACTTCCGCAACATACTACATGTACAAATAATTTCCTACACTCTGCCATCAAAGCAACGGATTACGTCACATCATCCTCAATGGTCTAGTGGTCATGATTTCCGCTTGTCAAGCCTCACAGCTCTACAAGCGCGGGAGAGTAAGCACCACCGCCAACCATTGCCTGATTACCAATCATGCTAACGGATGTTGCAGCCAGGGTTCGATTCCCTGTTGGGGAGCATGCTATCCTCTTGGATTCTTTTTTGCACCTTGACGGTCTACTTCACTGATGCTGGTGGACATATTTTTGAATGTCTACTGTGCGTACATCACTTAGCACGGATGTACTCATATTTTTAATATCTTCAGACCTCGTGTTCCACTCAACTTCATCCGGGACATCCGTGCTCCTTGGAACTGTCTGCCCATCCGCCCCGGCTACAGTTTCATCACCGGAAGACCGGACCCCGCAATTCACTAGCACACGTAACATCGTCCAAGCCCTCTGAAATTGCACGTATGGAGTTAAATAGTACTCTTATAAACATGGTCCAGATTAGGGAAGCGCCGTTCTTATATCTTGCGTTACTTCAGCCGAGTACGTCCAGGAGCCCTTCAAGACTTTTAGGGAGGTGTCGTTTCTTTCGGAACTGTGGGTCAATTGACACCCTGCTATCTCCACATCTTCTCATTCGCCCGTCCAGGGGGACTCCATGCCAGGAAGTATGGTCGTGTTCCTTCCCAAATGACAAGTTATTGCACATTAGGCACACGACACATATTTTTTTTTATTTCGCTTCGGGGATTCCCTACGCAGTAATAGTTGTACAGTACTATATGATTGTCTCTGTAATCTCATTCGCCTCCATTTCGGTGCCGCTCTTGATTAAATGACACCACCGTCGGGAATGACCCAATCAGGCCCTCGAACGGTTGGGTTTGAGGCCTGACAACTGTGTGGCGTGCCCTGAGCTGTTATTGAAAATCCGCACGAGATGCAACATTTTCGAAACTGCGAGTCGAAATAAGTTTTTTACAAAGTATAATCCGACTTACATGATCCACGTTCCTTGCTACGGTCTGAGGTGTTTCAAACCATCATCAAGAAGCTGGGCTAAATGTCGAAGTCTCGAGACCCCGTATTAGACTAACCATAAGCTCTGTCACTGTCTAGGTTACTTCGAAGCACTACCAGAATCAAGGCGAGATGTAACATTCTCGAGACTGCGAATTAGACTGCCGAATAACGAAGCATAATCCGCTTCTCTTGTCACTATCTGGAGTACTTAAAGCACTCCCCAAACATTCTAACGAGGTGCAAATTCTCAAGGCTGTGAAATAGAGGAACTTCGGATGGCTTGTAGCATAACGCGATGGCACAGCAGAGGCGCCCCGAGCAGGTCACACAATACGAAAAGATAAAACGCCACTTCCATAGACTGCAGTCGGGAGTGATGATGGCTCCCCACTGCCCCTCAGCCTGTAGCACAACAGCAAGAAATGAAAGGTAGCTTGGCCAAGCAAGTTCTATGTAAAAGGTCCCGCGATATCCAGTGTTTGGGACTACTTACGTGCTTCACATACGACTTCCAAAACATGTCCTCCGTCAAAGGCAAACTCTTCGCAATCACAGGCGCAGCATCTGGGATCGGTCTAGCAACAGCAAGACTGCTAGCTTCCAAAGGCGCTCTACTCACTCTCGCTGACACGGATATTGACGGGCTGGAGAAGCTGCAAGCGGAGCTGCTGGATCACACTAAGGTTAACGTAGATAAGCGCAATGTTGACGTCCGCGACTGCTCCCAGGTCGACTCCTAGATCGCAGACTCAGTGGTACATTTTAGTCGCCCGCTCGATGGTTAGTGACATCCCCCCCTCCCCGGTCCTCCTCACTTCCCGACTCGACAGTCTGCAATTATCACGGATATTTGAGAAAAGCAGGACTAACCCCCAGACCCTAGGCGCCGCAAACCTCGCCGGCATCTCCGGCGTCCTCGGCGCAGTGCGCTCGTTTAACGCGCATGACTACGACGACGTCTTCGCCATCAACGTCAAAGGAACCTTCCATAGCACGCAAGCCGAGCTCAAGCACATGCGCATCGCCGACCCCGCTAACGATATCGGCGGCGGTAGCATCGTCAACGTGGCCAGCGTAGTCGGCGTAAAGGGCCTACCAGGTGTTGGCGTGTACTCAGCGAGTAAGTTCGCCGTGGTCGGGATCACAAAGAGCGCGGCGGCGGACGAGAAGGAGTCGGGGATACGGGCTAATGCTATTGCGCCGTGAGTTGGTTTCTTCTATATCTTAAGAGGGTACTGGACGGGAGTCGAGGCTGACGTGTTAAGGTGAAGGGGATTCGTGGATACGCCGCTCATGACGAAAACGGATGAGCGGATGGGGGAGCCGCTACCGCATGGTTGTCTGTTGGGACGACAGGCAAGGCCGGAGGAGATTGCGAAGTTGATCGTGTTTTTGCTGTCTGATGACAGCTCGTATGTGACTGGGTCGGTGTATGGGATCGACGGGGGTACTGTGTTCTAAACCTGAACATGGTTGTATTGGCGTTACAAAGCTACATGACGGTTGGAGAAGAATCAACGGAAGATAGTTGGAGGCAGTGTTCTGGGGAAAGTCTGAGTACTGTGTCCTACTTAAAACCTGACTGCGCTTATCTCTACCCACTGACCTTTGACCGCTACCACGTACTGTACAACTCTATACAGACTTACAATGACAGCGATTTATATCTTCAACCCCAATATCTTTCACGATTAAGCCTTGAACTCCCCCAACCCATTACTCCTGAAATACTCCTATCACCATCCCCGTAAACCTTCAATCTGTTTGCTATAGTCTACCTCTTACCAGGCGGATTCATCTCAATAACAATAGCCTCAACACCATCATGCGACGTCTCGTACTGACTCCCAAACTTCTCCTGCGAGTTGCCGCTCCCTAGCGACGCCGACGACGGATCGTGAACTTCATTGTGACCGAAGCGGCCGGACACGTTTTGAGCGGCGGATATAAACCAAGGGAGTTTACCTTGTGGTCTCACTGTAGAGAATCAGCGATTGAAGGGTGATGACTAGGGGTTGGGGATGACTTACCCGTCCAGTACTCGCGGTGATCTTCATCATCAGGCACGATGTGGCCGCGGGAGATGAGCTTGGTGAGGTAGATAGGGCCGTTGAGGGCGGTGTAGACCATTATCCCCGCGATCAGGCCGTAAGCGGTGGAGTAGCCGAAGGGAATGAACATCACGGTGACGAAGGCGGGGATGGCGTCGCCAATGTAGCGCCAGTTGATATTGACGATTTGGCGGATCATTAGGCAGCCGACCTGGACTGGGTTAGTTTGTAGTTATCGGGAACGGTGTGTAGACCTTACCAATATCAATGTGCAACCAGTAGCCCACGGAGGGATAGAAGCGAAAATAGGGGCGAAAAACATAGAGACCAAGAAGCAAAAGCCGCATGTCATGGCGGTCAAGCCAGTTTTACCGCCCTCAGCAATACCAGCGCCAGACTCAATAAAAGCGGTGACAGGAGAGCAGCCAAATAGCGCGCCGACCGAGATACAGAAAGCGTCGGTGCAATATGCCAGAGTCGACCGAGGGAAGTCTCCGGTCTCCGTGTCGACGACACCGGAGAAGCGGGCCATGCTGTAGAGAGTGGCGGTACAGTCGATGATATCGACGTAAAGAAATGTAAAAAGAGCTAGGGCGAAATGAGTGGGTGCCACGGTGATATCCCAGTCCATCGCGTTGAGGGTTGAGTGGATTGGTCTGAATGCAACGACCTTTTTGAAGAAGTTGAAGCGAGAGTCTCCAGCTTCGGTATAATCAAAGTAAGTGAACGATGTGGTTCGTGGCCAGGACATGATGGAAACTAGGGCGATACCGACGAGGATGGCACTTTTCACCTTGTAAGACATGAGGTAAGAAGTTACAATGCCTCCACAGAAGATACCAATCCACATTGTAGGACTGGTCATCTCGTGACTTGTACAGAACCCATTGTCGTCCAAGTATTCCGGTGGGCATCCGGCGATGTTCAAAGGTGTAGCTGTTCCTCCGGTGATCGCACCAATACCAGCAGAGTAAGTGAGTCCAATCTCAGCGAGGAACAGGCCGATACCGCAACCGCTGGCGATTTTTATGGAACTCGGGATCATCTTCACCAACCACTGCCTCATTCCAATCAAAGAGAGGAATATGAAAATGAAGCCTTCAATGAAAACAGCGGTAAGAGCAAGCCGGTATGAGACGCCGCCGGTGCCATGGAAACCGACAACTTGGTACGCGAAGTAGGCATTGAGGCCCATTCCAGGACTATTGACCTGATAGTCAGAACTTGGATCGAACCGCATAGGGAAAAGATACTTACGCGAGGCAGACTGGCATGTTGGTCAGAAAACCAAACAGAAACGAGCTGAACCCTGCAATCGCAGCAGTGGCAGTAATGAGGTCCCGATTTAAGTCTAACCCAAATTAGCTTTGTACACCAAAAAGACGAAGTTAGTATGAACTCACCAAGGAGACAGGCATTGTAGGCAGGGTCTGCGGAACAAGTAGGGTCCTTTGTATCATTGCAGACACATGTTCCTCCAGAATCGGTCAAGACGGAGGCCTGTCACGTTTAGTGGTCTCCAAAGACTGCTAGGTTAGAACCCTACATTGACTGCAATGATATAGGCCATCGTGAAGAAGGTAGTAACGCCCGCACGAATTTCCGTCAAGAATCTCGTATTCGGAATTTCCTTGTCCTTAAGGAAGTCAGTATCAAGACTGTGCTCATCGCAGGGTTGACTCACATGTCCAGAGCCTTGAAGCCGGAAGATACGTCCAAACGTAGATGCACCCATCCAGTCATTGATGGTGATGCATGCTTGCCGAATTGCATCCATGGCGAAAAGGAATGAGTGGTGCGGAGAATTGACGAATGTACGACCTCCCGAACGGCAGCGAATTCTCCGGATGGAACGAAGGTGGGAAGCAGGTGGCAGCTAGAGAATGTGCATTTGGACTCCGGGAATATATACCAAGTACCAAGACCACAAGCAAATGGGAGAACGATGAGATCAACTCTAGGGCTCCTTGTCCAATTACTCCGCGAGACAGTTCGGGGGTCCGGGGTGGAGAAGAGATCGTACCACTCGCGAAGCCATAGGAGACCATTAGAGGCCAGACACCTGCCACGCCGCCAGAGGCCAACAGAAGACAGCTGAACCGGCACGCATGGCGTCGGTGTTGAAACGCCTTCACCTCAAGTTTGTTTTTGGCTTGGTGCCAGGCACATCGTACAGGTCCGATCTGGCGAATCCTCGTGTGTGGAGGTTGTGGGTAAAGGTTTGGTGGTGTTCATCGGGCGAGTCATGGAGGCTGGCGGATGGGCCCGCCATGCACGGAGCTCCAAGCATCTGGACCGGCATCGACTCCGCAAGGCTAGCCGAGTAGATCCCCCACATGGCATTGATCCTTTCCGCCCTATCATCCACTGCTGTCTCCTGGAACCACAACCGGGTCCACAGGAACGAGCACGGGATCAGGGGGATAACGGTGCGGTGTTACTTCCGTCGTGATGCAGGGCCGCATGAACAACAGAAAAAGGAAAGCATATCGCAAGTCTCTCGCCGGCTGTATCAGAAGCTGCAACTCCAGCTGCATCTCGGCCTCCCCGTCACACCCTCCACGTTGTTCCCGGCCAAGCGGCATGTGGCCCGCTTGTGGCTGCACACCATCTTCCAGAAGATGGCCGCCGCTGTCACTTCGGCCTCGTATCACCACGTGTGGCGCCCTCTCCGCGAGAGAGAGCCAGCGCCAGGAACGCAGCAGCCGACAGCCGGACCACGATCCACCGGCGGCGTTTTTATCTCACCTAGGGGCCATCGTACGATACCAGCGGGCCCAACCACGCGGCTTGTAGGGCATGGCCAGTGAGAAACGAGCATCGTGGCAGCTCGATTAAGCCACCACCACGTTGCGCTGATTGATTTCTTTCGGCATTCGGGACCAGCGCAAGAGACGTGCTTCCGGCCAGCCGCATTGCTGGGAGGCGCGTCCGAGGCCATGTCGTCAATCTCCCATGTCGTCTCCTGGCCTTTGGGATTTCAAAGTCCAGAGTGCCGGCCCAAGCTCACTGTGACGTTCGCTGCTTTTGAACCCCAAAGCCCGCTCCCGAATCCATTCCCTTGAAGCATTGCCAACCATGTTTGCGGCTGATTTGTCTTGGACAGACCCGACGGACATCAAGGTTGGGGATCGGAAAGAAAGAAAGCTGAAAGAAGAGCAGAGCAGGCCTCCCTCGGCCAGAAGTGCGAAACCTTCTTCCGTCAAAAGCTCCAAATCTAGCAGAAAAGATAGTGTTTGGCGTCCCCTAACAAGAGACACCCAAACCCTGCCTATCGAGACATTCAAGCCCCCCAAAACGTCAAAATCTTTGCCGAGACCTTCAACTTCGTCCAAGCCAGCTGTCGAGGATGGCCCTTTCGAATTAGAGGAAACGCGGAGGCGGTCTCCAAGATCTTTTCCAAAACCTCTCAACATATCACTGAAGGACCCATCTCTTCACCCAGCTTGGACCTATTCGGGAACTATTTCGCCAAAACTCCCTTCAGGGGACTCTTTCGATTTGCCCGGAATACTTCCGGACCCGCCTCGGACATCGTGGTCGCGCAAGTCCAGCTCAAGAGGCTCGAACACCTCCAGTAAGGTTGCATTCGCCCAAGCGCATTCGACATGTTCATTAACAATTAAAACAAGGAGAGAGCCCAGTCGAGCGAAAATCTAGCGACGAGATCATCGACGAAGTCCACGAAATCCAGCAACTGTCCCCTAAATCCTTCGTTTCCCGCACAACGCGGCGCAGTACCGAGGTTAGTGTCCACAATCTCCCTTTCGGATATGCCAGCAAGCTTAAACCTCTAGAGGTCTGCGCCGTGGAACGAACTCCAGTGCTTCCTGTAACTATGCAAGAGAATGTGAAGTACGACAGGTAAGAGCGTTTTCCAGGATAGCCGAAACTGGTTTGACAAGATACAGGATTGCCTCTATTGTCAAAATCCAGGGATATCTCGATGCCCACCAAGAGTTTGGTTGCGATGAAGACAAGAATATCAATCTGAGAGAAGACTCTCTGCTTGGCACCAAGATCCCCGAGAGTGCCTTTGCAACCGCACCTGCTACCAAGGAGAACGCGCCATATTCGAACAGCATTTCTCCAACTGTAGTCTCCTGGAAAGCGCCATTAGAGTGGGAGGTGAGCTTAGCTAGCGGCGCGTCGACCCTAGATGATCATCGTCTATCATCAGTGACAGAACTCTCGACAGGGAGCACAGCCGACAACCTGACGCACTTCCAGCGCTTCATTCGGCGTATGGAGACCGCCGGACCCAGAATAATCCTCGACCGACTGAGAGAGGAATGGCACGACGTAGACGAAGAAACAGACGACGAATTGAAACTAGAGAAACAGCTTTGGGTGTTAACAGCCTTGCAATTGCAAATTCTGGACAATTCTGCGGCGCCAACCCAAGATAGCCCAGGACAGCTACTCCGAGTGCCCTCAACGACGCAACCGATAGGCCACAAGAAGAAGATCCTGGAGCTATACAGCAACATCGGTAAGTTAGCCGCATCTTCATCGTAACCCAGAGCCCTAACACATTAGCTAGCCGAGGTCTACCAACTCTCCGCCATGCAGGCGAGAGCAAAGATATACTACCTCTCCACAAAGCCACAGGGCCAAGTCACGCTACCAGCAAACGTCTCATACCTAAGCGTTCCCCTAGCTGGCTCAGCTCCCTTCCCCTATGCTGCAAGTTCATTCAATCACATTCGAGCAAGCTCCTTGCCATCGTTCGTCCCTAGCGCCAAACTCCCTCAAGTCTTCAGAGAATGCTACCGACTACTTGCTCCAGGAGGCGTGTTGGAGATACGCCTCATGGACTCTTGCCCAGACCGTCAAACGGCGGGTCCTAAGATGCGCATGTGGATGGAAGACAGGGTGTCGCTCAACCTCGAGAAGTCCTTCAGGTGCTCGAGGCCATGCATGCTCGTGCCGACTTGGGTGGAGGAGGCTGGGTTTAGCTTGGAGAACAAAGACTCGGAGAGTACGACTCAGAAATTGCAGATTCCGACGGCGGTGGATTCCACTGACGGAGCTGTCAATGATGAACTCTTCACTCTTGTGGGGCGAGCGCTCTGGAAAGACGTGTGGGGAGAATTTGTTGATGACGTGCCCGGAGAGCCCAAGTGGTTCTGGGAAGACGAGTCGATCATGGAGGAGTGTTTGGCAAGGAAGACGGTTATCGAGTGCTGTACGCTGTTTGCGTTCAAGCAGTGATGGTAGCCTTCTTTTTTGTGTCTCTCATATGTAATGAAACTTCGTTCCCTTACTTCCTTTGGTCGGAGTACGCTGGCAGTGAGCGTCAGGCGATTGTTCTCCTTTATACCCTAATTCTCTCAAGGATTGAATGATTTCTTACTTCTTCCTCTACCTGGTTCGTAAAGATTGCTCGGGTTATTAACGTCGGAAACAAGGACACTGTTGTTTGGAGTGTAATTCGATGAAAGATGATTTGAGTAAATCCAAGTACTTGAAATCCAAGAGCAAATTTGAAATGAAAGACAATACTCAGCAATGGAACTTTTCAAATATCATCTTCATTTCCCAAAGAAATCTGTCCCCTGATCATGCGATCGCCTATCCTGAGGGACCTAGAATTTCCCTGGTCCGCTCTCTCAGTCATTTTCAAGGGAATATCCACGCGTCCTTCCCCGTCACTTTTGACCAACAACGTCCCAGCATGGTGGTCCGTCAAGGTCAAATATGCAGCGATGTACTCTAATTCCTCTCTTCGCGTCGCCAGAACGATAGTGCCATTGAGACTCTCACGGGCCACGAAAAGCTCGTTTTGTGGAATGTCGCAGGGTGTTATTGCCCAAGTATACAGATGCTCGCTATTTCCAGAGCCCCCTTTGCTATGTTGCTTGCGGAATGGCAACTGAACGAGACACAGTCTCGAGATGCTGACTCTCTCGATCGGGCATTTCTTTAATGTAGCTAGAGCGATGTCTTCGGCAGCGCGGACCCCTTGCATCACTGGATGCCCCCGAAAGAGCTCCCCGTGGGCGGTACTTGCGAACTTGCGTTGTACGAGTTGAACATCGTCCAGATGGATGATCTCGCAAATCTCTGCTCCTGACAGGGTTCTCAGAGTTGGAGCTGCCATGGACCACCGCGTTGGAATATTCACGTTCAGGATGGAATGTCCTAGGTGAATGAATAGGTCCGCTTGTGCAGTGAATATTGGGGCGCCTGCATTCACAGCACGGTTTCCGGTCTGAGATTGTATATGCTCTCGTGCGTAGTCCCGAAACCAGTCCCGAAACCGGTCCCACGATCGGTGGAAACCGCCGATAGTAGGGGGGAGGAACTCTTGGACAACGAGCCCTTTCTTGCGAATGGCTGTCATTGCTTTGAGCAGAGCGATATCGAATTCGTCTTCCTTGCGGTATGCTTAGTCCAGGTTGCACATCCCCGCTTAACAGGCTACTAGATCAGCCTCGTATCGTGCTTCGTGGTGGCTTGATGCAAATGACGACAGCATAAGAACCAGTCATGCACGGAACCGGGATCCCTCTTCTCGACGGGGCACCAAAGTGGACCCTTGGGGGAGATCTCGGACGCGAAGAAGGTGATTCATGCCAAAGTTTGGGAACTTGACCTGAAAGGACTGCTCCTCTGGATCAATCTCTTCGTAGTATCGAAAGAACTGCTCGTCTGGAAACAAGGTCTGAATTCTCTTCCAGGTGGGTGGAGCGGTACCTCTTGTCAAGCCCGTCCGAATGACTGCGTACTGGTACATCATCATTTGATAGCGAGTGAATAGCAGTCCGGCGCCGAGAATAAGACTTTTGACTGCATAACACGATTTCGCAGGACCGCCTTCGACTGCAAGCTCAATCTCGTTAGCAAGGGCCCATTCTTGGAAAGTCTAAGCACGTCTCCAATACGTGTATCTCTGCAAGTTGTCCTGTACTTGTTTCAAGTTCTCGAAGAACAGCTGTGACCATTCTGCGAGATGTTTGAATTTCGTAGGCTGTGGCGAACTTGGGTCTTCAATCTCGACTTCCTCGTTGTTGAAGAAGTTTCTGAGGTGTGAAAGGATTCCAATGGCGTTTTGGCATGCTGCTTGTAGACAGTCGAAGACTGGAAAGTCGCTTTCCGGTAGAAGTACTGCAACGCAGCTCGCGTTACCATAAACTGATCCCATTTGCGGTACAGTAGCTGCAATTTCTTGATGATCAGATCGATCAATTGAAACAGCATCGAGCCAGATACTGTTTCCACTTCCTCCTAACTCCATTAAGTTCTCGAATCTCTGGCGGTTGAGCACCGGCACCGATAGGACCTGACCGCACCATTGACAGGGCACTTTGATCGGTGATACCGAGCCCCAGACGTAGGACATGGCCTTGGAATTGGTGCCCGCAGCAGGCACTCCAGGAATTATTGTAACTAGACCACCCGATGGAAGTTGAAAAGTGAATTTGCCAGAGCATCGGCGGCATCTCTGGAAATTGAGCTCAGTGGCCTGAAGCTGTGCATCGAATTGGCTGGGTTTGGGAAGCGCCGCTCAGAGCTTTGTAGAGGTTGAGGCAGAATGTCTGCTTTTCAAGTAAAGATGAATGGTGCCATCGCCTAACACTTCATCTTGATTGGGAATCGTGCCACTTGCGTAACGCTGCGAGACATGCTCTAGGGACTGCTTGATAGGATCGGATCCAGGCGGAGCCACATGACTTATGGCTGAATTTAGGTTGCTGTAATCCATGATCGAATGTATGCAATGAGGTGACTGTCAAGGAGGACGTAAGTGATGGCCGGACATGCCTTATTAGTGTGCACACCTCGTTATGGTGGGAGTCTATGCTTAAGATCTGATTAGTAGAGGGCTTGATTCTTCCTTCGTATCACCTTCCCAGGCAGCAGAGTCGTCAGGCTGAGATTCGACGACCGAGGCTGGGTGATTTAGCTACAAGGGTAACATGATGTAATACGAGTGAGGGGACAAGGCTGTGCAGCTGCTACGGAACATTTGCGCGAAACTTTCGAGCATGTCATATGGAACAAGTTTCTTAACTAACAACGTGAGGGAAACAGACTCTCAACAAGCCAAGGATGGAAAGTTGAAGGTCCGGATTGAGATCAAGTCAACTTAGGATGCCAAGGCTGACTAAACCGGACCCACTTCGAATTCCGTGATGGAGATCACCTTCAATCAACGACTTCTCAATCTCTCCAGTGTTCGCGGGATAGACGATCTCAAACCTCTCTCTACCCCCTTCCTACAAAGTGTGCGTAGTCGCCTGCCGCAATTCGCAGAATCTACCTCTCCGCGAGTTCCCGCATAACCACAGCAACATCAACCACAACCACCCAACATGACGCTCATATCCACGTCCCTCAACAGCCTGGGCCTCGTGCTCCTAACTCACGCGTACGCCCCCTCAGTGCCTCTTCCTCAGCCCTACTAAAATTTCTCAGCGTCTACTCCGCTCATGAGCACTCTCTTCTTCCCACGACCGCAACCCTCCCTCTCGACATCACCATCGAGCTCCTGACCGCAGTCCTACTCTTATGTATTGGAATCGTGCTCGCGTCGCCGGATCTCAAACCGATAAATTGGAGCGTATGGGGTGGGAAGCTGTCGCGAGAGGAGCACAAGGCCGCCGTGAAGGCGGGGGATGTGACTGAGCGGGATCCGTATGTGCAGTTGGATATCAGGAGGGGGTTTCTGGATATCAGGGTGAGTGATTTCAATACAGTTTTATAATGGGCAGCTTTGAACGGAAAGGCTAACATTGAGTGTTTAGGGCAAGAGGCAGGAATTCGCGGATTGGGTTCGTGAGGGAGCTACTAAGTAGTGATTTGAGGATCGTGTGAGGAGTGATTAGTGAGTTTTGCATGATGTGAGGCGGAGAAGACTTGCTAATGCAATCACAGGATATCATGACTGGGCTACCGTCGTATAGAACTGGTTATTGAAAGATCTTTTCTACTCATTAGTCTTGCCCACTTCCTTTATGCCTGATTCTGTGCCTTTCCACATGCCCGCTAAACGCCAGAGATCCAAACATACTACATGAGATGAACGCCGTACTCGCCCGGTTGTATCAATTTTGTTCCTCTTGTCTCTATTTTGCATTTTCCCATTCCAGTCGTCAAGTTCAGCACTCCCGCGCTAAGTGAGCATATTCCAACAAAGTCTCCCCTTACGCATTCCCAACCATCTGATCAACCTCTGCCGTCTGACACAACCGCCTCCGACACCCCCAACACGCCGCCTGCGCCTCGGCATCGACCTCCACATCCCTCAACCGCTCCTCCTTCACCCCCATTCCCGTCTCCGCTCCCACAACGACCCCACTCACCCACCACGCCGCCGCACACACAATCTCCATCACCAGCGCCACCTCCGCCTCCTCCCGCGGCGCATATATCATGATAAACTCCTTCGGCACAAACCGCCGCATCCACCCCCCCTTCGCCAATGGGTGCCTCTCGCCCCACCCGTTCTCGATGACCAGTTTGGCGTCCGCGGGGTGGAGCGTCATATGCAGACTTCCGTCGCTGGGATGCGCGTGACATACCTCGCCCCCGCATGTTCGCGTAATGGGGGTTATGGCGAAGAGGCCCGCGCTGTGTTTCTCGAAACAGCTCGTCTTCTCAACGAGGGCGTTCTTCGGGTGCGTGGTTAGCTCCCGCATAGCTGTTGACAGTCGCAGGTAGATCGGGAGGCTGGATTTCTGGTCCATTTGCCGCTGGGGCGCGATGCCACGGATCGTCGGACGGGTTCCAACGCGTGGGGGCAGCTGTTTCAGGTAGCCTGTCTGCGGGCGGAAGTGGGAGGGGATCGGGGCCGGGGCGTGGACGTTGCGGAGGGCGATGAGGGAGAGGAGTTTGATTTTGAGGTAGCCTAAGGGCGTGGAGGGGGTTCCGCCGGGGCCGAGGGCTTTGAAGGCGCGGTAGTCGAGGGTTAGGAGGTAGAGAGCGTAGAAGGGAAGTGCGAGGAAGACTAGTCGAAGAGCGAGCTTTGTGATGGAGTTGTGAAGGGAGCTTGTGAGACCCCATGCTGGGGAGGCGAGGGATGAGATAGGCGCCTCCATTGTGGGTGGTTGGTCTCTGGGGTGGGTTTGGAATTGCTGGAGGGGATGTTAGATTGAGGATACTGGCGTGGGACTTTGTGATTGAGGTATCTACGCACGAGTTGAGGGAGCATGATACACGCGGATGAGGAGGTTTCGGAGCAACAGCGAAGCAACACCCTCAAAAGCTTTTAGAACTGTCAATTGAATGCCTTGTATTCAAGCAATGGCAATCCTCCCGTTCTCCTTCAATTGAGTGTCAATCCAGTTTGCAAAGTCAATTGATTGCCTGCTCAGCTCACAGCTCACGCGGTTGAACAAAGAAGAAGATCGTGAGAAATCCGAACCCTAAATAAACTCCCCACTCACGATTTTAAAGGAATCAGGCGACCGCTACTCACCCCCTCCCATTGGGCCCTCGCACAACGCAGGCGTTCGAGCGCTGCGAATCATTCGTTCGTGAGACCTTGTGACGTTCGCCCTCCAGCAGCTGCTGTCCCGTGTCCCTTACGCTGCGGGTCGGCCTAACCCTCTTCAGCCCGTCCACAACGTCCCCTCTCCACCCGCAGTCCACTCACCACTCCCCCTTCCCGCACCAAGCTGGCCCCTCAAACCCTCTAGCTCCCGCAATGGCACTGTAACGCTATCGGCCCAGCGTTTTCAGCTCCCCGGAAGCAGAGTCTGCTCTGACAACCTCCCACGTCGCGGGCTCCGCTGGCAGTGCTGGGATCACATGCAGCATAACCGACACTCGGGCAGCGGGAAGGCTCTGGCTGTGACAAGGTGACTTCGTCACGCTGCGTGCGCCTATGGGCGACGATCCCGATTGCCTTCATGGACCCGCGTGCTGAGCTCAGCCAAGAATTGTGGAGCGCGGCGAATTCTTTGCTGATGTTTGTTAGGTTCTTATTGGTGAGTTGGTGGTCAGGCCACGGCATGTTGGTTGTTGCTTGCTCGGGCTGAATCTAGAGGCAATGCAAGGCGAGAGTCATGGGTTTATTTGCCCGATTGAGGGGCTTGGGGAGGAGAGCGTACGGAAACAAGATTGTGGGATGGGCTGAGGACGGAGTGGCTCCGAGAATGTTGGGAATAACCTCTCAATTCAATCTGATCAATGCTTCAGCGCTCCTGTTGTTACCTCTGTTTCTGTTTGCGTTTGCGAAATAGGGACGAGGTGTTCTGGAATTAGCTTGAGCGTTTGGTAGTTAGTAGGTTCCGCAAAATCAGTGAAACCGTGAGCTTGAGAAGCGTCCCGGGCAGATATCCCTTGAACGTATCAAAGCAAACTCTTACGATTATCTTCATTGACCGGTCAGTGGTTGGTCGAGTTCCTGCAGCCTCATCAGCTCTATCCACTTGGCTCTGTGTTCAAGCATGTGGACAATTCCTATTGGTGGTTGTGCTCTGATTTGCTGCAGGCTTCATTATCAACACACGTGAGCTATTCCCTCATTTCACCGTGAAATGCCCACTCTGGGCCATCCGAGAAGTGGGGGTAAACTCTGCAGAATCTCACTGCAGGATCGATTATCGTGCATGGCATGTAGATACACCGTCCTGATGCTTATTGGTCGACCTATCTGATCCAACCCAACGCCCCATTGCCACATCAAAGTTTGATGCTCTTCACGAGTCCCGGTTTTATGCCAGTTAGTTCGCCCTTGTACCCTCCTCTGCCTTCGCCTCCAGCATACACCGCCTTTTGACTCTTTAACTTCTTTTTCTTCGCGTCGTACGCCATCCGTTTCTTTACTCTGGGCTGCAGACTGTCAGTGTATGCATAAATGAGAAGTCGCGAGGAGAAAGACTTACGTTTCTGACCTCCTTCTTGCGATGTGGCGTTAAACCCTAAAAATCTTGGTTAGCCTGTTGCCCTGCTTTGTCCCATAAGACTTTGATTGGCCTGTTCACTTACTTTGTTTTTCTGGATTTGGTAAGTGATCTTGCGTTTGCCGTCGGCACCGATCTGCTCCATCTCAACCACACGGCCGCCTTCCCGAGCCGCGAGGGCGCGCGCTGCTGCAAGGTCGGTTTTCACAGACTTCTTGTCTTTGCTGCGTGCAGCGACCAGGTCATAGTACTCGTCGTCACCGCCTCCCTCTCTGCCACGTATGTCCTGGACCTGTCGACGGTCCTCGTCGTCGCTGTCGCCGCCAAGTTCAGCACCGGGTCCCTTTCTCATGGTACCTCTCTTCTCTGCTTCCGCCTGGAGTCTGAGTTGTCGATCCCGGAATCTTTCGCGGTGAGGGATGTCAGCGTCACCTCCTTGATCTCGCCCAGCTGCACCTCGCTTGATGGCCTTTTGGGCAATTTGGGAAGTGTAGAATCGCAAACTCTTCTTTTTCTTGGCCTTTTCTGCGAGTTCGTGAGCGGTGATCTCAGTTTCGTCGCCGAAGTCGGAGTCTTCTGCATTGCCTGTGGCAGCAACTGATTTGCTCGATTTTGACCTGCGAATCTTTCGAAGTGCACTCTTATCCGTCAGTGATGCAAGTGCAGCAAGTTCTTCCTCTGTCTGGCGGATTTTTTCAGCACGACGTGCTTCTGCTTCGGCCTGGGCTATTTCGGCCGCTCGCTGTGCCTTGGTCTTCTTTACTCTCTGGGGTCTCTTCTCAGCAGTGATACCCTTGCCAGTTTTACTATTTAGGGTAACATCAGCTGCCGAGTCATCTTCTTCTTCGATTGATGAAAGCTCCCCGCTGTGAATAGCATCGACCATAGGATCTGCCGTGTTGATCCCCTTAACTTTTGACCATAGCTGCCGACATTGTACAAGGCTTTCCATTACTGGATGATCTCGCAACTCAGCAGGAGACTTCGCTGTTTGCACAGAACCATTTAGGGTGGACGTTGAGGTGAGAAGGGCAAAGTACATAGCAATAGCTGCTAGATATGCTGCGAGCGCCTGGTACTTGAAAACTGCCATCGGGGGTCGTTTGGATGGATAAGAGTCTTTGATGTGGCCATTATGCCCTTTACGGAGTCGTAGTAGGGTCTCCGAAGCGTTAGCAGCCAGTGCCAGCTCGTCGTGAAGTGGTTGGAGATCTAAGAACTCCTTGGCTAAATGATCGAACTCGGGGTATCGGGTCTTGAGTAATCTTAGACGTTCCTCAGCCCCCATATCGTCTGTAATTGTGAGTTGTGGTAGCACCTCCGTCACCACATCGCCATCATCGTCCTCAGCGCGCTTAGCGTCCTCGGCATCTTGACCTAGCCACTCGTCCGCATCGAATGCGAAGTCTGCCTCACTCATGCCTTGCAGTTGCTTCTGTTGTATCCGCCTGGCTTCGGCTTCTTCATCCAGCGCATCTTGCTCGGTCTCGATAGCGTCGGCGTTGTAGTAATCCTTCTTTGATGGACCCCAGCCCTCTTCATCTTCCTCTTCCTGCTGCCTCTTATCCATGTCTATGTTGTCTGACATGTCATCGTCCTCATCTTCCTCCAGGTCTTCGTCCTCGTCCCCAGATATCGCTAAAACTTCTTCGTCCGATGGCTGTAGGAACTCGTCTAGAGGTTTCAATCAGCAGAGGCACCCAGACACTTTAACAAATCCATCATACCCTCTTCGTTCCACTTTCTCCTCCGCTTGGCCTCGGGCGCCTCGTCCAGCAATACCTTGTCCTGGTTGATATGAAATTCATCCTCAGAGTCGGCGACGTCTTCGTAGGTGTTGATATTAAGCTTCGAATTCTCTTTCTGTGCGCTCTTGCTCCCGTTCTGCCCAAACGGTTGGCCGCCAGCTTTCCTCTTCTTTGCCATCGTTGCTGACGTTGTGTTCTGCTTCAGAGCTGGTAGGTTAAATTTTCTTGGAGCTCCGGCGAAATAGGACCCCGCTCCGGCGGTGACACTAGCGCCAATTTGTGCTGACGCGACAGGGATTCGCAACGCGACTCTTCATTTGTCGAGGTCTGGCTGGGGGCACATCAGCACAACCCAATTCCTTACTCTCTCTCCTTTTCCCAATGGCTCTAGGTGTCGTCGGGGCTTCTGTTTGTCTACTAGTGTTTCTCGCAATTTTATCGCTAGATATTATGGGCTTTCTCTCGTGGAAAAACCAATTCCCAGTGGATGGAAAGGCAAGTCGGTATGGAATGATGGGACTGAGTGAATGTAGCTAACTTTGTAATAGACCGTCCTTCTTACTGGCGGCTCACAGGGAATGGGGAGAGGACTTGGCAAGCTGCTTGCACAAAAAGGCGCAAATGTAATCATAGTCGCGCGGGACGTCAAGAAGCTGCAAGCAGCAGTCGAATATATCTCTGTCCGAAGCCTCGTTTTACCACTACGATACAAACCCTAACACTCCCAGGCCGCCGCCAAAAGCCAGACCCAGCGATTCCATTACATCGCTGCCGATGTCACTTCAGAGGCAGAGAATATTCGGCTTCTCGAGGAAGCTACGACATGGAACAATGGCCAAACACCCGAAATCGTTTGGGCGAATGCCGGCGCTGCAAAGCCGGGCCTTTTCCTTGAGACACCCCTCGAGACAATGCGCAGGCAGATGGATATAAATTACTGGGCAGCTGTATACCTAGCGCACACGACTTTGAAGAACTGGCTCTACCCCTCCGACGCTTCGGCCCACAGCACAACCATCCAAGCTCCGCGTCACTTCATCATTACCTCCTCCAGTGTCGCTTGGTGCAATATTGCTGGCTATGGCACATATGGGCCTGCCAAAGCTGCTCTCCGCTCTATCTCAGACTCGCTGCGCTCTGAATTGAACCTCTACAACGGCGCTCGCCGTTCTACTGCCACGACTACCAAGCCCGCTCCTTACGACGTCAAGATCCATGCTGTATACCCTGGGTCTATTCTTTCTCCAGGTCTCGAACTCGAAAACCAATCAAAGCACCCAGTGACACATGAACTAGAAGCGTCGGATCCGCACCAGACAGAAGACGAGGTCGCGGCTGCAGCGATAAAAGGGTTAGAAAGAGGCGATTATATGATTGCGACGAATTGGTTGGGACAGCTCATGAGAGTGAGTGGGATGCAAGGGAGCCCGAGGGATAGCTTGCTTTGGGATACAGTTGGGCAATGCATTACAAGCATTGCGTGGTTGTTTATTGGGCCCGACATGGAGGGCAAAGTGTGGAACTGGGGCAAGAAGAACGGGATGCCTGCTGCGCCGAAGTCTTGAGTCGAGTTGAAAATCGCGACGTCAATTTGGAGAGCTTAATGGTTTGTATGATCTTCACGGTATGTTGGTCCTTGTTCCTCAGTGTCGAGCGACGCTCAAGCCTTCATATCCATGTGTCCTCAAATAATTTTGAGCATAATAGCAACTCATCTCATAAACGTATATCACTCAAGCATTGGGAACATCTGTTGTTTGATTGTATCCATTGTTTTTGATTTCTCGCCAGTGCGGCGGATGCTATATACCATTTCCAGTACTTTGGCTTCGTACTGATAGCCAGCCCAGCTCACACCGAGCAAATTACCATTACACCCGCATATCCAATGCAGGACCCTAATACCCGCCCAGACCGACCGATGGTATGACCCGACCTGACCAGAGCTCCGAAACTCGCAGATGATGCAACGCTTATCAAGACAGTGAAGACGCACGCCCTTCCTCCAGAATGCAACGCTCACTCAGAGCTTTTTGTGGGAAGGGAACAGTGGGGACATAGAGACACGCTTATAGGAACGCAGCCATGAAGGCACCGACACCAACAACGGCACCGGTCAGTGCCTGCATCGTCGCTGCAGCACCGGTGCTCGTCGCCGAGCCAGTACCGCTCGCGCCAGTTCCAGTTGCCTTGTTGCCCGTGGGTGTGGCAGTGGTGTGGCCCTTGCTATCCGTCAACACCTGGGAGCTGCTGCTCGCCTTAGGCGTCAGTATGCTAGTGGTCGCGTTGCCGACGCTGACAACGATGGTGGTGGTCGAGTTGGTGCCCTGGCCTTGCACGACAGTGTTGAAGCCGGATGCGAGAGCGGGGAGTGTCGCGACGGCGGGTTGGGAGGTGATGACAGCCGGCTGGGTGGTGACGACGGTGGGTTGGGAGGTCACAACGCTCCATTGGCCGGTGACGACGCCGCCGGAGCCGGTGATGGAGAGGAGGGAGGTGTTGGGGTTGTCGTTGGAGACGACAGAGGCGCTAGAGGAGTCTGCGGCCATGGCGGCGGCAGCCAGGAAGGGGACTGAGAGGATGGTTGAGGCACGCATGTTGACTTGTTTGAAAGTTTGTGTGGGAGGTGTTTGTTTGTTCAGTGGAGTGAGGGTAAGGTTGGTGAACGAAGGCAGTGAACTGTTTGTTTGTGTGGAATGACTTCGAACTTGCAGTGATAATGAGAGCAACGAAAGAAGAGGACACACAACCTTCTTTAATAGTTGCAGCAAGTGGTCAGAGCAGAGCCGCAGCGAAAGGAGGCAGGACGCGAGACTAATAGAGGCCCGTGTTGACTCCAATGCCCCCCTGCGCCACCCCAGCTCCTAGCAACGGCGCATCCCCAGCCCTCGCACGGAACACGCAATTATTGACCATTTCTCCCGCTCTCCGGCCCAGTCAAAATGCCCCGTGGAAATCTATTAGCGAATTTCTACTTCTGCATGCAACCTTCCCGTCTCTGCGTACGAGCCGGGAGCCGGCGCTGCGTCGTGATGCGCAAAATCGAGTGGTTGCTGGGTGCTCGAGAGGCGGGTTCGTGTCCCGCCTCGCATTACAACGCGTCTTCGGACCTCTCCCGCCCCGTGCGTTTCGAAATTTCTAGCACGGCGGGGAACGCTAGAGAATGGACCAGCCCGCCGCCACCGTTCGTTCGTTTCTGCGGGAACAGGCCTTCGGGAAGTCGTGGCATGGCAACCACTCATTCACACAGTACCAACCTGCCGTTGATGAGGCTGGGGCACAGTAGAGAAAGGAAAACGGGAAGGGGAGAGGACAAACAACAGCCCCTTTTCTCCTGACGTGACATCCAGCAACCCGTCAACACGATATTGACCCTTGGACCCTCTTTCAGCGCACAAGCTTCCGCAATGCAGAGAGGGCATTGCGTATCCTGGTCTAAGAATAGATGTGCAGGATCTTCGCTCAGCGCCGGGGGGTCGAGATTTTATGCAACTAATGCGGCTTGGGGATAGCGGGCTGTGCCACAGCGCCGACACCTCACAGGAATTGGCGATGGCAGACAACAAGTGGTGAGGGAGGTGGGGCTTGCCACATTCCAATAGTTTTGTTGAAGCGCTTCTGCTTTATCGATTGTGCCGCGAGGGTTTTGGGAGGGTGGTGTGGTGGGCCGGCCAGGGGGCTCGTATTCAGCACCTGACTGACTCCTTGGGCTTTGGAGAATGGTGTCAGCGTTGTCAATATTAGGCGTGCGCATTGCGTGGCTGTCTTTGATGTCGTCTCCGATTGATGAAGGCTTAGAAAAAAGGCGAAGAAAGGCCCCATTTCGTAACTCCACCAGATGTGAACTGGGATGAAGGTTGACCAATTCGCACAGCCTCTTGTGTTACGAAGGTCAGCGTAAGCACGATCGCGGAATTCCTCAACTAATTCGTTCTTTCTCTTCTAATATCGAAACCAACCCTCAGAATTTTCATATCAGTGTCTACTTGAGAGAGAAACTACGGAAAAGGGCTATAAAAAAAACTAGATGCTATATATGAATGTCTTTTGTTCCGCAACAAGTATCCAAAGTCAACGTACCCCCAGACATCCATCTTTGCAGACTACTAGCTGGCGCATTCATCCAGTTTCATATTAACCCAAGCATGGTTTCCCGACCTCAGGACAGCATGAAATGGTCACAAGCTTCTTGAGATCAATATCTCTTTGTCAAGATACCTTTGTACTTCCCCAAAGAACTTCCATGACCCAAGTAAGGCCACCGAACATGATTAACACGACAATCTCTGGTGATAAGGCCTTCGGTTCTCAAGACGCGTCACGCATTGCATTAACCGGAGGCCTGAAGGCTTAGAGCACGCGAGCGACCCACCATCCTGAACATAGCTGACGGTTGCGAAACTTGATAGACAAGTTCCGATCCGCCTATCTAGGACACCCTCAGAGCATACACGGGTTCTGATAAGTATTGGCAATGGGAAAAGTGTAGAGTGGCTATAGACGAGAGTGTATCCAAGGCTGCTCCCGGGTAGGTTCTTCGTATTGTTAACATCGTTTGCACAGAAGTCTAATCTGGACGCTGAAACTTCGTTGCTAGAACATGAAACTGGTAATCGGACTCAAGGAAAATGTTCGAGCTCGGTGGCTGCGACATATTGGGCTGCTTCAGACAGGAAAAAATCGATGGCCGCGATCGTTTGGACTGGAGTGCCTTTTGGACGCTGATTTGGAATCGCCAAAGTCGACGACTGGAAATCGGGCTCGTGAAATCGGGCTTTGAGTGGTATGGACGAAGGCACTGTCCAGAGTGCTTTAATATCGCAGATTTCTTTCCAGGCCAAAGCACCACGAAGTCTTGAAATAGACGCAGCAACCAAGGGCTAAGACAACTGCAATGCTGTTTGACCTTCTTTCTTCTTCGAGTGTAGGTATTATCCATTCATTCCACATCTTCCATCATATTCCCATATCCATCAGGCCACACTCCCCTCGTTTAGACATCATTACCAGTAATATGTACAACATAAGAAAGTTCCAAACCAGACTCTTTCGTTGTGCTGAACAGCATCAAGCCACAGCCTCTACTCCGCACACCTCACATCAAAATAACGCAAGTAGCAGCCCAAGCACCGCAAGCCCCCACGACCTCTCCCGCGTGCTCGCCGCCGCCTGCATATTCTCGAACGGGCTGCCGTTATCCGTCGGCCCGGCCTTCTTCGAGCTTTTCGTCGATGTGACCGTCTGCTCTGCCTGCTGCGGCCCTGTCGTCGCGGCGGGCGCGGTGGTACTGCTATCCAGCGGACTCGCTGACACCACAAGCGTGCTCTGCTCAAAAGTCGTAGTTTCAGCCGCACCGCCGGCAACACTCGTCTCCGGATTCCCATAAACCACCGTACTGGGCTCCACAACCACTGGAATGATCACATACACCGTAGACCCCTGGCTATCCGTTCGGGTCTCTGTGATTGTAGACGTATACGTGCTCGTAATATAGTCCTGCGATTTATCTGTATGGTGGTGCTTCTCCGAAGCGGGTTTCGCGGTGGATTTAGCTTTAGGGGAAGCGGTTTGGGTGGCGCAATTCTCCACGCTCTTAATGATGGAGCTGGGGATTGGCTGGTGGACGGTGTTACAGAGCATTTCGAGAGGTCCTAGGAAGAGCTGCACGTCCCAGTCCTCCGAGTTGCAGTCAGAGCGCGCGCAGGAGACGGTGTCGGTTAGGAAGGTGCCTTTGCTTGCTTTACAGATGCCTGTGGGTCCCACGATCAGCATTCAGTACTTTGTATACGAGCTATAGGTGGAGCGAGAGTATACACGCGTCTCGAGAGTTGGAAGATGCGTACATGGCAGGTCCCATCCGTCACAGTTTAGATTCGTTTCCGCGACGCACGATCGCCAGCATTTTGGTAGACTGTCTACGAGCCCGAAGTCTGCGGATACTGAGGCGAGGAAGGCGAAAGCTGAGATGATTGAGAGGAGCATCTTCGCGCGAGCTTCAACTCTCACGGAGAGGGCGCTTCCCAGATTCCAGTGGGGGCAAACAGTGCGAGGCTGAAAGGTAAAATATAGACACAGAACGAACGACCACAATTGACGGAAGAGACAGAAAAAGAGAGAGAGGGAGAAGTGAGGTTGTATACCACAGGTGGCCACCCTACAAACAGGCTTCAAGGCTGTGCAGCACGCCCCCGTGTTCTGGTGAGCTGAGAGGCAAGCATCCCCTCGGCTGCCTGCATGCATCTCGTGGCTGGCCTCTCGCAGCCAACGCCGAGCCCAGTCCAGCCCGAGTTTGTTTCTGATCTCCGCCCTCCGACGATCCTGTCATAACACGGCGTAGCCATGCACTCGCCGTCCCGGGAAAGGCGGCGATCGGCTGTGTTTCAGGATGCCGGATCTTGGCTCCAGTTGCCGTGCGTCTTCGGCTTGTAGCGTGTGATTGGGTCGCTGGACGGCTGGTGCTGGATTTGGGTGGGTTTAGGGCTCAAGGGTCTCTTTAGACGTCAATTTAAAAGTCGCAGGGGCACAGGGGTCTGATATCTGCATGAAGCTCTTCATGTCGCGTTTATGTGTACTAGTTGTATTGCGCGTGTGTGGCTGGTAGCCTTGGATGACGAGACTACATCAACTGGAAGCAGATCTTGTGAGCACCTGAATCAGCACGCAATTCGGGAGGTGAGGAAAGAGCTGCTAAGACAGTAGCGTCTAAGGAGCCAGACGAGGATGTTGACCTGAAGTGTAAGAGCCTTTCATCATCGGTTTTGGTACAGTTTCCTGCCACTGTTGTGGAAGACTTGTTCAGAAGAAAGTTGGGATTGATTCTCTACGAAATGCAACCACTAATGAGCGTTCCATTAGAACCGTGTAGCTTGCGGATTCTGGACCTATTCTAGAAGGATGCGCGCTGGCCTAAGTTCATCCATAACGACACCAGCACCGGCTGGTCTCTCGAAAGTGTAGGTAGCCGAGTTCAGGGATGTTCGATTCACCATCGGATAGCACTTTGGGTTTCCTAAATCCACTAGTGGCTAGCTGCTTCCCGTTGCAATGATGACACACGTCCACTACTTGGAAGTCGTGAATATGAGCCGTGGCATGCTTACTCAAAGCAAAAAAGCAGTCGCTGCTGAACTCCCCGCCCTCCATCAGTAGCTTTTGGATTGAGCTTTCGCAGTCCTGTTTGGAAATTTCGGAATGGCAGGCAACCATAACCTGAACCAGGGCATCTGGGAGTTCACGGTCGCTAGAGGGGGTGCAATCGTAGGTAGCGCGAACGACCTCCGGGAACCAATCCTTATTCCACTCGCCACTTGTAACATCTAGAAATCGTTCTTTGGCCAGCTTTTGGAGGCAAGGGACATCGTATTTGTGACCGATCTCGTAGACCTTAACGTGGTGGAGTGCCTGCATGCCGTCCGGAGCTTTCAGAAAGGTGTAGTCGCGGGTATATGCAAATTGTAACATCGACTTGACAGCAGCGGGAGCGTCGTGACTGAGGTCGATTACTCCATCAGACTGTTCCTATAAAGTGAAAGCTAGTTAGCTGTGACCCTCGTTTGAAGCTGAGAGTCTTGCGATGCGACATTCACCTTGAAGCCCCTGCTGCACGCATTATGGAAGAACTTGATCTGGGTGCAGAGAATGACCCGGTGGACCTTGTAGGTTACGTCTCTGCAGCGGATTTGAAGGTCGCTGAACTCTCCCGAACTCAATAAGCTGTGCCAAGGTTACTGTCAGCAAGAGCTAGTACAACGCTTCGCCACCGTCTGAGGTGGCCAGTAAGTTAACAGCTCAGCCAGAATGATGAACTACCACCTCTTTCAGATTCCTCAAAATAGATCGAGGGATGTCAAGCGGCGATAGGCAGGTGCTTACACACTTGTAGTGAGACGGTGTAGAGCGACAGCTATTATGCATACTTACCCCGATACATTGAGGACGATGCCTTCGGGACTCGGCATCGTAGCTACGACAGCCACCACGGCTGTGCTTGATGGTCAAGGCGAGAGAGTAGTGTGTTGAAAGAGTCAAGGACGGCAACGAAGTTGTAGATAAGTGAGATAGAAAGCACAGATGTGGGGCGTCGCTAGCGCCTTCAAGCGAGGTGAATAGGCGGAGGAGAATTATGTCATGAGTGAAGTGGAATCGCAGCGGCCAATGCTTCACTCGTCAACCTTGCGCGCCACCGTCCAAGGCGGCTCAACGAGTCACTGGGCTGTGCAGAAGTGTGTTGTTCAGAGTTTTTAAAAGAGGTTAAAGAACCTCAGGCGGCAGTAAGGTGTAAATAGACCTATGACAAGATGTTGCATGAGGAGGACATAAAGGAGCCGGATCTCAAAAGTCGATGTCTTTTTGAAGTCACAGCAAGAAAGGAATCAGGATGAGAACTCGACCATAGAATGAGCGTGTCTGGGAAACACTACACAGCAGCGGCGCATCCAAACACAGACCAGGTACCTCTTCAGCAGGCCGATAAACCTATGTTTAACGACTAGGCCCCTTGAACTCATGCTTTTTCGTATCCAGGCACTTCGTTCTCGGTCCAACAATCCTCTTAGCTTTCAGGCTCGCGCCTCAATAGACAAAGATCGCAAACGTCCTCCTCCACCCACATGAAGCCTGTTGAAAGCGCCTCAATCCCGTCCTCTGTCGTCTTGAGGCCGCATTCAGGACATACATATACCTCCTCAAACTTCTTCACATCCCCGTTATACAGGTCGCTCATCTTAGCGAAGCAATCGCTCGCAAAGTCTGGAATCTCCGCCATCAGTACCCGAAGTGGGCTGCTGCTGTCTTGTTCCATGATGCTGGAGTGGTTGTTCCCGACGATGGCGACCATAATATTGCGTAGTCCACGGTCACTTGTGTATGTAAATTCGCAGACTTCCCGGACTATATCGGCGAACCAGTCCGCCTTCCCCATATCGTGAAGGAAAGGTCTAATTCGAAGCTCGGTCAACGCTTTGAGCCCCGTGAATTCGTACTACGAAGCCATTGCGTAGGCCTTGACGTGATGCAGCGTGTGGGCATACGTCTTCGGTAGTGGTGATGAAATCGGAGCTTCCGGAGTGGTGTAGTCAAAAGTGTACGCATATTCTAGCATCGATGCGACGGTAGCAGGGTTGTCGTGGCTGAGGTCAATTACGCCCTCTTCGGCTTGCTGTATCGATTACCATTAGCATCATATTCCCTTGTAATTGATCTCGATTGTGGTGGATATGAGCTTACCTTGAACCCCGAGCTACACGCTTTGTCAAAGAATTTGATCTGGGGGCATAGAACCATCCGGTGAACCATGTAAGTGGTGTCGTTACAGCGGACCTCGAGGTCGCTGTATTTCGCAGAGTTCATGTAGCTCCTCCACTTAGTGAGAGCGTATAAACGATAGGGTCTGGGTAGAAACTTACCCCGATACGTCGAGCACTATGCGTTTAAAGACCGACATTTTAGCCACGCAAGCTAAACCAGGCCCCCCTCCATGCGATTGGCGATCAAGGTGAGGAGGATGTGAAGAGAGTGCAGTAGATTTGACAGAGGGATCAAGTAGAAATTACAGAGGCTTCGCGCGGCTAGCGCGCCCGAGCATGTGGCTGTGACGTTGAAGCTAGGTTTCGTGACCACCGCAGACCAGCGCGCATAACTTTATGCAGAGGAAAGTGTAGGGCTTTAGAATCCTTTCACTATGGAAAAACAAGCGATTGGAGAACCGATCAAGAGAAGATGATTGCTACTCCACTATTTAAAGGCATACCCAAGAAACCTTCACCTTCCTACAGTGAATGTTCTACTACTGCACAACCAACAATCGATGTCCTGCGCACCGCCATCAGGTGACCAGTTAACGAGATAGCTGTCCACGGACGGTACCTGGCACGGCTAAGCTGGAATGCATATCAGTGAAGAAAGCCTCTGCATTTTCCTCGATCTGCTTGATGTGGAACCCATCCGCGGTGTCAACACCCACAACCAGAACGCCAGTCTTGAACGGGCCCTTCAAGCAACCCACACTGTTGCGAACAGGCCCATCATCCATCGGGTTCGGGAACGCAAGTCTATATTCATATGCTAGCACTTGCCTACAATCAGGAGTCAACTGGACTACGTCCTTACCTCGGTGTCTAGCCATGCCCTTGAGGTCCTTGGTGGATGCGCGTGACAGTCTGCGCAGGGCTCACGTACTCGCCCTTGAAGCCTTTCAGGGTAATGTCGTAGCAAATAACATTATCCTTGGAGTTGATGCCGTAGCTGTAGTAGCCAATGGCACCCTTAAGACCGCCGGTGGCAACGCTGATATAACTGACGGAAAGCTGTTAGTGTCTGCTCCCGGCTCCATATATTGCGGCATCTCACTTTACGACCTGCTTGGGGGTCGCGATGACGTTGTAGGTGGAGGTGAACTCGAAAACCTCCTTCTGGTGCTTGTCCTTCTAGGACTTGTCTCCTTACCCTAGGTGGGAATTGCTGTGGTGGTGAGGGCTAGGGCAAGGGTGATAAAAGCGGCCTTCATTTTGATGATAGTGAAGCTTGAATAGTATTGAGATGCAGAGAGCGTTGAGATGGTTTGATGAGAAGGTGCTTAAGTTGTTTTGGGTGGGGAAGGGAATATAAGATAGGATGAAGATGCTTTATAGTAAATCTTGACTTACAACCACTCCTACTCTCACAAGAGCATTACGCAACATGCCACAACACTGCACCCTCACTTCGCACTAATTCACAGAAAACCAATTCCCGATAACAGAAGATGACCAACATGTCATTGAGCTGGTTACGGTTGAAGAGGCTGGATTGAATACTTGGCGACAGCGGAACCCCTAGGCGGAATTACGGGAAAACTTGGCGGAGGTGCGGGAGAGCTTAGCGGATTCGAATTGAGAGTCCAAGTGTCCATGGAAGTGCTGAAATGGACTTTCAAATCTGAAGTCCAGTCGGCAAGCCTCCGACAAATAGATTCCAAGAAAGAAAATGAAGCTAGGCAAGGAATAGTGCGACATCCGGTGGACAATAGCCAAGAGCATTGTGGCGGAGTATTTAGGTTGGCTTTGCACATCACTCGCGTTGACTTTGAAGTTGTGAAGCTTGGAGAGGATTGAGGTGGTAAGGCTTCTGTTCGTAGCATTAAATGACGATGGAGGCGCCCTAATATTCTCCCCTTATTTTGCCGGGGCAAATATAAGGACCTTGGGTGCTTGGAGACAATTGGCAAGATATCTGCAAGGGCTCAACTCACATACTGGAAGATACCGAAATTCCTTGGGTGTTGCTCTAGATTGGTAGGGATGTGGCGTGCCGAATAGTCCGGACTTGCTGATTTTTGCGGAGAAAGAGTCGCGAAGGACCAGAAACGCGGAAAAAAGATCCAGTAGCATCTATCCTCTGACGAACGGAGGAACCGAACTCCTCGCAGCATTTTGCCTATCCATGTGTACTTGCTTGTTTGATGGTTGTTGCAAGGCCTAAGTTTACCCAATTCTCGTATAGGCAATAGAGCCCTTCACCGCCGTTTTGTCTACTCACCTCAGAATCAGCAGACCCACAAAGTATATCGACCGCACCTTCGCACAATGACTTTATACAAAGGTAGCAACCATCGTGTAGATGTCAGGCGTCGAAAACAAAGAGGGATAAAAGAACAGGTTGACATTCGATGCTTCCTGAGTGATTTCAATATCCTGAGAGACTCTTTCTCCCACGTCTCAATTCCGGCTTGACTAACACTTGCGAAGCTCGATACAAGGGTAGAATAGAGAGAGACAAGATGAAGATGCGATTCAGCGAGGGCCCAGGACTTCTGAGCGGTGGTCCCACGGTTGAGCACCCACGCCGTCGTGGACCCGGAAGCACGCCGAGGAGACCACCTGGGCATGAGGTCATAGACAGCAGGGCCGCCTCTGCCCATGCCAGATGGAGCTGAAAGCCCCAGAGTCCGAATGAGCAAGACCCTTGCATAAACTTACAGCCATATTGGAGCGTTTCTGACAGGTACCCGCCACTGCTCACCTATCGAAACCCACGAAGCAACTGCAGGGCCGTCTGTTGAGGGCACGGATCGGACTGGGCTTGCATCAGCCCTGCGCCCCCCCGCGCGATCGGATCGGGCGCAGTCACGCGGCACCAAGGTGCGAGTCGTGAACGAGGCGCTTGATCCAGCCGAATCACACGACAATGAGGTTGTCAACGGAAATAAAAGAGGGTGTTGAGACGGCGCCGAAGAAGCTCGGCGAGAAAGAGGTGATCGCAGACAGGTCGGCCGAGTCGGCATGTAAAATTGCAACCATTGGAGAGCCATCTCTCGCAGGGACGGATGCCGGAAGCGCCGGTCTTTTGGGTGGGCATCGACGCCCATGACGCCTGCACTCAGGGCTGCCCTGTACCCTTACCGTGGCTCTCTTTCTTCTGCCATGCTTCTGCACTTACCCAAGCCACAAAGAACTCTCCACATTCTGTAACCGCCGCCCGTTGAACCCAAGCTATACGAAACAACACTACACCATGCCCATCCGCAATCCCTTCCGCAAAGCCCCTGGCGGTGTAGAGCTGCAAGAAGAGAACCAACGGCCGGGCGCGGATCGGGGCTTCCAGCAAACTCCAGTCAACGGGACCAAGCCCGTCGAGATCAAAGAACCGACCGAGTACAAACTCAGTGGTAAGTAAGACCTAAACTGCGTCGCTATTGTCTGTGCGGTATAGTGGGGTGACGATAAAGAATTGACGCTTACGCTTCACAGAAATCAACGATAGTGGAGTTTACCTTCCGGTATGGTGCCCAAATCGTCCTCTATGTGACTTGAGGGCACAATTAAATGTCAGGAATGCATGCGCTGATGCTTAGACTCGCAGCCATCGCCGCCCGAGAAGCCCAGCTTCTGGCACAGCAGATCTAATACCTCAACCACATCTTCGAACCACCGAAGCATGCTGAGTGAGACTGAACCTTTCAGTATATCACGAGAGTCATTCGACTCATACAGGAGATCCTTTGTATGTCAAATACGCTACTCCTTGATTCTTATCCGCTTACACCAATTTACAGGACATCTCCGCCCGCTCTCCAATCCCCGACTGCACCGGCGATGGGCGTCTTCGCCAAAGTCTCGACTCTCGTCGAAACCAATATATACCGCGTTCCTCTTTCCAGGACCGCCACATCGACTGCCCCGACGCCACAGCCGAGGAAGGTTTCGAGGAGGTTGGCTTAAACGACGAGCCCAAGCCAGTCAAGAAGCGGGGTCTCTTTGCTCGCTTTGGCGACAACTCGGATGCGACCGTCAATGCCAGCACCGAAAGGCCATCATCGAGCCACCATTCGTTCCACTTCACAGGCCGTAAGAGGGGCCAAAGCGGGCAGGGCGCCGAGTTGAGGAGTATGGGCGACAAGCCTCCAAGCGTGCGGACTGAAGTTCCGGTCGAGGCTCGCTGAGCGCAGCTACATATAATGATAATGGATATGCGGATTTGGGTTTTCCCTTGAACCAAGGAGAGAGAACGGCGTTTTGGATCAATCTATACCTGTCGCTGTAGGGGCAGGACATTTCTTGAGAGGTCACTTTTACCAGAGTGCATTGCTATCGCTTCGCTGCATTTGAGGTATGCGACATCGGTACGTTTGTAGTTATAACTAATAAATGAATTGTAATGGTTTGATGACAAAAGATATAATGACTTTGATATTCTATTTGGAGGCTCTAAGATAACGTGCAATGTCGAGTCGTCACCGGGCCTACACTTCCCTCGTCTGCGTTGATCGTTCTACAAACAGTACAGACTCAACTTTCTCGTTGACCAAATACAGCAACTCACACCAGTTGTGAATTTTATCCCACGGGAGGACAATGGACCCTTTACTAGTAACCTAATGTTGCATAAGGACGTGAATGCCCACTAACTAGACAGAATGATGACATATATATTGAATGCCTAAGACTCCAGACCTAATGGAGAGCCCTGAATGATACCAGGGAAGCAGAAAATGTTAAAGCATGAGGCAAACTTTCAATTTGATTCTCACCTGACGATGGCTGATCAGAAAAGGTGTGGTCTATCGAAATTGAAGAGCGGGAAATCTCGGATCGGATGGCGAATTTTGGGAAGACCCATCACGTGACTAAACTCGTTGCGTCGGTACAGTGACTCGATAGCAGCAACTAAATACACAAAGAAAAGCTAGCTGAGTACTTTGGGCTTAAATTTGGGCCTTGAGATGGTTGATAGAGAAATCTAATTGGATTGGGGACCGTAATCGAGTTCTAAGCATGCAGATCGCAAGCTCACACTTGCACAAAATCCTATCTATACAAATTAGTTTTAAAGCAATTCTTCCAATGGCAAGGTGGCCGAGTGGTTATGGCGTTACGTTTAGGTTAGAGCATCGTGCTCATTTACTTTCCGTAATTCGAAAGAGCGTGGGTTCGATCCCCACCCTTGTCAATCAATTTTCTTTTTGCTCTTAGATAGCTTTGGGATACGCTGCGTATCTTTTTGTACTTTGGTTCCTTGCTTTTCTTTTGGTAGTGGGAAGGTTGTGGGGTGGAGGGCGTTCATGTGCTAACGAGCTTGTTAGCGAATAAGTACAACACGAAATGGAAGCGCAAATTCTCGAGAGCACGTTGAGGTTAGCAACAGCAAGCGAGTTTGAAGTGCAGTGAATCCAAGCTATGCTTAAAGAAGAGCTACTACTAGTAACGAGTAGTGGAAAGAGGTAGCCTCTCATATCATCCATGATATCTAACCAAAGAATCAATCAACGCATACAAGAAGCAAACCCCTCACTATTTCTTCACCCTAATCCCAAGCAACTTCTCTGCATTCTTGTACGCAATCCCGTCATACTCTGCCTGAGCAACCAACCCGCTAGCCTTCAAATCCGCCAAAAAGTTCCTCCCGACCTCATTCTCCGAAAACGGATACCCAACCGAAAACATAATCCGATCCGCTGGCATTGTATTCACTAAGCAAGCCATTGGCGCCAGCGAGAACATCCCGCTCGTCGTTACCCAGATGTTGTTGTACCACACCTCCCCGAAGTCTCGACAAGGCTTCTCCCGCCACCACTGGGTGAGATCGACAATGCGGTCGAGGACGAATGGGATTGTTTGGCCCATTTGACCGATGATGATCTTGAGACGGGGGAAGCGGTCGAAGATTCCAGCAGCGAATAGGCGGAGAACGCAGATTGCCACCTCGGAGTGTGCGCCGAGGTCGAAGGTGGCGATGTGGTGGGCGATGGCTTCTGAGTAGTTACCGCGATAGTATTGAAGGTGTTCCGAGCTTGGGTAGTGGGATTGGATATAGAGCGGTATGTTAAACTGCTCTGCGGACGCGAAAATGGGCCGGAATCGTTCAGCGTCGAGGAACTCGCCGTTGTGGTGGTGGTTTATCATTCCCCCAACGAACTTCAGCTTAGAGGCGCAGCGGACGAGCTCATGTGCAGCCTCTGTTGGATTCTCGAGAGATAGAAGAGCGAAGGCTGCAAAGCGCGTAGGGTTGCACAGGATGGCGGAGTGGAGAGCATCGTTCGCTTTGCGGCATGCAGCAGGTGGACAATTTACGGGGACGTGAGAGAGGATTTGCATTGCGATGCCAGCAGCGCGCATATGCTGGATCCGTGAGGGTCCGACGCTTTTAAGTTTCTCGAGGTATTTCGGCTCAAGGAGTGCATAGTAGGCGGAGTCTTGCGGTGAGGCAGAGACTACGTCGCTGAAGATGACCTGCTCCTCTAGGGCGATTATTGGGAGAGGTGCGACTTCCGAGGCAGGCTTCATGTACGGAACTATGAGCTGTTGGCGGACTAATAATGAATTGGGCTAGCAATGAAGAACAAATGAAAGAAAGCACAATCTGATCTAAGGCGTCGACTTAGGGTTGGGAGATGCTACTGGCGAATATCTACGCGTCGGGGCATGTATGATGCAGGGAGTGTCCCGGGGTTGTCCCTGACTCTTTCACTACAGCTTTAGAATTCAACTAAGCATTGTCGCTGCCGTTTCCCAGTACGTCGATGAAGCGAAGATAAAGACATGAAGTACGCGAAAAGACAATAGCCCAATATTCGCGCTCGTAGAAAGTCACTTTCCCGGGACCGTTGGCTTCTTAGAATAGAATTTCCCATTAGATCAGATACGATAGGGGGCACGGTAAATGCTCCATTAGCTTGACACCGGACTGTCTGATACTGCTAATATGCGACCCATTGTCCCAGAGTCACGAGCATTCTCCTCATTACATTGGCTATGCCCTTGGAAGAGCCCGCACGGGACTGCAGGCTTGCCAAAGACGACTCAAGGTGCATTGGTACCCCTGAATAGTTGGTTCCTTCCTTTTGAGTTGAGAGATCACGGAGATGAGGTATAAAAGTGACGAGAGGCGAACACTATCGGGGTTTGAGGGCCGCACGGACCGTACTTAGATCGAACGACAATCCCTCCGACCTCCCCTTGTTCTCCTCCCATCCCACTCTTCAATCATCAGTCGACTCGGCCCTTCTCTCGAACTCAGTTTATCGTTACGATGGAGCCACGCCTAGCTCGAGGCGTCCGCAGTGGACGCATTGGCATGGTGCACCTTCGCTGTTGCAACATTTCGACCTGACCTCTGTGCAATAGCCCGCTGATATCGAGCACGTTCCATGTCGAACACCACTTTCAGCGCAAGTAGGAAATTCCATGATAATCGGCCTAAAGCGTCTCCGACGAAACGGCAGAGAGTCTCCACCTACCAGCGCTACTAACATAGAAAGGTGCCCTAGCGATAAGCACTGCTTCCCCCCTCAGTTTATCCAACTGACGATGCCCAGCAAAAATGTGACAACGATAGGCCCTGCAGCAACTGCGTCAGATCGGGCAAACAATGCAATGAGTTTGGGCCTCAGTCGAGACTGGAGTATGTCAACATCCATCGTGAAAGGTCGTGTTTCGTACGACTGACGCTACTCATCCTAGGTCTATTCATGCCCTAACAGGAAGGCTGACACGGCTGGAGGAAACCAATAGCCGGCTTCGAAACGGAGATGTCTCCACTGTGCGTGCTCCAAGTAGCAGCAATCTGTCCCCGACTGTATCGGTTTCATCGTCGAAGTTCTTCGAGGCAGATGCCGCGTGCAGCCAAATGAATTTCCCATTTCAGCCCGATCCCGATCATAGTCTGGGCCGAAATGCTCCAGCTATAGGGCTTTTAGCAACCTTTTCACGATTGCAAACGGCTACAGTGCCCGAGGGCCCTCGAGAAGCTCATGATCTAGGACGGAGCGAGCCAAGATTGCCTCCAGGCGTCATAAGCATGCTACTGAATATCTACTACGAGAGAATTCACAGCCGATATCCCTTTCTCTAATTTTAAGAATTGCTTGATATGGTGCAGCAATGGCAAGAAGCTGCTGGAAGGCTGCCCGAAGGGTACTTCTCTACCGGATCCAGTCAAACGAAGAGCCCGGAGCCTTGGAAAGGATTATTCGTCAACATGGTTCTCTCAATCGGAAATTTGCTGCAAAAAGACGCTGGGGATCAAAGCACCTTCTCTCATCATACGTTCTATCGACTAGCAGTGACGCGGTTCTTGTCACACGTTTTTGCACAATCAGAGCGATTGATTCATCTACAAGCGTATCTGCTTCTTGCAATGCATGCTCTGTACAGCCCTTCCACCGAGAAGATCATCTCCGTTGCTTCTGCAACGATGCGTTACTGTGTCATGGCCCACGTCCGTCTCGCTGAACGAGAACCGGATTAGCTAGGCGCAGCCCGGGTACGATTACAGATTAGAAGACGGGTCTTCTGGTCTGCCCACGCGCCCATGTTCGATCTGTCGTTCTCCGTGCCCGACGATCAAATTACGGTTCCCATGTATGCCAATGTGGACGATAGTCAGATTTAGGAGTGGTGTAATTCGGCAAGCAGAGAGGACACTGAAGACCTATAATCTCTCCACACTAGTGTCTCCTCCGCAATGCACGTCGTTTATTGCAGACAGTTACAATCGGAGATACTCAACCACACATTACATCGTGACTTTGAATCAAAATTTGAAAATAGGCTTGACTGGCGCCAGCGCATCTTAGACGAGTTGGACCAATGAAAATCCTCCTGCCATCGCTTTGCTGACGCAAAGTCTAAATCTTATACAAGCGGACACTGGCTAGGAATGATCTACAACTTCAGCTTCGCGATACTCTTTCAACCCACCAAGTCGACCGTCCGAGGGCCTGCTGGAGACTAGACCGTGAAGGCCTGCACCCACGCATGTCTGACCTTTCGAAAATTGCAGCGCGAAGGATCCATCTCCGAGCCTTGGATGGGACGCATCGGTCAATTCAAATGCGGGATCACTCTTCTGTATTGCTTCTTCGCCACTCCACCTACCTACCGTACCGATGCTTTCGATTCATCAGACGCTTCAGAGGCGATTCGCGCTTGCTGTAACATACTGTCCATCATTGCTGAAATATGGCCACAATCGGAATGTCTAAGAGATGTCTTTGACATTGTTGCACGAGAGATACCGCTAATCGATCGTCCGCCTATTCCGCGCAAGGGGCATCCGGATCACGAAAGGAGAACATATTCTTCTCCGCAGCACATGTGCGAGGACTCCACGAAAGCACTGGAGGCGAGAATGGCTGAGCTAGACCTCATCGTTGTCCATCGTGACACTCTTCGAATGCTAGATGAAATGATGCATGAAGACTTCCCGCGTCCAGACGAACCCGTGAGGCCAGAAGACCTCTTCAATCAAACTACTGAACACTCTGGGGATCGACAGAACTCGTCTGAACAACCTCAACTCAATTCTCAAGTTGCACCTACACATAATACACCAGTGGCGTCTCTAAGCCCATCCATCGCGCACTTCATAGTTCCTTAGACCTCAGCTCTACACTTCTTGGATTTCCGGGGGGGTTTGAACCCGGTTGGTAGGGAAAGTAGTATTCATGCATGCTTGGTGAAGTTCTACGACTCCTCCTCAACAGTATCATAGCTACGATGTATTTGCCTCCGTCTCTGTTATCTCAACCCTAGCAACAACATCAAAAAATGCGTCCGCTAGGTATCCGCCGTGTGCTGTTGGTTTTCCGTACTTTCAAAGTGTCAGCGCCGAGCTCCAAGCAAGAGATATTCGGCTGCTTACCTTGTCCGTTGCCATAACTGGCTTTGACACTTCACGCGTATATCCCGCGATGCCCATCTCCTTGGGCCGAGAAGCAAATTGTCTGGCATGGAGAGAGAGACCTTGCGTGTTCTAGACTGGCTGAACCTGCGATGGTGGATGAGCATTTCTGTTATCTATCCTGGCTAAGAATGGTACACGTACCTGCCATAGAACGCCCATCTTGGCAATATCGGCGGGGAAACTCTCAAATTCTTCCTGCGTGTATCCCGCTTTCAGGAAATCGTACGCACCCATGTAACCAAATCCGAAAAGACGGTTCGGAAAGACCTTGCGGACCTCGCTATGAAACTCGAACATATCCTTTTTGTCTAGATGCCCCCATTTCGTGTTAGCATCGTACTGTTAGAAATATCGCGAGCACAAGCTGGCTGCAGCGCGGATGGGTGTCTTACTTGGCTTGTCCTGTCGGCTCCACGTCACGTCTCCCAAAGGCGCTGCTAGTATCGCGCGCTCGATGACAGCTTTTGTACTCCATTGCCACATGTACTGGCCCATTGGTGTCCGTGGGAGTTCCCAATCCCACACGATTTCCTCCCCAAGCATTCGCTTCGAGATCTCCCTCCGTTCCATCAAGGGTGTTATCTTTGTCGTTACCTCTGCTAGGTACGCGCTGAACTGCGCTGGTGTTGCTTTTTGCTTCACAGCATCGTCGAAGGTCATAACACCTGCGGAGGCTTTCCACTCCCTTTTCACATCCAGATAGGATTTTCCGATTGACTTGCCTTTCTCAACAGCAAGATTGAAAGACTCCATGACGTTCGTTTCACCAAGAACGTATTGGCGATCCCGTGGGTCAAGTACACTTTGAGGAGCACAAGAATTAGCGGATGATAATGCTGTTGCTGGTCCCTAGTCTGCATATCTCACCTCGTTATGAAACTCCGCGTTGTCTGACTCGCATCTGCAAAGAAGCATTGTGTCCGCGCTACATTCTCGAGTCAGCTATTCTTCTCCAGGAGATGGTTTTCTGTCAAGTTTGTAAGACATTGGCGGATTCAGTAGAAGGAGGGAACAACTGACCGGGCTTTACTTGCTAAATGTCTATAGTCCTACCTTCTACCTTGGAAAAAAAATGGTTACTCTAGGTCTCATCTTTAATGTGTTCTACGATCCTCCGGGCAAGCTTCCAAGAACATGATGTTGCCGCTGAATGCTGCCACCGCTCCTTTGATGCTTTCCGGATATTACAGTCAACGCTAGCAAGAAAATGGTGAGTTTTTCGAATTGCCACAAATGCTGCCCACTTTCAAATACATCCATTTGATTGACTTGAGGAATAATGATATCAGTCGCAACCGTCACCGACAATGGGTACACTCATCTGGGCTTGAATGAGTAGCTTCGTCTGACCTCTCCATCTTGGCAATAGGCGGATGGCAGGTCTGTATAATGCATCGTAGGTGGACGATTAGCTTGCTAGTAGTAGATGATGAGAGATTGATGAAGAGAGGAGATCCTTAGAAGAGGCTGCCTAGCTAACTTGTTACCTAGGCGCGATCATGCTTCAGCCACAGAGGCTGAGTCGCCTCGCCTCAACACATCTACCTACCTAAGGTATGGATCTGAACGAAACACACCAATCCATTAGACCACCTACCAAAGCACCACCCACCCTGCATACGAAGAAGGTGACGGCGAACACGGGGGTGCTTGTGGCGTATTACGTGGGTAATGTCGTTGCGCCGCAATTTTTTGAGGTGAGCCTGGCGCCGCGGTGTCCGCTGGGGGTGTGGGGCGGTTTGGGGAGGTATGGGCTGAGTGTGCTGACGATTGCGGGGTATGGAGGGGTATTACTGCTGGTGGGAGAATTGGAGGAGGGATGGGGTGGATGGTAAGAGGGGGGGAGGGGGCATGGAGAGACAGATTGGAGGGATTTGACGGATGGGGGAAATGGGGCGTTTTAGGTATGTGTGGTAGAGGGGTAGAGGACCATGAAGTGTGTATCGACATAACGGATTAATTCGTTATTAGTTCTAGCCCGCAGGCCTGTAAGGGCGGGAGTGTTATGAACCGACCCTGAATTTGAAGATTACCATGGTGAGTGATCGCTACCTGCCGCGTTCCTCTACCATCCTGCCATATAATCCCTTTAATTTTCACCCGCTTCTCAGGAAAGTCGCCAAATCATCTCCAAACATTTGGTAACCGTAAGAGCCCAGCCGAGTTCAATGTCACGCAGTGAGACGCAGTGATAATAACGAGGACGCTCAGTCACGGAGTCCCGCCACCCGATGCATTTGGACCCTTTCCTTTTTTGCTTGTGGGTTCGATTCGCGCTGGGCATGCGCTTTTTATTTTTGGCATTCAGGTTGGTTTGAGGTGTGAATGGGTGGAGGAGGAAAAGTGTCGGGCTGGTGAATGTAAGAAAGCACAGTGTCTCGCCATGTATATCCGTGTACTTTCCTGCAACTGTCTATGTATGGGGCGCAACAGATACACTTCAAACCTGTGTACACCCTCTTAATGCTGTCTGAGGGAGGTAGCCTTGTGATTTCACTAATTATCCAAAATGCCGAACTTTTCTCTCGTTCGTGATCCTGATAATAGTTTGGAACTCCTCACGCAGGGTACGGGTTTCTATGATGAATCCTACAGCGAAGTGTGACGACGGGATACTCCAGCTACTGATTTTCGAACAGGCAGTATAAAGTACCCGTGGCCGACATGAGAAGATACTCATCTCCAAAATCGTTCAAAGTTAAATCACATTTCATCACAATCACCAGGGGCAATCAGATATAATTACATTTTTTGTCTCATTCGCTGACGATCTAGCTGATCCGTTTTACACAAACCACCCAGATCGCGTTATCAGGAGAGGAGATGGAATAACCAGGGTATTGTACACACACACACACGCACATCTCTTGCAAAACCAACTCTTCCAACAGCAACGCAACATCTCTCAAGTACTAGCCCAGGAAACGCCATCAAGGTTCCCATATAATTTACAGCCGTTGTAAAACTGCAGTGTCCCAGCCCGCTGATATGCAAGCAGGCAACCGTTTGTTGTTGTTGTGCTTCTGTTTTCGCAACAATCTGCTTCGATATCGTTCTACAGGCACACCTGACCGACCGACCTAGCCGCTTAACACTATGTCGTCGATTCGGTTTTCGATTAATCCGCGAAAAAGGCAAGATAGACCCACACAAACGCCGGCGCTTCGAAAAAGGGTATCCCGGAAGAAGAATCCAGGAAAAGGAAACAGCGCGCGACAAAACCCGAGTCCGGCATGCGCCCATCACATTTTCACCTGCCTGCGTGCACCGAGCAGGGGCGAGGGTATGGAGCCGTCCTGTAAACCCGAAAACAAAAGAAAGGGCAAAAATAGAAGATGCCAGAAATCTAAGCCGAGGGGGAAATTAGCTGGGGTTGGCTAAGCCGAAGCTTCGCCGTTGACGGCAGGTCTGCCACCACCGACAAGCTCGAGAATCTTGCCGGCGACGGCAGCTGGGTAGCCGCGCGAGAGGCCCTCATTGACAACGGCCATGGCGCTGTTGCGGTCCTCGACGGCCATGAAGGCGCGGGTCATCGCTTCGTATGTGCTGGGTTCGCGCTTGTCGACCGACACGTTGTCGTAAATGGCCTTGGCCTTCTCGATGTTCTTGGTCAGAGCCCATCCGTGGATCAAAGAATTGGCGATGTAAGGGGTCATGTCGACACCTCGGCGCCTCATATCTTGAAGGATATTCTCAGTGTCGGCGATCTGGTGGTTGGCGACCATGGCCTCGAAGAGAGCTTGGTAGAGGCAGGCCTGGGGACGGATACGGTGGTCGGCAAGGACGGTGTCGAAGAGTTTCCTGGCACCGGCCATATCGTGTAGAACGCATCCCTTGGCATGAATCAAAGAGGCGTAGTGGACGGCTTCTGGAATACCGCCAGACTGCCGGATCTGAGCAAGAACAGTCTCAGCAGCTTCCATATCCACAGGCTCGAGGGTAGCGTGGGTGTCGATGAGGAGCTTGTAAGTGTGGGTCGTCGGCTCGATCTTCTTAGATCGCATGCGTTCGTAGTAGGCGAGGACCTTGCCACGATCACGCTTGGTGGTGAGGAAGAATTGCATCAAGCTGTGGTATGGCGCTGGCCTAGGCTTGTAGTTGGGCATGCCCTCCATCTCTTCGAAGAGTTCCTCGGCAAACTTCTCGTCGCTTACACGACAGAGAGCATTGACGATAGTCCCATAAGTGACACTGGTTGGGCGAATGCCAAGGTTGCGCATTTCCGAGAAGTAGAAGAGGCAGTCATCGATACGTCGTGCCTTGCCAAGCTTGCCAATCAAGGCGTTGTACAAGAAAGAAGACGGTTCAACACCCTCGGTTTTAGCGCGGAGGAAGATCTTGACAGCTTCCGTAGCCTCATCAAAGGTCTTGGTGGATTCTTTGAGAGTCGTGATGTATAGTCCGAAGGTGTTGGCAGAAGGCGCTGCACCCATATCAAGCAAGTCCTGGTGGTATTGAGCAGCAAGACCACGTTGTCCGGTAGTCAAGCAAGCAGCAACCATGGCATCCAAGATGGTAACCCAACCGTATCTCACGATTCGATATTGAGGAAGTAGAGGAACATCTTGCTTGGCAAGGGCCAGAATATCGTGAGCGAGATTGAGACGGTCTTCCTTAGCAGCAGCAGTGATGAGTTTGGCGTATGTGAAGAATCGAGGATGTCTACCGGCGCGGCGCATATTCTTGAACTTCATCAAAGCTTCGTTTAGGTGTGAAGATGATCGACCGTGAGTCTTTTCGAGCAAGTCAGTGACGGCAACGGATCCCTTGTTGTCAGTAGTAGCAGCATATGGATCAAATGAGTCTTCATAAGCGGGAGTTGCTGGGATTTGTGCCGGTTGAGCGAAGTCCGAATACTGGGCTGGTGCGTAGACGGGTTCTGATGCAGGATGCTTGTAGCTGTACCATCGATGCTGGAGGTCTGGACGATCGAGCTTCACGAGAACCTGCTCCACCAGAGACGAAGTCAACTGCTCAGTAGGTGTTCCACTAGAGGCGAGAACGTCCACCAGATGAGCAAAGCGTGCTACGTGACCGGCATCAATAATGGAGATGTTGAGAATCATTCCAGATTGGACCTGCATGAGAAGCGTCAAATCTTTCCAATGGAGCTGAGCAATCTCTTCGGGACCCATTCCGGCGAGGAGATGAGCAGCAACTGGCGTGACGAGACCGCCATTTTCGATCATGGTCCACATGAGTTCCATGGTGGCCCGCACAGGGAGGAAGATAGCTCGCTTTTCCATAAATTGGCCAATGACTTCAACGGCTTCGTCAATTTGCTCAACGATCTCCATCTTCGCTTGATTAGACTGGTTCTGGGAGTCTCGGATGCGTGAGAACATCTGTCGGCTCTGGCGGAGACCTTGTTCGGACTGACCACTGCCAATAAGACCAATGGTGTGCATGGTGGTGAACTCGATGAACTGAGGCTTGGTGATGGAGAACTCCAAGAGCTTCCAGAACGACTCTGCAGCTTCGATGTTGCCGTTACGGACGTGCATGGCGCCCATAGCCATAGCTACACGGGATAAGTCAGTGTTCTCGGGAAGCTCCTGGAAGGCCTTCGTGGCAATATCAATGTTGTTGGTGTCGGCAGCACGGATGCTGATGGCGGCCATAGCGATAACCCGGGCTTCAGGACTCAGCTTTTCAGCGTGAGCCAAAGCCTCCTCGAAAGACAGGTTCTTCACAGCTTCTGGGACGAAGGCCTTCAGACCCACAAGGTCTCGTAGGGGTGTCGCCTCTGAAGGATCCAACAAAGCTTCTTCTATCTTGGATAAGAACTTTTGACCTCCTTCGGTTCTGCCGCAAATGACATAAGCTTTGATCAAAGAGGCGTATACGTCGTTGTCCTTGCGAGATAAGGAGATGTCTCCATTATCGCTCGCAATTGCCAAGGCCTTGTACTCGTCGTAGCACTCAACCGCGCTCCTAAGATCGCCGCTCTTTCCGAATGCGTGGATCATGGGAACGAACATGTCAGCACACGGGGTAACATTTCTGCTTTCCATATGCGCAAAGATTCTGACCATATCCTCAACACGTTCGGACTCGGCGCAAGCTGACACTAGCACTCTGTACGTCATCTCGGTGAAGGAACGCGACAACTTGTTGGCAGTTGCAACGTCGAACAGCTTCACGGCGTAGTTCAGAGAGTCGTCCTCGCCCAAGATGTCGTATTCAGTCGCGTTGGAGTGAAGCATGAATTGACCCTCCTCTTCCATACCACCATATCTGGTCCTCTTTTCTTCCAATTCTTGCTTCATAGCCATCACCTCCAAAGACCTGATAGATAGAATTTCAATCAAGGTAGAGTATGTGACGGTATCGGGAGAGACTCCGCGACGGAGCATGTTCGAGTAGACATCGAGAGCTTTGGGAACAACCTGGTGCTTTGACTTGGGAAGCTTAATGGCAGCCGAGAGAAGCGCATTGTAAGCGGATGTCGACGGCTTCACGCCAGTGCGGAGCATCGACTCGAAAACAACTGGAATTTCTGCATAGTGGTGGCCTTCGGCGAGCTTGTTGAGCTGCTCGGTGTAAACATCGACTTCCGAAACGCTAGTAGCCAGGCTTGAAGCAGTGCGGCTCAGGGGTAGAGAGGAGGCGACCTCGGAATCGACCTCGGAATCGACAGCGGGGGACTTCGAAACGGTCTCCTCGCTCACGGAGCTCTCTTCTTCGAATGGCTTGGGCGAGGCATCTTGTTTGGCCTTCGCCACCTCCTTTGCAAGATTCTCGTCAATCTGCGCAAGAGCAAAATCCTCCGCCTTTGCATCGCTAGCAACCTTCCTAAAGTCGTCTACAGTGCTTGTGCTGTATGCGCGGCTAACGCCGGCCCGAGCGGGGAGAGGCTCAGCGACATCTTCGACGGCAACGCTGTCATTCGCGCCGGCCTTGGTCTCTGGCGTGGCTGCCGGGGGCTTCCATTCGATCCGCTTGCGAAACTGGAACTGTTCCCACTCCTTCTCTTCAACTTTCTGGTGTTTCTGCCATGCGGCATAGTAGGCTGCTAGACCGGAGTCGGCCTGGGAATTCGCCGACTTGACACCATTGTTCGCGTGGACCGAATTCGGCGCGAAAGCAGTGTGAGTTCGAACCGAGACGGGCTTTCCGAAGCGGTCCTGGAGGTTCGAGCTGAAGGGCCCGTTCTGCGAGGTGTAGGCAACGAGGGATTGAGGTGTACCGTGGGTGAAACTCTTGACGAGATTCTGGCGCGCGAGAGCGAAGCTCTTAAATACCATTTAGGAGACGGAGGAACCCTTCAACTTGGAAGGGTGAGACTGCAAGGGATTAGCACGTGCACTCGAGCTTGACGAGAGGGAAGTCCGGTGGGGTCGTACTATTATTCTCAAGGCGCGACGTTGATGCAGGTTCATTTGACGACAAGGCCGTCAAAGAACGCGCTGAAGGGGGTATATGTGAAGGGGTTGGGGGTATGGGGCAGGCGGCGAGGGTGGCAGTAAGGAACACCAAGCAAAGTCAAGCGTGCCGAGTCTAACGAGAAGCGCGAAAATTAAGAGAGTACAGTGAAGGATGGCAGAGCTGGCCTGAAGACAGGTAGACAGCTTGCAGGCTGGGTGATGAAAAGGAAAGGTGTGTGGTGGTGACGACTGCTGGTGCCGCGTCGCTGAGAAAGTAGTCCCGAATTCTTCCTTGCGTCTAACTTCGTTTGGGATACGATGACACGTGCACCAGGGGGCTTTACCAAGCGGCCAGGCCGAAGACGCATAATTTGGAGCCGTGAGAAAGTAGCTCTGCGCAGTGTAGCCAGTCCGGAGAGCCTGGCATCGTGAATTCGAGACACCAGAGGCATTCCAGCGTCAAGTGGCACGATCTCACGTCGCGAAGGGCGGAAGTAAGACTCAACCTTCCCGACGCGACCCATGGTTCGGACAGACAGCTAGTTAGGTGTATCAAGAGCTCCGTTCCATGGTAGATGTCGAAGCTGGATGCTCGTCCCTTCGCTCTGCGCACATTAAAGCCCGCGAGGCATTCCCATGGCTAAACTGTCGAGTTATGAGCGACCGTGTGGCTTCGCGCTCGAAATTCGCGCACAGGGGCGCAGCGGGGAGAGAAGGTCGGCGACGGCGAGGGAACGGCCTCCGAGAGCCCGTCCGCAGGCCCTGACACGCCTGAGTCACCGACGCGATTCCAAGCACGAGTATTCTGCGGAAGAGCTGCTGCACCCCGCCCCAGGAGCTCGTCTTTGAGCCTGGTGGGCCGCCTGCCTGCCTGCTTGGTGGCCCTCATCCATCTGACGCGGCATCCAACGGCCTTCCCCGTCCAATGCGCGAGCTGTCAACTGCCTGCCAACTGCTTGCCAACGGCCACAAAGGCGTGTCCAGCCCTGCGTCCCAGCCCCACGGCTCCAGTGACGCGAACAGGAGCCAGCCCGGACAAGAGTGACAAGCTTCCCCACGTCCCAGGGCCGACAGGACGGAGGCCACTCACCATAAGCTGAGGTCACAAGAGCCCGCCAGCTTTTCCCGCCCTACTTCAATCAGGTATCGCCGGTGAGAAGTGGCTCCCACAATCTGCCGCTCGCGAAGATCGATCCCCATATCCCACCTCATCGTCTGCCATGGCTGCCGTGCTCTCCCGGAAGGCTGTGTCTGCGCCCGGCAAGGTCCTGCTGGCTGGAGGCTATCTCGTGCTGGACCGCGAGCACACGGGGCTCGTCTTTGGCCTGGACGCCCGCATCCACGTCCACATCGAGCCGTTGCAGACCAGCCAGGGCGTCGTGCTCTCTGAGATCATTGTCAAGTCGCCGCAGTTCCTCGAGGCCAATTGGGAGTATGGCTATCGACTGACCGAGGGCGAGGGCGGCATTGCCGTCACTCAGCTCAGAGTGTGAGTAATTTGTCATCTCCTTCTCCAGGCATTCTCCTCGGTCTGTTGAGCATTGTCTCACATGCTTGCATCCGCCTTGGCAGGTACGAGCACCATGACAGAACGACTGAGGAACTATGTTTCGAGAAGCATTGTTATGAATGCATTCTTAAGTTAATATGCCATTGAATTCAAGCTTTGTTGTTTCAATGCTCTCGGTTTCAATGCTCTCGGTTTCAATGCTCTCGGTTTCAATGCTTTCTATTCTATGTATCGTTTCTGCAGTCGCACTTAACCACGTGCTTTCAAGTCAGCTCTATCAGCGTTCAGTTCTGCCTCTCTAAACTTTCTTTTCTTTTTCTCCGCGTATTAAAGCTTGCATCACCACTTTCTTGGATATGATTGAACGTTCTTACTGTCAGCGCTCATACATGACAGCTCCGCAGACGACCCCCTGCTCCGGAACGCATTCGTTGAAACCGCCCTCAGCTACGCCCTAACCTACATCTCGTCATCAGTACCACACCACCTCATCCAGCCCGCGTCAATTTCGATAATAGCAGACACGGACTACTACTCGCAACCTGCCAAACGCTCTGTGTCCAGCTCCCGCTTCCTCAACTTCGATGTGCCTCTCTGGGACGCCCACAAGACCGGCCTCGGATCCTCTGCAGCCCTCGTGACTGCCTTCACAGGGGCTCTTTTGGCCCACTACCTCCCCAAATCCCAATTCGATCTGACCACCGACACGGGACGCCAACGACTCCACAACCTCTCACAAGCAGCCCATTGTGCCGCCCAAGGCAAAGTCGGCTCTGGGTTCGATGTCGCATCCGCAGTATATGGATCCTGCCTCTACAAGCGCTTCTCTCCTTCCGTACTCCAATCCCACGGCGAGCCCGGCACTCTTCTCTTCAGCAAAAAACTGAAGTCCCTTGTCGAGGAAACCAGCGTGAAGTGGGACACGGAGATCGTGAAGTCCGCCGTCGACATCCCTAAGGGATTGAGGCTAGTTATGTGCGACGTCGACTGTGGCTCCAAGACGCCCGGCATGGTGAAGAAAGTGCTGCAGTGGCGGAAGGAGAAGCCTGAAGAAGCTGGGAAGATATGGGGCGAGCTTCAGAAGCGAAATGACGGATTGGCAGCTGAATTGGTGCGATTATCAAAATCGAACTCGACCGAGTATGCCGAGCTTCGCGAATGTATTGCCAAGATTCGAGCGCTTATCCGCGAGATGTCGGAGGCGTCTGGCGTGCCGATTGAGCCGGAAGAGCAGACGCAGTTGCTGGATACTTGCTCGAGGATTCCCGGGGTAGTTGGAGGCGTGGTCCCAGGAGCTGGTGGTTATGATGCTGTTTCTCTGCTTGTCGAGAACAAGCCTGATGTTATTGAGAGCATTAAAAAGGCACTGGCGGACTGGAAAGTCAACGAGAAAGTAGACACGGGCGCCGTGACGATCGGTAAGGTCAGCATGCTTGATGTGAGGGAGGAGATGGAAGGGGTAAGATTAGAGGATCCGGCCATATATGGGGAATGGGTTGAGGGGCATTAAGACGGCATGACTTCTGGCTTTTGCAATTGGGGGTTTTAGAAATGATTGAAGCTAAATATCCTGGAGTTCTAAGGACAGCCTTCAACAGGTTTGGGGTTTGTCGAAAGTGCGAGTGAGCCTCACGCACGTTCGTGGCGAATAGAGATCGTTGTAGTCCATTCCAAGAATCAGGGTTCTTGAAAGAAACGCAATCCCACCGCGAGATATCGTGATGCATCAACAGATCAAGTCCATCCCTTGACATACAAAACTAGCAATCTCCAGATCAAGGGAGTCGAGGATTGGGTGTAACGACCTCTCCGCTTACTCGTAGTCCCTAATCGTAGTCGGAACAGTGCGGCATTTAGTGATTCCAGACTATCCTGACGTCGATTCTACGTCTGCGCGCCGATTTCAGTGAATCTTGGAACCAAGAATGACGGACTGGACTCAATCCATTTGACAGCGATAACAATAGGGCTGTCAAAGCTTTGTTTAGATATTTGTCAAGCGATCGGGCCAGACTGCTCGCATGCAGGTATAGAACGAAGAAGAAGCAGCGGACGCGGAGTAGACGCCGTCATGCAGGGGCGATAAGTAGGATCATGCTTCTCGCTCTGCGCGTCTTGAAATTGCAAGGGGAGCCTCGATGTCCTAAAGAAAAGGAGGTCGTTCCGTCGAAGGCAAAATATTCAGGGAGAAAAGAAGCAAAAGCGGCCAAAGCACTGCCGCGACCGTCCAAGCCTTGCCGTTTCCTTGTGGTGACATGTTCAACTAAGCCTTTCAGGCTCGCAAGGTGGTGTGGAGAAATCGCCCTAAGAACCCTGGGCCTGATTCCCGCGACAAACCACCAATCCTCCATCCCATCTATGTGCAACATCCGCCAATTCACCCGATCTTCAACAACAAACACCACCGCCCGTTCTGAAGCCCGCCGCCCAGGACGTCCCGTCGTTCACACACCACCGTCCTCTCGTTTCCTGCGCATTCGCTCTCCCCGCAGTTCTTAACCCCCTCGTCTCCTCCAGCTGAGAAATGGCGACGTCGTCTGAGCAGCTCACAGTGACCGCGCCGAGCGCCAACCTGCCGGCGCAGCAATCTGTAGCGGAAGGGTCTGACGGTACTGCGCGAGGTACCACGCCAGTGGAGATGCGGACGCTGGCATCGGCGTTACAATCTACCGCCCAGCCCATATCCTCTGGTCCTCCTCAACTATCGCTACCACCGAAGGGAGAGTCGTCATTGTCGCAGGATATCGCGGAGGCAAGGTCGGAAGGGGCAACACCAACACAGAAGACTACAGCGCAGCCATCGTCATCGACAGCGCAGACCGCCGAAGCTCCTGCCCTTACAACCACCGTGACGAATGAGGGAATCGGGCCCAATACAGACAGCCCAGTCATAGCAGCGGCGACGAATCCAGATATCTCGGAAGGCCCAGTCATCACAATAACACTGCTCCTCACAAACGGCGCAAGGCACCCGTACAGGGTGGATGGGAAATATCTGAAGAGGCGTAAGATCGCTGTGGAGGAGAATGATCCACGTAATATTAGTGTTTACACGCTTAAAGAGCTGATATTGCGCGATTGGCGGTCAGGTATGATTGCACTGTGTGGTAGAGACGTTGCGTGGATAAAAGGGAGCTAATATGTGTCTTGGCTGTAGAATGGGAAGCGAAACCCTCGTCGCCGAGCTCGATACGGCTGATACACTTTGGGCGCATGTTGGATGATAAGGTGCCACTCAAAGGTGAGCAGGAACTTCCCCTACATTGCCCCTGCTTGTCGTAGGAAGGTGTTTACGCAGACACCACCTCCGTCCTTCGATTCGTTTCCCCCAACAAACAAGTCAGCCTCTGCAACACTTCGCATCCATAACGTTGAATTCTTCCACTAAGCTTAGTTTTGAGCTCGCACGAGACTCTGCTATCACTACTGGACTCTTCTCAAGAGATTCGAAGGTTGTATTGCATTACTAGACTCTGTTGAGCATTTCTTTGGGGACACGCCTTAGCACACCGAGACGCTATAGAAGCTCCTATTTGCTAACACCACGCAGACTGCCGTTTCCAAACAGAATCGCCAAACGTGGTGCATATGACCATAAAGCCACAAGAAATCGTTGACGAAGAAGAAACAAGAACGGGTAAGGGTGGCAGCCGCAGAGACGGCGACGACGAAACACACGCCGGATGTCGCTGTGTGATCCTATAACATTCGCCATACTTCACGAAGCCACTCTTCCCCGTTCTTTGTTATCTTTTTCTTTCCAGCGCTTACTCTCTTCCTTAGCAACATGATCCGCAAGTGGTTTAAAAAGCTCGGAACTTGGGTCCGCGAGCTTAAAGACAAACGCAAACGCCGTGATGATCGCCAGCCGCCTTCTCCTCGCGGTCGTTCTGAACCTCGCCAACGTCCGACTTCAGAGATCGCCGTTGCGCCTCCCTCGTATGATCCACTCCCGCGACCTGCTGGCCGGGCGAAAAGCCATTGATCCGAGTCAGCGCCCCCATCCGCTCTCCTTCGCCGCTCTCATCCGTTCACTCTTCCCGCCGTAGATATCCCCGGTTCTCCTCATGGAAGGCGTTCAGGCCCATCGTTTCCTGTCGTTTCCTGTATTTTTCCTTTCCAGTCGTCGTCTTCCCCGTGTGCATATGGACCGCAATACGGCAGTCGAAGCTACGAGCCTGTTTTTCTTTATATTCCTGTTGTGTGCTGTACATTAGGACTCGGTGTTTCTTTTGGCACTGAACTGGGTCATTGATATGGGTGCGTTGAATTGGGCGGGTCTGGATTGGTCTGCATAGATATGGTTAATGGAGTTGTTGATTTGGTCCGTTGGGACTGTGATTTGAACCTTGTTTGGGTCTCTAGCGCTTAAGATGAAGTGATATCCGTCACCTTGTAGTCTAACATGGTCCCTCCCAAGCTTTAGGATGGAAGCGTAACCTAAGGTGTTTATTTATATAGACCCTGTCCGCTAGTTCCACCGGCTGACGCCGTGACGCAACCCCGCTGACACCGAATAAATCTTGGGACAGCTTCAACCCTCAACATCCACCAACCAAGAATGAAGCCCCTAATAGCAGTCCCAGCAACAATTGCGCTGCTATACCGCGCCTGGTCGCGGAACTCCCTCACACCAGTCGGACTCGTTGTCGCTGGCACTACTGCCGTCATCCACGCGATCCACCCTTGGAGCGTCTTCTTCGCACTGCTGGGCGTCTTCTTCCTCTCCGGAACCGCTGTGACCAAGGCAAGCTTTGGGGGGAGTCCCGCAATTCAGAAGCTATTCTAACAGTACTGCCAGGTGAAACATGATGTCAAAGCCCGCCTCACGCACTCCTCAACTGGCTCGCCAGGCGGCGAAGGCCCCCGAAACCACATCCAAGTGCTCGCGAACTCGCTCGTCGCGACGGTGCTCATAGCCCTGCACTCCTACGACATCCTGACGGGCGATCGAACGCGCGCGTTTAGTCTTACGGATGAGGGATCGTGCTGGGGGCGCGCGAATGATGTGCTGGTGGTTGGGATCGTTGCGTGAGCTTACGGCCTGCGACCTCGAAGATACAGGATCGTTACTGACGAGGGACTGACAGGAACTACGCCGCTACGGCTTCTGATACATTCTCGTCGGAGCTGGGCATACTGTCGAAGAGCCCTCCTCGACTTATCACCGCCCCATGGCGCGTGGTCCCTCCTGGGACGAATGGCGGCGTTACGGTTACTGGCCTTGGCGCTGGGCTTTTGGGGTCCTTTATCGTTGCTGCGACTTCGACGCTGTTGATCCCGTTCTGCTCGACCTGGTCGATTGCTGATAAAGCCCAATATACGGCTGCTCTGACTTTTGCGGGCTTCGCTGGAACGCTGCTGGACTCCCTCCTTGGAGCTCTCTTCCAGGCCAGCGTAGTAGACGTGCAATCTGGGAAGGTGGTCGAGGGCGCAGGGGGGAGGAAGGTCTTAGTCCACAGTGCTGGGTCGTTGCACATCAAGCAAGAAGCGAAACTGCGGAGCCGGGGGGATGCGGCTGCTGGTATTGCTAGAACGTCAGCTTTGGAGGGACCTCCGAGTGCGTCGACTCGATCGAAATCTAGAGATGCGTCGGGAGAGGTAGCATTAGACGATTCGCATGATAGTAGACGGGTAGAGGTCGGACGTGATATTCTAGACAACAATGCTGTCAATTTATTGATGGCGGCGTTGGTGAGCGTGGGTTCTATGGTGGTGGCTTGTTCGTTATGGCGCCTTCCTGTTAGCAGTATTATTTCTCCTTGATAGATACATGAAAGGCCTAGTGTAGAGCTTGCATCTTTTGATTGAAGAAGCAGGCTGTATCTTAGCTCAGAGTTGGCGCATAGAAACTGTAGAAGTAATGGGTTACGATATCATACAATACTGAAAACACGATTATAGATTAGACTTCTGACTCTTCACCACCAGTACTCTTCTTCTACAAAATATTCGAACACACCCCGTCTCAACCCTCAATACCATTGTATGATCACGTGCGCCAAACTCCAACTAGCGCGCATTCGCGTTCCCTCGCAGCCTTGAGCTCACGACAGCTCCAACACCACAACCAAACACCAAACAACACCTCACCCTCACCGCCATCAAACATCTCAATAACACCAACCCCTAACCACCGACACCAACCCCACCCCAACCACCCAAAATGGTACGCTCCCCGCCTTCCCTCCTCCCCCAAACACCTCCCAACTCACCCACCCCAAACAGTCCCTCCGCTTCATCCCCCCCCACCAAAACCCAACCACCACAACCCCCGAACTCGGCGCCCCCAGCGCGCCCGGCATCCACGACACCCTGCGCTCGCGCGCCGCCCTGACCACGCCCAAACCCACGTCTGCCTCCTCCTCTGGCAGCGCCGGTCCCGTCGTGCTCGACTCGGCGCACCCCCTCGAAGCGCGCCTCACGCAGTGGCGCGCGACCCAGGACGCGGTCAAGATGGAGGGCCTGCGGCGCACGTTCGGCATCGCGGAGCCCGTGCGGCGCGGCATGGAGCTGCGGATTGCGGGCGCGGGCGAGTGGCGGCCCGCCGTGCTGGGCGGCGCGAGTGGCGTGCATAGTGATATTCTGGCGGGCCGGGATGCGGAGATTGGATGGGAGGATGTTTTTGTTGGTGAGTGGGCTCTAGTTCTATTGTTGGGTGCAGGCGAATTGGGGAACAGGGAGGGATGAAGGGGGGGGGTTGGTTTGATGAACGAGGCTAACGTGTATGATTAGGGAATGAGCTTCGTGAGGTGCCGGATTTCCATAGTGAGATGGAGGCGAGGATGAAGATGAATTGGTAGGGGAGTGGAGGGGATGGGGAGATGGGGAGATGGGGAGGGTGCGGAGGTGCTGGGCCATGGACGGGCTTTGAGGATGAGGGAGAGGTGCTTTGGCAAGGCTCATATCAAGAGTGAGGTTGGCGGTGGAGAGGCGGGTCTACAAGACCGAGGGTTGACTAGACTTGTACAACAAGCAATCCAACCAAATATACCTTCTAGACAAGCGGCGAGTTCGTGAACTTGGATATATCAGCAGTCCCCGAGAACTAACAACACAGAGTCAACCCTAGGAATTTTGATGTGAGCATTTCGTATATGGCACGAAGCTACGGGTAAGAGAAGAAGTTGTTTGCAACAAATTCAATTCGTTAATTTGGACTCGAGCTTGCTACAGAGACAGGCCATTAGCCTGTGCACACACGTTTAGCACTGCTTGGGGTACCCCCATGGGATTTCAGAAGGGCTAGGCGCGATGTTCAGTTCCAAGCAGTGCGAATCACGCTGCTCCTTGGCTCGCTAGCTACTGACTAGCTGGGGCACTCCTCACAGTGGTGTCAAGTGAGCAAGATTGAAGCTAAGCAGTGGTGAATCTGTGTGCCTAGATTTATGGCCTAATAGTAGCTTACGGCAAGAGTGCTAATGCATAGTTTTAAGATAAAATTCTCTTCCTAGCTTTTTGGTATGTTGCTGAATAGCCTTAGAGAGGACGTCTTCAAAACCCTTAAAGTGATATAGATTACTCTACGAAGGAAATGTGGCCCTGTATTTCAAATTTCAAGCAATCCACTCTAAGCAATACTTTCGATTTCACGACGGAGATCTATACCAGGTGATACATTCCATTAAGACTCATAATTCATTTCCGTTCATACTCTAGGAGCTGGCTGACACTATCAACGACCATCTTTTCCATTGGTATCCACTCCTTTATACCCAAAACCTCCGCCGCCTCAGACGTGTCTACGTCATGATATTTATCCTGTATCCAAATGTATCAGCAAGCGTCGGAAAACAGCATCACTACATAGAACTCAAACATACCACCTGCTTCTCATCCGACGGCCTCAACTGCGGGAAATTCTTCCTCACAATATCCGCAATCTGTTACCCGTCAGCAACTCCCCCACCCTCCTCAATCCAGGCCAAGAGGCAGCAACTCACATCACTATACACCATCCCACCCCCCCTCAGCACCACCCTCCTCCCCCTCCCCTCCTCCGCCCTCTCCAACGCCCTCACATGCGCTCCGGCTACATCCCTCACATCCACCCAATCCGGATAATCCACCCCCGGCAACGCTCCCCCCTCCGCAACCCCCCACACCAGCCCCGTACTCCAGCTCAACCCCGCCGTCCCCCGCGCCAGCGGCAGCACATACGGCCCACCTATATACGTCGGCAGCAGCACGCACAGCCCCCAACTTGGCTTCTCCCGCTCCCACAGCTCCCACGCCGCTTGCTCCGCGAGCGTCTTGCTCGCCATGTACGTCACAAACGGCCGATACACCTCCGGCCAGCGCGTGAGGTCGAGGCCCGGGTCCGCGGCTTCGGACCGCGTGATGGGGTTCCAGTCCGCGGACGTGTAGGTGTACCCGGGCCGCGGGTGCTTGGCGACGTCCATGACGGCTGCGAAGCTGCCGGTTAGCACGACGGTTTTTAAGGTGGGGATGGAGAGCGCGGTGGTGAGGAGCGCGGTGGTGCCGGTGATGGCGGGTAAGAGCAGGTCGCGCTCGACGTCTGTCACTCCGATGGCGAGGGGGGAGGCGATGTGCACGATGTGGGTTACGCCCTCTAGCGCTTCAGAGAAGGCGTGGGGCGCGAGGAGGTCGGGGACGAGGGTGAGTTCTAAACGCTTGGAAACGATGTGCGAGGCGAAGTGGGATTCTATACCCGCCGCCGAGGAGGCAGAGCGGACGGTAGCGCGGACGCGGGGCCCCTGGGGAAGGGCGAGGAGCTGCGCGAGGACGTGCTGGGCGACGTGGCCGTTGGCGCCGGTGGCGAGGACGAGGTCCTCGGGGGAAAATGAAGACATGTTGATGTTGCTGCTTTGGGGGGAGATGTTAGGGAGATCTGAGCGGTCATGTGATTGTAGCTGACCGGAGAAAAAGTGCGCTAGGCGCTGCCAGAGTTTGTAGAGGAAGCCTATAAGAAGCAGAATAGGTAGAGTTAGTGACATTATATAGTATCGTGAACGTTGGGGAGTATTATATATGGGGCTTGGTGTATATTTACCTGTTCCGCGCTTGATGACGGGCTTAAACGCCTTAAAAGCCGACAATTTCCACGTGTGATTAATAATATCATTTGATCGAAGCAGTGGTCGTTTTCGGTGAGGTAGGGACGCGAGGTTGAGGATCGGCATGAGAAGTTGCATGGCATTCGAGTAAGGACGCTGTATTCCGCGCTTTATACATTGCCTAGGATGAAGCCTACGTATTAATTTTGCTCGGGCCCAAAAATCGTGGAAGTCATTCCATGGAATGATTATGAGTTCCGATGGTCTACGTTGAAGTTAGCATCCCTAGCATCAGATATTACAAATGAACGATAATGTTTTCGTTTTCGTCCACAGATAGAGACAAAAGTTAAGCTTGATCATATTTAGCATTATCTTCTGCAGTATTGCTACAAACCGGTTGATCGAACCGCTTTCAAGACGCCTCATGAACCAGTGACAGATTCCAACCCTTTTGTCGGAAAGGACGCGCCAATTCGCACTACGCAATCTCGAACTCGTAGTAAACATAAGCAGAATACTCGGTGCCTTCTCCCAGGTGACCTGCGGCTTGCATCTCGGTGGCTGTGGCTTGGTCGTCTTTCTTTACACGTCCCTTGCTATCGCGTCCGAAGGCGTTTCCGCCTAGGTATGAGTATTGAGTGTCCAGAGAAGCTTTTGCCTTCTTAGCATTTTTTGCGTTTGTCTATGATAGCAGTCAGTATATTTGTTAAAGATCGAGTAAAGTTCGTCGACTCCACTTACTTGTATTAGCCCGCAAACAAAATCCAAAGGCAAGCCGTATCGCAGGACAGTCTCGACGAAGACTCGTAGTGCAAGTACGTGTACCCAGATCATAGCACTTTCGCTATAACCAGTCCTCCCTAGCCTGAGAGCCTCTCCCCATATTTTCCTCTCGTCTTGATTCAGTTTGTCCACCTCCTTTGCCTCCTCCTCTTTTCCACCGGCCTTGTACTTGTAGTCTCTAGGTGTCCACCTCTTTTCCCTGCATTTGTGGACGAAGTCTGCGCTGTGCTTCTTGAATACCACTACGGCATAAAGGATAAATTCGTCGTCTGCGGCCACTTGGTTGGCGGAGCGTGGTACGACCATCTCGGAGAGGGTTTCGTAGGACTTGAGGAAGTCCTTGGCCATGGGTTTCGGAACGGCGATTAGATGGGTCTCTAGGTATTCAGAGTCTTGTATCAGGGATGATCCGGCCACTATTGAAGCCAGTGATCGTGTTGAGAGGTTGCCTCTGTGATATCATAGTCAGACTCCCGACCCGGAAAAAGAAAGTTCACCAGATCTTACGTCTGTCTCCGTGTTGCTGCCGCCAGATTCGTCTTGACTGCATTGTATTGTTGGAACTTGGCCTTCACATCGTTGTCTATGCCGGCAATTTCCTGATAAAATTGTGTGAGCTCTAATATAGCTGGATATCTTCTCGAATGCGAACCTTTTGCAACGAGTCTATCAGGTCCGCTATCGACTTTTCAGCTCGATATTTGACCTTGTTCCAGGAAAAGGTGCGTAGGTACTGGTCCACAGGCTCTATGAGGTATTATAAGCTTGCTGAAGCTTACATTGCAGCTCGAGAAGCTCTAACGTACTGTCGTTGATCGTCTTCTGCTGCTCAATCTTCCCCTCATCGCCATCGAGTATAGTCCGCAACGAGTCCCCAATCTTGTTGACTACGCCCTCACAAGCAGTGTCGAGCTTGGCCAGATCATCTGCCTGCTGTACCAGGGCATCGAGAGTGCCAATCTTGAAGGTAGGAATCGCAAACGGGTAGGTGGTGCCGTAGTCGGTGACGGCAGCTCGCAGGGCCGTGAGAGCCTCGTCGTGGTCACTGGAGGGCGTTATCGAGGTCGGCAGAGATACTAGCAGGTACTTGGTGCCTTTGGACATGGTGAGGGAGCTGCACACACGGGCTCAGGCGCAATTGCTGGGGCTATGGGCGGTGTTGCGTGGTAGTCTACTCCGTCGTGTCGGCGAGATCTCCAAGCTCTCGCGGTGGGGCTGACCCGTGTCCGTGGTCCATGCCTCTTTCGTCACCCAAGGTCCCGCTTCCACTCCAACATTAGCTCCGCTCTTCTTCAGCACCACCACTCTTGCACCAAAATGTCTGCGAAACGCGGAATACGACTGCTTCAGCCCGCCATTGCTGGAGCTGGACGACTGGCCTCGCACCCCAATTCTGCCTCCAACGCCCTCCATACTCTGCGCCCACTATCTACACCGTGTAGAAGACCGAGGATAAGCGTCCGAACACCGTCCGCGAGCAATGCTCTCCGCTTTGCGTCTTCACAGGCAGACGAGCCAGCCAAGACTCCTCTATACGATCTCCACGCGGCTCATGGCGCAAAATTCGTGCCGTTCGGAGGGTATGCGATGCCCGTCCAGTACGGCGACTTGAGCGTTGGGGAGTCACACCACTGGACGAGAGAAAAGGCCAGCTTGTTCGATGTGAGCCACATGTAAGTATTACGTATAAGAAGCTTGAATGGCATTGACTAGTTCTAGGGTCCAACACCACTTCTCCGGACCTGGTGCCGACGCCTTCCTTTCACTCATCACGCCCTCGTCTCTCTCCACCCTCAAACCCCACCACTCGACCCTTTCAACTCTACTCCACCGAGAGACCGGAGGCATTGTGGATGATACCGTAATCACCCGGCTAGACGCCACCCACTTCTACGTCGTTACGAATGCTGGTTGCAGGGCTAAAGACTTGGAGTATCTCCAGACGGAACTCGCTGCGTGGAAGGAGGCGGGCAACCCAGATGTGAAATGGGACGTGCTGGAAGGACAGGGTCTCGTTGCGCTACAAGGCCCAGCCGCTGCAGATGTTCTTGCCTCAGTAATCGCAGATCCCGAAAAGGTCAAGCTGGACGAGCTATACTTCGGTCAATCCAAGTACGCAAGTATCCGCATCGCAAATTGGAACACCTCTCCTGAGGTCCTCATTTCTCGGGGTGGATATACCGGCGAAGATGGGTTCGAGATTTCCATTCCTGGCTCCTCCACCGTCGCGGTAACAGAGAAGCTACTCAGTGCTGCTCCTGACGCAGTAAGGCTCGCTGGATTGGGAGCACGCGACAGTCTCCGACTTGAAGCTGGCATGTGTCTTTACGGCCATGACCTGGACGACTCCACCACTCCTGTCGAGGCAGCTTTGGCGTGGGTCGTTGGCAAGGACCGGCGCGCTGAAGGTGGTTTCCACGGCTCGTCCGTTATCCTTTCTCAGTTGAAACCAAAGAAAGATGGCGGAAATGGAGTGACCCGCCGACGTATCGGACTCGTCGTAGATGGTGCACCAGCTCGTGAGGGTGCCTCGATCGTGGATGCCGAAGACAATGTCATCGGGACAGTCACATCCGGATGTCCGTCTCCGACACTGAAAAAGAACATCGCCATGGCGTACATCAAGGACGGCTCGCACAAATCTGGGACTGAAGTTGCAGTCCTGATAAGAGGGAAGCGGAGGAAAGCGGTGGTGACGAAGATGCCATTCGTCCCAAGCAAGTATTACCGTGGTCCTTGATAAGACCTGCACAACTCTCGTCCGACATCTTGCTCTCTGACGCTCAACGCGGCGGACAGCATCTGAGACAGTGCGATTGTATTGAAAGATGCCCTGGCGGCACGACTCGCATTCTCAATAGCCTCATCATGATTCAACCAATCACGGGCCCTGGCGAACCACGTCCTGAGAGATCAACACTCAGTGCTCGACTTTACTGCTTTCTCAATTGCGGCCTGCGATCGATTACTGCGTTGGGATATCTAGACATTCGGGAGAGATCGCAAAGATCTATGAAATCACACAAATTCGAATCTAAAGATCGCACTAAGACTTCATGCTTAAGATGGGTGAGACACGATGTATAGCAGGTGTCCGTGAAATTGCAGCTATGTTATGTCTAAGAGCCAGTTCGACTGCGTAATACGGTAGGGTGCTTCAGAGCGTGTGAGCCGCATTCAGTTTAGTGTTGCATAACTTTCAATCACACGCTGCCATCATGAATCCTGTTCGTTTGCGCATCGTATCTGAGCAGCGTGCCAGGCCCAAGATACGGTAGTGCCAAGCGTAGACACGCTCACATACAATTCCCCATCCACGCTTGTGAGATACGAATTCGCCAGATTGGTGGAATCTCAAAACCGCAGCGTATGTGGGACCATAGCTTCCCCCCTTTGCTACCCTCTTCTGCGTCCTAGATGGAAATTCTAAGAAGGTAGATTAATTGTAAAGGGCTATAAGATGCTACACTCCAATTTTAAAAGATTTAATTTTTACAGTTTTGCTGAGTAATCGCCGAGTTGACGCTGAGTGCACGATAACAATACACGCTCGAGATGCGCTAAAACCTCGATGACTCCGTGCGATACACTCTCTGAAGCACGCTACCGTATTACGCAGTCGAACTGGCCCTAAATGTCTCCTAGTATCGATGTCAATCCTCGGGCTCTCACTTAGTTCGAGTAACTGGGCGGAACAGATGTAGTTCTTATCACTCTCCCTTCTACCAAACTTAGTCCATCCCTCCTTCTATATATTTCTATAAGAATTGAGGGTGTGGGTATTTGTTTTTACATTAAGCATTCGATATCAGAATCAAAAGCTGATCAACCGTATGAGATTACAGAGGCGAGTTTATGGCCCGCAAAAGGGGATGACTAGCGAAGGCGCTAGCACTAATACCAAGGACGAGCCTAATTATCACCCCCCTTTTTGCTGGATTCACACCCCCCCCTTTCCCAGATTTAGCCTAGCTCCGGCCCGTATTAATATTGTTCCACCGATTATATTCACTCGCTTGCGCAAATTGGAAGGATGTATACACGAATCGGAAAGGCTATACAAATTGGAAAGGATGTATTCACTCTATCTACTCTAGCTAGTCTAGCGGAAAGCTCCTAGATGGCCACCTCTTAATTGCGGATTGAAAGGAACGCCGTATACACTATTATACCAAGGGCTTACACCTAAAGATCCTTCAGGAGTAGATAGAGGGCCATCCTTAACGGCTGGTTAACTGTTATAGACTAAAGAAGTACAGCCCTAGGTCGCTGTTAGGGTGCCTGCTTATCCAGCAAAGAGGTCCGGTATTATGTTGGTGAATTAAAAATTATTATTAAACACAATCATAGTCTAAGCAACAGCCTAACTGGTGGAACAAAGTTGTTACAGGCCGGAGCTAGGCTAAATCTAGGGGGGGTGATATGTAGCAAAAAGGGGGGTGATAATTAGGCTCGTCCAATAGTTAGCAAAGCCACTAGTTAGTAAGCTGTCGTACCTTAGGTAATGACATAGCGTCAGGGGTTTCTCTGGGAACGGAAATATGCATATCTAGGCCCTCAATTTCCTTGCCTTTACGAAGTGCACTCTCACTTCTTTCACAAACTCTACTATGGGCGATATCGAAGAAGGGGTTGTCCCCAGTGAGTACGACGGCGCAGATACACTCAAGAGCGACAAAACACCCCAGGTTGGAACGCCCGCCACTACCGGAGATGAGTCTAGATCAGAGGCGATGAATGGAGATTATGGAAATATATCTACAGGTAATTTTGGACTTCCTCTTATCCTATCGACGATTCGTCTGATGTAATCATGGTAGATACGGGTGGTGTTGCCAAACCGTCATCCATACAGATGAGCAACTACGCCACATTGGCGCGCCTTCTCACTGATGAGAACCGAGAAATGCTAGACATCGTTACTAGCCTTGCCAGATTGAACATCAGGAAAAGTGTCATCTCTTTGCCGCAACTCGTCGTTTGCGGCGACCAGAGTACAGGTCAAAGCCCCGACTCGTCCCAACCCTCATCATTATCCCTAATACTCGATAGGCAAATCTAGTGTGCTTGAAGCTGCGACTGGAATTGCTTTCCCCCGCAAGTCGGGGCTTTGCACCCGATTCCCGACTGAGATTAGTCTGCGCCGTGATGATATCCGTATAGTCAAAATCCAGATCAATCCTCACCCAGACACTCCCAAATTCATGAGCGACCGTATGGAGCGATTCAATGCCATTATTACTGATTTCAACGACCTTCCACGCCTGATAGCAGAAGCTCAAACCGCTATGGGTGTTGGAGAAATGAAGACCTTCGCCAAAGACGTGCTTTGCATCGAAATGTCCGGACCAGATTTGCCCCATCTCACTCTAGTAGATCTTCCCGGTCTTATCAAAAATGCGATTGACGGAGTCACTCCAGCTGAGGTTTTACTTGTCAACGAGCTCACCGACGAATACATCAAGCAACATCGGGCGATCTGCTTGCCAGTCATATCAGCGACGCATGACTTTGCCAACCAAGGAATTGTAGGAAAAGTGCAGACGTATGATGCTAGCGGCAACCGTACATTAGGAATCGTTACGAAGCCTGACAAGTGTGAACCTGGAGGAGGCGAAAGCAAAGCCGCAATCGCTCTCGTTCAGAACAAGCGCGTAGCGCTGAAGCTTGGCTGGCATGTCCTCCGAAATAGGAACGAAGATGAAACGAACCGTAACACCAACATCATGGAGCGAAACCTCCAAGAGAAGCTCTTCCTGAAGAGCGGTGGATGGGTAGAGGTTTCAGAAGAGCACAAGGGTGCCGAGGCGCTTTCAAGGAGACTAAGCGAGCTTCTCATCAGGCATACCAAGAGAGAGCTCCCGAATGTGCGGCAAGATGTCGAGGCGGAGTACGCAATGAGGAGCAGGGAACTGGAAGCAATGGGGAAAGCAAGGCAAGACGCTGAAGCATGCAAAGACTTTCTCCTGGACCTTAGTTTTAACTACGATCGAGTCTGCAAAGCGGCTGTAGACGGTCATTACGAAGGGGCCTTTTTCCAATACGATGACACCCTACACTTCAACGACAACAACAAACTCGCCAGACGTCGCTTGCGAGCAATGATCCAATACAAGAACGTTGGTTTCTCAGATATGATGCGTGTTTGGGGCCGCAAATACCATATCCTGAGGGCGGATGATGCAACAGCAAACGATGAACCAGATCCAGCGGAGTTGACAATGAGGACTGAGTGTGAGAAGCCAGTGAAAAGATCTCACGACGAGGCCCTGGATTGGGTTGAGAGGGCGCTCATTCGCAGCCGTGGCCGTGAACTCCACGGAAACTTCAACCCACTTATCATAGGAGAGCTACTGTGGGAACAATCAGCAAAGTGGCACCAGCTGGCCAAAGAACACCTCAACGACGCTTTCAGCATTTGCACCAAGTTTTTGAGAGACCTCCTCGATGTGACATGCCCTAGCGACGTCACTAGCCGCGTGTGGACTGGAATCTTCGAAAAGAGGATGAAGGCAAAAAAACAAGCGGCTGTTGATGAACTTCAGCGTCTCATGGATGAGATAAAGAGCCAACCGATAAATTACAATTACTATTATACCGACATGGTCACCAAGAACAGGGTAGCGCGCCAGAGGAAGCTTTTGAGAGATAGCATAGAGAATGGAACGACTTCGAAGGTTATCGCTTTCACGGAGTGCGGCGTTTCCCATACGGTCAAAGACGTCGATGTTGATAAAGTGCTGGACCACTACACGGAAACCTTCGGTCGGGACGTGGACGAGTATAGCTGTGAAGGTGAGTAGTTCCAGCGCCTGGTGAGATAAGAAGTGACTAACGCTGATTTAAGGCATCTTGGATTGTGTCCTTGCAATCTATAAGGTTCGTTGTCCTACCGAGGCGTATTCTTCGCTCGGCTCTCATTTACGTTTCACTCTCGCTAACTAAAAGTTTGAGTAGGTCCACCAAAAGACCTTCGTGGCAAACGTGACCACCCAGGTAGTCGAACGTCATATTGTGCGCGGACTTGAGGACATTTTCTCGCCCAGGATGATTGCCAAGATGCCGGATCACGAGGTCGTGACCATCGCGTGCGAACCCGTTGAGACGAAGAACTACCGGGCCATGCTGGAGGAGAATGTCAAGAAGCTGGATGAAGGGAGGGAGCTTCTGCGGGAGATTGTGCGAACAACCGCGCAAGAGTGATATGCGGAGCGTAACGGCGCACATGGGTGGCAATGCATGGACCCGGAACGATACTTGGCAGACCTTCGTGTTTGCTGTCGGCTAGAGATGGTTCTATCAATCTCATTAGAAACAGGACAAAAATGAACAAGCCATTTATTCGAGGGTAAGGGTGGAGAATGGTGTAGTGCTAGGGCAGTTATCTTTCGTAGAAATCTTCATGGCATCGCTCCGGAACCTTCGATATGCGCTCGTCTTCGGAGATTTAGGTGAGAAGTAAGTTTTGTCTCATCTAAGTTCTGGCCAGCTCAAAGATTTGGTGGTTAAAGTTGTGTAACAGGGAGGGTACTCCCTGATCTCAATTTGCGATTCAAAACTTGGTGCGGATATGTGCATATGGACCACTTCCGACTCATCTACGCTCTTAGCCGTCTGATACGGTACTGCGTTGGCACCTCATCTTTGTAGGAACTTTCTGCGTTTGTATGACTGGCCAATCGGCGGCGCTTCCCTGCAGATTCTCTGATGCCACCGATTCCGGAGCGGAGAATGTTTGAGTGCACGGGCATTTGTCTTTCTTTACTCTTCATGCCACTGCTGGAGACCTTTCGACATTCTCTCAATTTCACACGTCTAGATGACAAGTAAGGTTCTTCAATCTGAAATCGGGCTAGATCTCCAGTGATCTCGATCGATCTCCTCGAGAAGGAGCAGATTCCCTGATTTGTGCTGTGTAATAGTAAGGGAATTTCTTGATCTCAACTGGTGGTATAATTTTGGGACCGGATAGCTGCATACGGGCCACTTCCGATGCGTCTTTTATCAATCACGCCTGTAGCCGCATGAAACAATAGTGCGTCGGCATTCCATCTTTGCATGTACCCTCTGCATTTGTATGACTGCTCGACTTGCGTTTCCTGCAGATTCCCTGCTTCTGCATCAGGAGCTGCTCGTTTTCCGGGCGTTGCGTGAAGCTGATTGGCTCGTCAAGCAATATGCTGGTTTGACCAAGAAGTGCGTTCCAGATACAGTGAGTGGGTGCCCTCTTCTGAGCTTATAAGGGAGTATTTCCGCTGCTTTCTTGAGGAGTCTGGCATCATCTCTGCGCTTTTCTGGTCTACCTTTAGAAATTTTGGAAGTTTCGGATGACATCGCTGCTTTCTTGGTTGATGGATCACGGTCAAGGTATGTGGGCCACTTCTCAATAATTCCCCCTTCACTGCATCTCTCCTGTGCTAGGGCAAAATTCCGCACACATTCGTGTGCCACTGGGGGAGGTGAGACGGTGAGATTTCAAGTCGGTCAAAATTGCGTACCTTCCACTAGTATCGATTTCACAAATGCTATCGGAATACTTCCAAAGGTGACGAGTGATTGTACGCCCGCAAACTTCTGTCACATAAGCTCGATCTTGCTCTCGCTTGGCAACCTTATTTCAACCGCTACTGCCGGCCACCTCACTCTCAAACTAACCTCATCAAGTTTTCGAAGGCATCACGCCCGCAACCATGGCTAAAAAGCATGCAGCTGCGAGCAGGACGAACGGCACGTCGAACGGCCCATCGAACAGCACGGACAAGAGTAATGGAGCTAGCGAACAACATCAAGGTACACTTTGAACGTGCTTGGTTGCGACAACACACTAATGATATCTACAGAACGGCTGGCCATCAGATCTCCCCGAGACCTGCGAAATACGGCTTCGCTTGAGGGCCTACAGACCGAGGAGCAGAGGCGGGTCCTGGATGTCATCGCCCAACTCCGCCGTTGTAACCTGGAAAGCACGTTATCGCTTCCACAGCTCGTTGTCTGCGGTAAGCTTGTCCTCACGCCAATTTAAATCACAACCCATCTTATTTGACTTGTACAGGTGACCAGAGCGCTGGAAAGAGGTAAGTGTACATCAGCGCATATTCAGACAATAACTAACTTGCTTAGCTCCGTTCTTGAAGGTAAGCGAATAACTATAGCTACCAAGCATTTTCACCCACTTACATCCCTTGCACCTAGCTCTCACAGAGATTCCTTTCCCTAGAAATGACAACTTATGCACTCGGTTTGCGACCGAGATCATCCTGCGCCGCGCGGAGCTGGAGTCCCTAACCATCAAGGTAATTCCGGACGCCAAGCGAAGCAACGCCGAGCAGGACATCATACGCAGCTTTGTTGAGACTATCACGGACTTCAAAGAGCTACCTGGTATCATGGATAAGGCGATGGAGGTGATGGGTATTGGAGCAGATTCAGCGAGAGCCTTTGCAAAGGATGTTCTCAGCATCGAAATTGAGGGTCCGGACAGACCTCAGGTAACTCCGGTAGAGATCTTCGTTGGGCTGAGCTAACAAACTCTAGCTTACTTTGGTCGATCTGCCTGGACTGATCCAGAACGCGACTACCGGTGTCACTGACGAAGACGTGGAGATGGTTCGCAGCATCACCGAGAGCTACATTTCGCAGCCCCGAACCATCTGTCTCGCCGTCATTTCCTGCTTGAATGACTACGCCAACCAGGGCATCATTACTCGTATTCGTAAACATGATCCTAAAGGTGAACGCACACTAGGTATCATCACCAAGCCCGATCGCGTTGAGAAGGGTTCCGGCAGCGAGGCGGCCTTCATCGCCTTGGCTCGTAATGAGGATATTCGCTTCAATCTGGGCTGGCATGTTCTGCGGAACCGGAACTTCCAAGAGAGCCACTCGTCCTTCGCGGAGAGAAACATGGTGGAAGAAGACTTTTTCCGTAAGTCCAACTTCAGGGTACTCGAGCAAGACAACGTGGGCATCGATGCGTTGAGGGCCCGCTTGAGTCTTCTTCTCTTCGAGCACGTCAAGAATGAGCTGCCCAAACTGCGTTCTGAACTCGATGGAAAGCTGTCTGAAACGACGACTCAGCTCGTGAACATGGGCGTGAAGCGATCGGAAGCCAAGGAATGTCGAGAGTTCCTCACGAATCTCAGCCTAGAGTTCCATGGAGTATGTAAGTCTGCCATCGCTGGCCACTATGAAGGCACATACTTCCAGCCCAAGACCAAAGACGCCTTCTCCCCGCAGTCAACTGATGCCATTCGCCGTCTTCGGGCTTTGGTACAGATGATGAACGAAAAGTTCGCCGCCCGATTTCGCACTCATGGACACCACTATTGGATCGAGACGGAAGAGACCAAGTCCAAGGCTAAGTCCAAGGCTAAAGAAGATGGGTCAAACGAGGTGGAGTCCGACGGTTCGAAGGCTTCTTTCCTGAAGAACATGACCCCAATCATCTTGACGGAGCCAGAAGCTATCAAATGGGTGAAAGATGCGCTCACCCGATCACGCGGACGTGAGCTTTCTGGCACCTTTAACCCCTTACTCGTGGGAGAGCTCTACTGGGAACAGGCCTCGAAATGGCGCGAGCTATCGACTGATCACTTGGAAGATATGAGTAAGTTCATTATTTGCAAGCTTTGATGAAGTAAACGTGTTAGCGATTTCTAATACGACAAAAACTAGGCCATATCTGCTCTACCTTCCTCACCATCCTTCTCAAGGAGAAATGTCCGAAAGACCTTTACTCGCGGGTTCGCTCAATAATTCAAGATGCTCTGAAGGAGCGAGACGACAATGCATACGCGGAGCTCGAACGCCTCATGGCTGATCTCAGAGAATATCCGATCAATTACAACCACTATTATCTGTCTGAAGTCCAGAAGAAGCTCATGGAAAAGGAGAATCTTGCGTTTCAGAAAGCTGTCAAGGACGCTTCCACCGAGACAGAGCGTGGTGAAGGAGAAGAAACTCACAAATCTACCCATGTGGACGTTGGGCAGCTTGCCAAGACCTTCCGTAAGACGATGAGCGGTGACGGCGACATGGGACAGCATAGCTGTGCGGAGGTAACTATGCCATCCCTAGCTTTTACTTCGCATGCCAGCTCTTCTAACACGTTTGAAGATTCTCCATAGAGTCATCGCTATCTACAAAGTCCTGCACAAGGTCTTCGTGCAAAACATCACGATGCAAGTTGTCGAACGCCACATCGTGCGCGGTTTGGAGAACATCTTCTCCCCCGTCACGGTCAACAGGATGACAGATGAGGAGGTTGAGGGTATTGCGGCTGAGCCTGCGGCGGCCAAACGTCACCGAGCGTTCTTGGAGGATCAACTCAAGAAGCTTAGTGACGGCCAGCGTATTCTGAAGGGAGTCATGCGAAGTACCGCTGCTTAGGTATATGCACATTACCCTTGCTGCCGTCCTGGGTGCTTTGACACACTTTTGCAGATCAGATTGTGGAAGTATGGTCCTTTGAGTGTCGTGAATGCTCAGGATCAGCTCAGACGGTGGAATAATGGTGTACACATACGGGCATGGGGCGCTTCGGTAGGATATCTTTCGTATAGTACCTGTCACGAAATCAAAGATGCTACCACTATCGAGACACTTTCCATTCATATGTGACATCGAGTGCAGTGCTTCCTAGTACGTTGGTGGACATTTCTTACCAACATCATCGGGGCCTCAACATGCTTCCAATACATAGGTGCCGGGAAACCATACCGGTTAGAGGCGGCGTTGTATGGTCTGTATTGACTGACCGCACTGCCCATTCACCCATTCGCGTCGCTGGCGTCATTAGCGCCGCCATGCCACAATATCTCTTCTGCTCTTGGGCATCCTCGTACGCCGTGGGTCCTTCCAACTTCTTCCAGCCTCGCGATCAAGAATTTCACGCAGGCTCATCATGGATCCATCACCTTCCTCAGCTTCGCCAAAGCCCAAGCTCGACATCACCGACAACGGAACCTTTCTCCGTTTCATCAATCTCTCCACAGACATCGAACTTCAGCAAGACTCCATGTCGCTATCAGAGGATGAACAAGCGAAGATCCAGGCATACATGAGCGAACGCACTGCAGATCTTGACTCCCCCTTCTGGAAAGAGCTGTCCTCAGATCCGCGATTCGCCGTCGCCTGCAACCAAAAGGTGGCGAACGACACTAGGATCTCTATTGTGAGTAACGGTGGTGCTATTTCCTTCAAGGACGGCCCGGGCGGTATGCCTTTTGGTGAGTGATTCTGTCAGGATACAATCTCTGGATACTGAAGTGATCCCGCTGACTCTCCGTGATTTCAACAGATCCAGCGTCCAACTTCGCGAATAACCCTGATATGGCGCGCGCGCTCTGTGAGCAGATGAATGCGATTCCCCGCGGCGAGTTTAATTATCACTTCGATGGGAAGGGTGTTTCTATGAGACATAAGAAATATAATCCATGTAAGCTCCCTAGCAGTTAGTACCATTTGCGTTTCATGGAACTGACCGGCTGCGTCTCGTGCAAGAAGTCCGCGCCGCTCAGCAATTGCTCTGGCTGCTACCTCATTCGCTATTGCTCGGTCGAGTGCCAGCTTGCGGACTAGAAGCGGCATAAGAAGGAATGCTGCGCTTATCAGAAGCAGAAAGCGAATGAAAAGGAGAAAGCGAGCACTACGGAAAGCGGTATCGTAAAAAACGGTGCCGAGAGCAAGAGCGTGGATGAGAAGGGCAGCGAGAAGAAGAGCGCGGAGGAGAAGAGTGTCCACTAATCGGCTCACACTCATGCTCTGGGTAACGAACGGACTGTTTTAGAGGACAAAGCATACAGTTTGTTGAAGATCTTGAGAGTGAGTCGAGATGCTCCAAATAGCAAACGGGTATCCTGTCGAGAAGTGGCATCACAATCTGGAAACTACTAGAGCTTGAATGAAGTGCTCGACCGAAGAGAAAGCAGGATTGCATACTTGAGACAGTTGGGAACAAACCTTTTCCACAGGTTATAGGTATACGATGAGATCGTCTTGCTAGTGTAGGCATCCTATCCCAGCACAATCACCGTGTACATGAATAAGATTCTATTACATGCTCACACCCGCTGCCGGCCTCGACTTAACCTCGAGCCCTTCATGAACCCAACAAATTCCCCAGGCTCTCAAAGCCGGTATTCAATATCTACGATGGGAAAACCGTCATATTGCTTCCCAAAAGCTTCGGCGATGGCATCGTCCTCTGGTAAGAACTCGCTGCCCTACCTCTTGGAGAGCTTGAAAGACCGACCCATACTTAGGAAATATCAGGGACCTGAACAATCCCCTACGGGCAGAACTCCAGTCTGATCCACGATTCTTGCAATGCACCAAGAACTTCTTGAGGCTTTCTTGCTAGAGACTGACTCCACTCCACAAGTAGATACCAGCACTACCTGTAAGTTGTGCAAGAAGTCAGCATGGTCGGAGCTTGTCCTGATAGCTCGTGTCCGCTACAGTGTGGTGGAGCTTTGACTCGTCAAGGTTAGGGTTTCGAGATATCTGCGATTGATGCCCAGCGTCGCAAAATTATGAGAAGGGTTTTGAATGTGCGATTGAGGTCTGAAACACTTTCGCTTACGTTTCTGAATCTGCTGACCCATTCGCCCGTAGCAGATTCGAGCGAGGGAAATCGGTAGGTCGAATTGTGATTGGAAACTTCTTGCTTTCTCCTAATCTTAACCATGCTGACCCCTTACAACGCTTCGAAAACGTGTCTGATTTGTGGTCATAATCTATCCAGTGTCCGTGCTGCCATATAAAGTCAGTGGCGGAAAATGGAAAAAATGGTAGGTACTCCCTCAGCTGACCTGCGCAATTCGAACTCCTAGCCATAATATTCTATCAACCCTAAGCTTCCTAGCTGATAGATGTGTAAAGAGTCGCTCATCCAGGTCGGTCTTGACTTCGTCGAACCATCCAGTGGGCCAGTACAATTGAGCCCAAATTTGTCTCCTAATCAGAAAGTCTTCCGGACAATGCTCCGTACCATTAGTGCGGCTATGCGGAAACTCAGAATTTTGATGTAGAGTTGAGCCCTTGCTTTTGCCCGCTAGCGTATTGAGGAAGTCTACGACCTTCTGCCACGGCACTGCGAGAAGTGGTTTCAGGCACGAGATTTTACTGAGAGCCTCCACAAAAATGAGCATAACGTGAATATGTGGAAGTACATTTTCATCCCCGACCCGTTGGAGGAAGACCGCCAGCGTGTTGAACGCCAAGCGCGCAGGCAGATAAAACTCGTGGATTCTACCGCAATTGAGCTCAAGCTTTTTGATCATAAGGTCGAACGAAGAGGATGGCTCCATATGTAATAATTCTTCGAAGAGATGGCGAGTTATTTCAGGTTCAGAACCCCACTGGAAAAGCCCTGCCACATTGGCCATGGCCGTACATAGTCCTTTCTTCTGCCACAGCTTGTTTCCTTCGCTGAGACTGCTGTCCAATGTCTCTAGATACATCGACAGGGCTCTATCGAACAGGGTGACATATTCGATGTCGTCTTTCATTGATTGATAGAAGAGAAGCTGATAGACGGCGTTGAACTGGGCATCCACAACGGATACTTGTGATGACCGAGCTGGTAATGAACGCAGTGACGGAATCCATCTTTGGTCCCACAAAGCCACCGAAGTAGACTCCCGAGATGCATGAAAAGGTTCTATGGAGGTCAAAGATTTAGCGTAGAGGAAGAGTTGCTCCGATATGTCGGGACGCGCGAGGATAGCGAGATGGTGCGATAGTCGGCCAACATTAGGTTTCGCTGCTGCAGTCTTCTGGTACCAGGAGATGGCCACTCCACGCCAGATCTCCCGAGCCTGAAGATCGTCGTCTTCGATGGCCATTCTATACCTCGCAAGATCACCAAGACATTCCATCCATGTGGTCTCAAAGGCCGGGAACGTCTCGTAAAATAGCCCGATCATGCGATATGCATGCTGAACAAAGCTCAGCATGAACTCGAGGCTGCCTGGTAGTTTCGAACGCATTCCTTCTAGAAGTAAGTGGATTCCATGTTTCCAAAGTCGGGCCGGCATAGTGTATTTCGTAGCAAGACCCCGTAGAAGTGGGATTGCCTCTGGATGTTGAGAGACCATAAAGAACTCGACATGATCGTTGATCAAGGCACTGTGGGCATCAATGACTGTCTGCCATTGGCGAGGATCTCCCTTAGCACCTAGGTATCCTTCTCGAGCTACTCGTGCACATCTAGCTTCGTTCGTAGTAAGACTGCCGTAGATGTGTTTAATTTCTGATGCAAGCTGCTCTGGCGAGACCGGGCCCGAGTCTATTTGCAATATTATGCCAGAGTATTTGTTCTCATGCCGCATTATGTGCACTATCGAAGATGTGCTTTCTGATTCGCTGCTTGGGGACGATGAAGATCGTGCTTCATGACTCTTGACAGACTTGGACCTAGAGAAGGTGGTACCGGAACGTATTGGGCTTTGGTCACGTGCTACACAGCCTGTCAGTCCACATCTGCGACGTGTCTAGGCTCAATGGTCATCAGGTGTCTTGCCTTGGTTCGAATTAATATCGAATTTACTTCTATCGCTGCTACTTTTGGTAGTGGCCTGGAAGGATTCGTGCTTGTCGCTAATAGGGTAACGATCCAAAGATTGAGCACCATCAGCCGACGCCATTTTGACTAGACTATTATAATGAGCAGAACTAAACACTTTAAATATAGGTAAATCGAGAGTTCTGGAGCCATGAAAATTATAAATAATGTCCAGTGCTTTTGAAGTTGGAGATGGGTCGCAAGGCTGAAGGCTGCTTCATGAGGCCGCCTATATGGCACTGCCACGACGCCTGTAGCGACATGCATATGCCTTGCAAAGGCGGCTTTATGTCGGCTTGGACAGCCTCATGAATTGATACGTCCGCATATAGGGCAACCTGATCATCTCCATGTCGACGTCGGACCTAAAATCAGCTGTCTGACTTCTTATTTGCTAAATAGCTACCCTTAACTAATCTGTTTCATTGCTACCAACCGCAATAATCGACATAATCCTTTGCTAGTCTGGCAGGGCGAACAGCTTCCAGTACGTACAGAGTTGATCTGCATAATTGGAAGCAAAGCAATATGCCACGGATCAGTCCAATCGGCCCGATGACGCCACTACAACTTACATTACTAGCAACCGCGACCAACAAAGACAATAAGCAAGAACTAGAGGGATGTAAAATGACAGAGTATGGCTATTGGGGATATCCATGAGAGACCTACCGAATGTGTCGAGAAGTTTAAGGACTTCGATATGGGTGAAGCTTCCTTGTTCAAGAATACTTTGTTATCGCTCAATCGAACAAGCTTTGCGGGTGCGTTTCACGAGTTCTTCGTCTGAGTGAACGTGTTGACTGTTTAACAGTAGGCGATGCCGCGATGCTGATATCGAGGTAAAGTCGTGCATGGTAGAGAATGATGATATGGGAGATTGAAGGGAACGCGTCACTCTTACCTATATGTCCTCCATAGAACCGGTATTGACTCTATGAATCTATCTCATCTATATCTAAGTGCTCTAGAGCTGACCCACCCACTCTCTTACCAGCTCATCCGGCACATCCCTCACAAGAACATGCACATGCTCCAACCCCCTCACGCTCTGCAACCCCACCGAGTTCTTAAACCACAACACATCCCCACCCGCCTCCCTCGCCCTCTTCCCAAACTTTCCCTCCACAAACCCCTCTACCGCCCTCCTCGCTTCATCCACCAACTCCCCCTCCCCATCTACCTCCAACGGATGCTTCAACCAAACAACAATATGCCTCACCCCCTCCTTGAGTCCATACGGCCAATCATTGACCAAGACCTTATAATCCTCCGCCTCGGCAAACGGTACAGTGCTCTTGACCGCGAACCGCGGCGGCCCCTCTGCGTCCTTCCCACTCAGCGGAGTCCATCGCAGCCGCTCTTGGAGCAGGAAGTTGGTTATGGAGCCATACTTCTTTTTCGTACTGGCGGACCACGCGAGATACGCGCGGAGGGAGGAGGGCCGGCGCTTAAGTTCTTCGAGGCGGTTGGAGGCGATGAGGGTGCGGAGGTTGGACCAGGAGTGGGGTGTGAAGGCGGAGTCGGGGAGGGAGAGCTGCTCCTGGTCGATTGAGGTCAGGTGGAAGGCTTGGTGTTCGGGTGGAGGGGGTGGGGCGTTGTTGGACGGCATGGTCAGGGTTGTGGAGAAGGGGGTGGTGATGGGATGGAGATTCGGACGGTTGGTAGTTAGTCTTGGCATGAGACATCGCGCATTTTTGCAATATACGATCCGGAAAGGGTTTCTCGTAACTGAATGCATCGAAAGGATATGGAAATAATCTGGTAGTGTATAATTGATAATGTGGTGTTGCGTTCAAAAGTGCGCCACCAAGCTACATTCATGATTTCAACGTATAGCCAATCAGATGATCAATAACCGATATATCATGTCTTTCATACTACGTAATTTCGTGATATCGTTTGATGAGCTTTAGGAGTCCAATTCCATCTCGTCGCCTCTCCTCCTAGCTGCAGCTTGCTCTCTCTCGAGCTGTTCGACGCGTGCCAGGAAGCCCTCCTTCCACTCCAAATACTCAAGCCGCCGTTCCTCGCTGAAGTAGTCGAGTTTCTCCTGCATCATGGTGCCTAGCCCGATCTCCAGTCGCTCGCCATCGCCATAGTCCTGCATATCCACATCCGTTCTTCGCTGCCGCCTCCTTAGACCAACAACAGCATCGCCGTCGCCCCTTGCGCCATTCTCTTGGCCCAATTCATCCTCTGCTTCTCCGGCTACGATGTTCAGATACCACTCCATTTGAACCCACCCATCGCTTTGCGCCAATCGCATGAACCGATCTATATCAGCTAACATTTCTTCCTCGTCTGTCTGTTCCGCCGCATCCATCCCACAGAGCACTTCTACAGTCTTATCTCGCTGCTGCATGAAATCTTCCGGTGTGGTCTCTTGGTCGGACATCCGCGCAAGTACGTAGAGGAGTAGTACAGCAATGAGGGCTGGTGTTTGGCTTTGCGTTATTGGTTCCGGTTGTGCCGGAGCTGGCGCCGCTGTAGCGCGTCGAGCGCGAGAGCTCGCGCGTGGTGTTGTAGCTGTCTGAGGAGTATTCTGGAGGGCGAGGATGGTGCATACGCCTGTATATACATGTGGTGTAGCTGCGGGCTTGGAGAAAGCCTTGCAGAGATGTCGTATAGCGGGCAAGAACCAATCGGGAGCCCCATTATCATCGTTCGCTGCTTTCTTAGATGTACCTACACCGCGTTTTGAAGGTGTAGGATGTTGAGGGGTTCCTTTTGCCGGTGTGCGCCGCGAAGGGGTTTGGATGGGCGTCTTTGTGGTCTTATTTACTTTCTGTGGTGTTGATGGAGCGCTACGATTCTGTCGTTGGGGGAGAACGGTTGTGAGGTATGCGTGGAGTTTCTTGTAGACCGGCGGGGCGCATGGTGGACGTGAGACTATCTTTGGTAAATCGAGGCGTTGCTTCAATCTGTTCATGTTAGATCTTACACGGACATTTAGTGTATCTCATAGAAGATATACCTCTCGCACGCTATTTGCGCGCACGCGTACGGACGCGCGATCTCCTCTTCCGGCTTGAGACTGCTGGCTTTGCTTCGCGACTGGGTGAGAAGCGCGAGCGCAAGGTTGATTAAGTCTGGAGGAAGAGGCCCACTGAGTGTGGGTATCAGTCCTGTCAAAGACTGTTCAATTGCTTTACTCATATCGTGAGAGGCCGCCGAGATGTGTTGTTGGTGTTGATGCGAGCAAGTTCAAAGTTTCGGCTTTCATTGGACCGATGCGCGGTCACGGGACGAAGAATATTCTCCGATCTTCAACACTATTCCGACCTCATCTCGTAGCCGTCTATCTCCCTATACTCATAACCACGTTGTGAGTGCTTCAAATGAGCGAGAGATAGGAAAAAAGGTAGTGGCCATGTAGACAGCCCATAAAAGTAACATTGGGAGGGTTCCAGCGCATGGAAATGCGCAGTCGATGAGAGCATACATTCCATTCATGTCGTTCTTATATCTCTAAAATATTCCCACTTCTCATATATATTATCCAGTTCTAAGGTCCGAACCTATTCTCTTAACTCTTCGGTTCTTCAGATCCCGGCTCTCTCATTTGTGAACATGGCGCAAGTCCAGTTTTCAGCGTCAGACAGTCATTATCATCCCAGCTTTTATCATTCAACGCACTCGAATTTGTAGAAATAGCGTCAAGTATAAAAGAACGTTTTTAGTAGGAATTAAGTGACTAAAGGTGTGAGGTGAGGCGGAAATAGTTCTGTTGCTCGTTCTCACCCACGTCGACATTTCCAAGCATAACATCATACGTTATTCACACCAACGTAAAAATCGATTTCAGCTCGCTGAATAAGGATATATAGTCTGGTTCATTTTGGTATCCCCAAACTAATTCGAGTAGCAGGCCGGTCGGGCGCAGTAGTAATGGCCCTGCGCTGAGTACTCTTCAGCGCGCCCCTGATCCCTTTGCAGAAGCAGCTACGTCCAATATGCAGAAGATTACTAAGGACTTGAGGCAGCCATCCGGGACTCGGGGTGAATTGATTCTAGCTACCCGAATGTCCCCATAGTATCCCCTTCTGCCGATAATCCGCATAGCGAACGGCAATGTGCGTGGGAACACGGATACATGCGGAGAAAGCAGCGATTTCTTAAAGATGCGCGTGTTCGAGCCGTCGGCGGCGCACAGAGGGGCGTCTATAAATACCCCCTCCTCTCCCCCGTCTTTCCTCACCTCACAGCTACATTCTCTCTGCACAACATTCCTTTCCATACAATCTCTATACTCCCTTCTTCGCTCCACTCTCACTAGTGTGCTCCCTGGAGGCTGCTCCAGTAGCATCTTTTACCTTCCGTTGACTCATTCTCAACTCCTCACCAGCAAACTCTCAGGGCCAATATGAAGAACTTCCTTTCCATCCTTGGCGGCTCTCTCGCCGTACTTATCTCCGCAGCCAACGGTGTCCCTCTCTTGGGCTCTAGGCAAGACCTCGGCTCCTATTGCGGTGAGCTTAGCAGCGAGCAGCAGGGAGACAACATTGATGGGGCGGCCGGCAATAACACCCACCTCATGATCACCAAGGACAAGTGCCACCCTATGATCCTCTGCGCTCCGGGTCTCGTCAACAATGTCCGTCATGTTAAGGTCTACTCTCAGTGTGCTTGCTATCTCTGGACGTAAGTTTTACATCCTTTCTTTTACCCTAATGGTCGGCGAATTAACAGAGCATTATCAGCAACCCGACTTGCGGTAGCACGGCCGAGGGCGTCGGCGTCAACTTGGATGTCGACCTTCCCAAAAACCTGGACAAGCAGGTTGGCTCCTACTGGTGCAAGCCCGCTCCCAACGACACAATCCCCGTGTCCATCCTCTCCGATGCCTCCACTACCGATCTCACCTGCAAGCTGGATCATCCAGATAGGAAACCCTTGAGTGAGACTTCCGCTAGCGAGGTTGAGAAGCGTGTCGCTGCTCCTGAATCTCTTGTTGATACTCCCGAACTGTCTGCGCGGAATGCTACTTGCAATTATGTCGCGGCCGACCATGATGGCAAGGGCACTCTACTGTTCCTCGACACAGAAGATGTGTGCCATGTCCTGCCACCAGAGCTAGATGATCGGGTCAGCTCTTTCAAGCTCTGCCCTGGCTGCGAGTGCGCCTTTTGGACGTAAGTTGTGGCCATATATCGCGTTTCTCCAGAGTGCTTCTAACTCTTATAATAGAGAGCCCAAGTGCTCCGGCAAGCCAGCCATCAGCGGGTATGGAGGCGATCTTCATAACTTGGCTGGTGCTTTGGACGATTCGATCAGCGCTTACTTCTGCCGCTGTGCTCAACCACTGCCACCCGTCAAGCGCGTTGAGTCTCAAGATCTAACCTCGCGCGCCGATACGTGCGGCTTCTTCACTACCGAACATGGAGGCCAGGGCAACTCCGGGTTCATGTACAAGGATGAGCAATGCCATACTTTCCCACCAGGGTTCGACAACGGGGTCAGCTCCATTCATGTCTCGGATAACTGTGAATGCTCCTTCTGGCTGTAAGTTAATATCACTCCCAAGCTTGCCTGTTCACTCTTGTTAATTTCACCACAGTGAACATCATTGCATCAGCTGGCCCGACGTCCGCGGCTCAAACGCCTTCAAGGACCTAGATGGCAAATTCGACAAGGAGCTCAGCACGTACTCCTGCAGCGGTACGGGATCCAACACCAAGACTGGATTCTTCTACGGTGGAGACAATGTCACTAGCATCGAGGCTAGGGACCCCTGCATTGAGTGCCCCTGCGATGGCCTCGACGGGCCATGTCATTGCGTCCCGAACGGATGCTGCTGCACCTAGAACAGTGTGGGCGTGCAGATCTGATGGGGGTGGGGGGTTCACGATTCAGATGATGATATGATCATATGCTCTCCGCCGCGGAAGAAATGGGGAGTATTGCGGGACTACACTCTCCGCTCATCTTTTGAGGATCGGCTATGCTAGGCAGAGGCATGAAAGGCTTTATAGTTAGTCTTACGGGGGTCAAGAACCCTTTTGAATGGAAAATCAGTATTAACTTCCTTTAACTTTCACTGTGACTACCTTCGTTTCCCTGGCTGTGCACACACAGTGCTTGATATATCTATCCTAACAAATTAATGGATATGATGAAGCTTCAACCTCAGCTAGTGTCTCTTAATCTACTTCTAAATAGTCGAAGAAGAAATGTAGACAGCAAAGCTTATATAAGGTACCGAATATAGTTAACTAGCTATAGTTGCAGAGATAACGATAGTGTTTAAGCGGGGCCAACTTCAAGCTCCGGAAGCTCCAGCCTCACCTCATCAACTCACCACCGAATTACCCCCCAAACCCCGTGCCACAAGCCACAATCAACATGCCATTCCCCTCTTGGACAATCGGCTGCATCTATGGCGCCAGCTCCGTCATGCTCGGTGCATTCGGCGCCCACGGCCTCAAGAAACGCATCTCAGATCCCGCGAAAATCGCAGCATGGGGAACAGCGGCGCACTACCAGGTACAAGGCCCCATACTCACTCTCTCGTTCACTTTCCCCTCAAACCCAACAGTACCATAGTGCTGACTTGCCGTGTGTTTCTCCAGCTCATCCACTCCACCGCCCTCCTCGTCACAGCTGTCGCGGCGCCCCGCTCCGTAGTCGCCGGATCGCTGTTCACAGCCGGCATGACGATGTTCAGTGGAAGTATTTATCTGCTGACACTGGATCCGGAGAGGTTTCGGCCGCTGGGACCGGTTACGCCGCTGGGAGGCTTGTGCCTGATTGGGGGCTGGGTTGCGTTAGCTTTCACGAGGAGGATTCCGCTGAGGCTGTGAGAGGAGGGGAGATGCATAAGTGGGATGTTGGGAAGGAAGTATGGCGAAGGGTAGTATCCATGGTCAGTATGTATCATACGGGATGTACATTAGGGAGCGGGAACGGCATGGCATCTCGGCTCTAGTCTTGAGGGATATTTGAGGTTTTAGAGGGACGCGTTGCTCTTCTACCAAGTTCCAACTCTCAACTCTTTGCAATAGCCCTTTACGCATCTCTCCTTGGAATTCCGATTCCACTCTTTCGTTTGAGCTTTCATGGTACCTCCGTCAAGGACCTTGTCACATCTGGCCCTTTCTTTCCCTCAAAGCAATCACATCCTCAACGCGAATCCCATTCATACTAGAAATGGCTCGTATGTCGCGCTTCCAGTCGCCGGCCGTACTTAAACTCCCCACTATCCCTTCTTGTCCTATCTTAGTACCTTTAGAAGAAATTCTCCACGCGGATATCTCCTACCCACGAAACCACCCAGCTCTCAGCAACGATGGCCCGACCTTACCGTGTAACCAGACTGAGACCCTCGACCAAACCTCGTGCTCACATCCTCACCAAAAAGCTTCTCCCCACCAAACCTCGTGCTCAAATCCAAACCAAAGAGCCTCGCTCCCTCGCCCAACGCTGCGAAGAGCTCGCGATCGAGCTAGACAAGCAAGCCGGAAAAGAAACGCCCTGGCTCCTCCCAAAGCTCCCCACCTCCCACGACTCTCCTATCGGCTACTACGAGTTCGCCTCGGAACCTGATCGTCTAATTGCGCAGGAGCATAAGTGTAACACCATGGCGGATGTTTGCAAGCTCGGCCCGCGGAAGCAGAAGACAGTCGATTTGAGTATCCGCTTCGTCTCACCCGTTGAGGAGGCTGATCCTGAAGGGGGTGGGGAAAGGGTAGTGGTGGCGTGGAGGAAGGACAGGAGCATCAAACTCCAGGAGCTGCTGCCGACACTGGAGAGTTACCCTCTCCGAACAGAGGAAACACCTCCGGGAGATGACGCCGCCTGCTTGATTAAGTATGCACCGCATTTGCTGCATGGGGTTACGTTGCTTATCTTGCTCACTCTCCTCCCCGCAAACGAGATCATAGCGCTCGCTGTTTCGCGTAATGTAGAATTCACACCCGAGACGCTGCATATGAGGAAGAGAGCGGCCATCAACGAGCTCCCACTTTATCAGTGGGAGCAGTTCCTTGGTCTTCGCGAGGGAGATTTCGATGGGCTGGCAGATGCGCTCCGGCAGCAGGATACTAGCCCTCTGATCGAAGACGGGGATGAGAAAGGGAGGTCGAAGGTAGTTAAGAAGGGTAAGAAATCGGGAAATGGTGGAGGATTCTGATTCTGCTGAGTCTCTCTTGGTGGTCTTTTAGTGTGCCGGCATAGTTCGCGAATAGTTGAGATAGGAGCTTCCAGGAAGGAAATAGAATTTGTTTGACAGCAGCGAGCTCTGTGACACTTCTCTGTTTGATAATCACATCTCATCCTGATTTTTAGAAGTTCATCAAAGCACCTCGGCCGGCGGTAAGAGCTTTCCCACATGAAAGATAGCAATAACCGTAGCCATTGATAAAATTCCGGCGTTTTCCATCTCTAGATGAAATTGATGAGCATGAAGATGATCGGGAAAAGATGCTCGCCACCACTCCTACCCATATTCCCACCGACCGAATCCTCCCATGATCTCTTGTGATACTTCTTTTCAACACGCCCTCCCCTCCAACCACCCATGGCATAGTCTGCCAATTCGTTTCGATACCACCTCCAGGCTGTAGCCATGGGCGAACTTCATCCAATCTTTAAGTCCCCCTCTGTTCCAAATCACCCACAGCTCACCGCCATACGCATTTTTGGCAATATCTGTTAGTCCGCCGCTTTCTAAAGAACCTTGGAGACGTCATGTTCTGACTGGGAGGAGATTTTATACCCCTAGTAGGAGAAACCGTCGGTGGCTTACTCAGCCAACACATGACTGGAGACGAGAGCACATGATCGGATTAGAGGGTCAAGCATGAAACGCGGAGAATCCTGGGAGATTAGTCTAAGGCACTCATTTATGCTGCGTAGCATTCTAAATGAAGCCGGGATGATGTTGTCCAAGGTAGCCTAACATGTTTCCCGATCCTTTAAAACGCTTCGCTCACATATGGTTTATATTCAAGGTGCTTTGAAGCCATACCGACAGTATCAGAAGAGCGTACACAGACCAAGTTTCTAGTACTGTAGTGATCCAGTCCACCACGTATTGAAGCCCCCACATAGTGGCATAGTGCACATGGACTGATTACAATCGAACTGTGGTGTGATTCACTACCCAGGTATTCTAAAAGCAGCCCGCCACATAGGTATTTCAAACTCCCCAACCCGGGACTATCCTGATCCATCAGGGGGAGTGGCCCATAATCAAACGCCACGCTGCATGCAAGTGCCCAAGCTATGAACAAGTGTAAAGAACCCCTAAAAAAACCGGAGAAGTGTGACCGGAGAAGTATGCCCACTTCTTCCCGCAATCACCGCAGCTTCAACGCCTTCTTGCTCTTATCGTATACGACGTATGTGATCGACACAGCTGGTACGACCTTGAGAAGATTCGGCGTAAGACCCTTGAACAAGCCCCGAACGCCCTCGCCTTTGATGGTCTGGCGCGTGACGTCCATGATGCCGGTGTAGGTGCGTGGATGTAAGACGGTGCCCTGGCTCTGCAGTCGGGTTCGGAGGAGGTTGAGAGGATAGACAGCGGAAGCTCCGAACGCGCCGCTGAAGGCACCCATTGCTGCTGTCATGAAACCGCCGGGCTGAGCATCGTCCTCGTGGCAGCCGCGTATGCGGGCGTTGCGGCTTGCCATGGCGCGCTTGAGGTACTCGAAGGTGCCGAGATCGAGGGCGGCGTAAGGGAAGATGCCGAAGAGGCCCATGGGGAGACCGCGATAGAAGGCGGGGATGCCGCCGGTGCGCCACATCTTCAGGGAGGTGTCGATGATGAGCGCGTTGCCGCGAAGGCCGCCTGCGACCGTGTCGCATTGCATTCGGCTGGTGGGTGTTAGTTTGAGCTGATGGATGGGGTAGTGGCAGGGACTCACAATTTCACGGTGTCGAGGGGATACACAGCGAATCTAAGATGTCAGTATTGCGCGACGTCGGTGGGCGTGGAATCCATACTGTGAGACCATGCCTGCGACACCACCGGCGAAGAATTTCGACCACGAATGGATCTGGCTGGGATCGGTGTGACCTTCGAACCTAGCGAAGACACGCTTGGCCGCCTGCGATGGTCAGCGCGAACCTTGGGAGAGGCGAGTCGGTGGTTAGTCACATACCTCGTAAGAGCCGAATTTGATGGCCGACTCGGGCATGACCTTCACGACGTTCAAGCCATTTCCTAGGGGAGTCAGTTGAGGTTGCGCAAATCGAACTCGAGAAACTCACCTGCGTAGAGACTCCTAATGCCGCCAGCGGCCCACAGTTCCTTGGTCGCATTTGCCAATGGTCGCCAGGAATTCTGGGCGGCCTTCACGATGGCGCCCGATTTGGCCGCATGGACAGCTTCTTGCGCGACGCCGGTCTGCGCGATGAGATAGACCTTGAGCCTGTCGAGAGGAGCAGTTGCGGTGCGCGAGACGATGCCAGCTAGGCCTCCCGCCACAAAGTAACCTGGATTCGGGACACACGAGATCAGCGATTGCCACAAGTAGTCCCACGTCCATGCGGCCTGCGAGATGACGGGAGGATATTCCGCTGGTGAGTCCACTTCGGTCGGGAAAGGCTTGACATCCAGCGGGAAGGTGGAGAGATGCGAAGCTTCGTACGATTCGTACATATCTGGTGAGTCGAACGGGGGATGTATGCGTTGCGGTGGTGTCTTTGCGATGGAGATGATGGAGCCAAAGAGAAGGTTAAGAAAGAACGGTATTGTACCTAAGCCTGTAACAGTGTCGTCGCTAATCTGCACGTCACCCTCCAAGTTCACCTTCAAGGTAGATGAAAAGTAAGAGAGTACCGATTTTAGGTTGGGTGCGGTGGCTGGTATGAAAAGTAAAAAGTCGCTACCAGGCATTAGCGCGAGCTCTTCCATCTCAATGAGGTTGAGACGCAACCCACCGCCATTCCTCGAAGCTTATGCATCCGTCGCGATTTGTGTCTACTTCGTCGAAAAAAGCGTCGAGCTTCGAGTTGGGCACGGCCAAGCCGGCCTGCGAAAAGGCGGCTTTTAGCTCGTCCTTAGACAGCTTGCCGTCGCCATTATGATCAATGCTCCGGAAGAGATGCCACAGCTCCTTCTCTGTCTGCTTCACGAAGGACCGGAATTCTTTTGCATGCCGAGGTCAGCACGCTGTTAGGAGAGGGTTGGCGGAGGCAAGCCGCAAGCCGCTGGCTGACCATTGTACTGGATATTCCCGTCGCCATCCGTGTCTACCGTCTTAAGAACATCCACGAGCAGATGATCCGCGTTCTTGAGGGCTGTCGCGCAGTCAGTCAGTACATAGCTGAATGCATCAAATTGGCCCGAATTGCCGGGGTGCCGACATACGATGATCGAGCTTCCGCAGGCCTCTCTTGAGCCCAGCCAGATCGATATGCCCCTGCTTCTTCGTGTCCAACGTCGCCCACAGCGCCTCGACGCGCGCGTCCTGGGCGTTCGCAGGCTCCATCTCTTGCAGAAAGGGGCCGTTATCTGAGGTGTATCATGGCTGATTGTGCGGGCGCGAGAGAGAGGATGCGTCGGCGCGGGCGGGCGTGTTAGATGGGGGCTCGCGGAGGTTGTGGGAGCATAAGAGGTGGTTAAAGGTGCGGCAGTGGGGCCTCGAGGTCAGGTATGATGTCGCAAAGGTTGGCAAGTCGTTTTCAGGGCCAAGCACGGTGCGATGCGGTTTAGCTCGTGGAGACACGGGCGAGTCAAGAGCCAGGGATTTAACAGCCCTACAGCAACTCCAGGTCAGTCGTGGGGAGTGCTGACGATGCAGGTGTGGAAGTAACTGAGGCTCAAATCGTGTCTTGCATCTTTGTTTGCCTGAGTCCAGCCTTATTCGACTATTTATCAGCCTCAAGGCAGAAGCTAGACCCGAGGTCGGACTTCTCATCAGCTGCTACTATCTTCAACCATCAGCCTCATATAAACGTGACATCTATCTCATACTGGTGTGCTTGGATCGTACTTTCCTCTTCATAACCTCTTATTCTTCCTTCTTCTATCATATGGCTGTCTACTTTTCATAATATCCTAAGAATACGTATCATGCCTGTACGCCTTCGACGACTTCTCATCCTTCGATAACACCACCCGTCATGGCAGCCAACTACTGGGACTCAACCCAGCGGAAATACTGGACATTTACGAAGCAACAGCTAGCTCAAGAACGGCGAAAGAATGAAGAAGCAGATCGGGCTTTGGTTCAGCAGTTCCCCCTCCCGGACAGACGACTGCTGAGCATCCATTTCAACCATCGTAAGACCACCCATCTTCCTTTCTGTTCTATTTGGACCACATCCCCCTATTTGGACCATATATCCCTGTTTGGACATCTCCAACATCATGATGATTCTGACTATCCTAGAACTCTGCAAACTCGCCCGCCCCCTCTCCGTCCGCCAGCAAGCCATCGCCACCGCCCAAATCTACGTCCGCCGCTTCTACCTCAAAGTCGAGATCCGGCGCACAAACCCCACCCTGGTGCTCGCAACAGCCTTGTACCTCGCATGCAAAATGGAAGAGTGTCCTCAGCACATCCGGATGGTATTAGCTGAAGCGCGGCACTGTTGGGGTATGTTCCTTACAATAGCCCCATTACTCCCATTACTCCCATTACTCCCATTACTCCCATTACTCCCATTACTCCCATTCCCCACCCCACCTTTAAAAACCCCCATCCCTCTCGTCTCCCTCTCTACCAACCCCTCTAAACCTCCTCTAAAACCTCCTCACCGACTCCCCACCTAACCCCACCAGCAGACACAACCCTCACCGACACGTCCAAGCTCGGCGAGTGCGAATTCTCCCTCATCTCGGAGCTCAACTCGCAGCTCATCATCCACCACCCCTACCGTGCCCTCGCCGAGTACACGGCCACCTTCGCCCTGAGCGCCGAAGAGTCCGCGCTGGCCTGGAGCATCGTCAACGACCACTACCTCACCGACCTGCCCTTGCTGCACCCGCCCCACGTCATCGCCGTCACCGCCATCTTCCTCGCCGTCGTGCTAAAGCCCACGCAGGGCGGGCTCGGGGTGAGCGCGCAGGGGGTGCAGGGGGTGCTGCAGAGCTTGAGCGCGACGATGGGGCAGAGCAGTCCGGCTCGAGGAGGGGGCGCGGCGACGTCGGCGCCGGGAACGCCGGGGGGCTCGTTGGGGGGAGGCGGCGGCGCGGCGGCGCAGAATCGGATGATGGGGCTGGTGAGTTGGCTGGCGGAGAGTAGTGTTGATATCGAGGCGGTCGTGGATGCGATGCAGGAACTGCTGAGTCTGTATGAGATCTGGGAGCAGTTTACGAATAATTTGTGCAAGGATCAGATTGCAAAGTTTGTGAAGGCGAGGGGGCTGGATAAGTAGGGGGGAGGGGGCGAGTTGAAGGTCTTGGGTGGAGAGTCAGATGCATTATGGGTTTCTTGCATAGCGAGTTTATTGTGACAATGGATAGAGTTATTCTTATGGATGGTGTTATGGAGTTGGGTTTGGAGAAGATTAATTGTCGTCGTGTCTGGATAACGCTCGATGTATTTACAGTCGGAGACATGCCCAATGCTGGGACACAAAGCGTTGATATCAGGAGTGTAGAAAGGCGCTGGGCATCGATCAACCGCGGTTACATAATCGCAGGTCAGGGTCACGAGTCGTTCGATATGAACCTGACTCTAGAGCCTCGAATTGACAATGGTCATGGCTGTCGTGCAGAGACTTCAATTGTAGATTGTAGCATATGATTGTCCTGATGAATGTATCTTGGGATTAGAGGGTTGAAGTAGCTGGATCACGGGTCTCCCGTTTCAGATAGAAAACTTAGCCGGGGCCAGAAGAGAGGTTCTTGCAAGCTTTCACAGGCCCAAAGCTTCTGATAAAGTGCTGACTTGAGCCAGTACCACAGATATGCAGTCAGATTCAGACCTGGGGATGCTCTCCTTCCCATCGTCACTGGTTGGTTAGCATCGACATTGCTGCTCACTCTGTACCTCCCTCCTCCAACTTCCTCTCAGCGTGACGCCCACTCTACATAAGCTCGTGTATACCTGTCAATCCCCAATGCCCCACAGCCTGACGAAACAGACTGGCTGTTGGAGGTTCTGCGAACGGCCGTTCCAAAGTGCTTGCTGTGTGTCACTTGGCTCGCCCTCGCCGAGCACAGACGGCCCCTCCGCAGCGCTTGTCGCCCGGCAGCCCTGCCTGTGAGCTAAAATTGGGGCGGTACCTGCGGCCTTGTCGCTGCGGTCCGTGGAAATGCCACAGCATCGCCAACAGCGGCGGTGCCGGCCTCTGCTCCAGCCCGCGGTGCTCAGCCCAGGCCCGGCGCTTTAAGTTCGTTGCGCATCGCTCGCGGGATGTTTGTGTCGTCTGGCGCACGAGGGAGCAAGCTCGCGGTGTGGGTGGCCCGTCTGACACAGCTCCATGCGCCCTCGAGCGTCTATCCGGCCTTTTTGTGGGGCGACACGGCGCGCGCGGTTCGCTGTGCGAGGCAGCGATCGGCCGGTGCCAGCTCAGAAGCTCGGCGACGGTGAGGATCGAGCATCACCGCCAGGCCCGTGTGGCTACATGCAGAAGCAGAGCAGCGACGCCGACCAAGAAGAGACGGGCGTGGCATGCAGGTCGCCAGCAAGCTTCTGCTCCAAGCCACGCCGGGTCGGGAGGGCAGCATGCGAAAAAGGGCGGTCAGTCACGCTGGACCAACCCCCGGAGGCTGAGCTGGCGGCGGGCAAGTCGAGGCGTGCTTGGCTGCATAAGCGGTTTGGGGGCCCTGTGCCTGTCCCCGCGCGGCCCTGCGAGGAGAGGTCTGCGCGTGTTTGGAGCGGCCTCAGGTTCAGGTGGGCAGACATGGTGAAGGGTGCGATGGGAATGCAGGTGCAGAGTCGCATGCTCGTCTGGTGATGCGGCATCGGGAGCAGAGGCATCGAGGGCGGGTGACGCTGGCCCAAGCAGCGCAGCGACTCCGACGCTAGTGCTGGCGATGGGCGCTGATTGGCGGCATGCCCTGGCCAAGTGGCGAGAGAAGTGGTAGGAGCGCCCGCCCAAGGTTTAACCAGCCCTCTGTCGTCCCTTCCCATCCCAAGTCAATCCCCGCCTCCAGTCCGCAGCCTTCCCTCTCGCCCACCCTCACCCACCACCACATACATCACCACCCATCTACTCCGCCTCGCCCACAGCTCCTCCACAGTAATACCTCTCCTCGCCCCCATCTCATCCTCTCGCACATCCTTATCGCTCGCCGCATTGCCCTCGCCTCGCCCCTTTGTTTGGCTTTGTTGTGTCATTCCATCCGAACTCGGCCCCAACGAACCACGATACCTCCTGTCCCCCATCAACAACCATCGCACCTCCATCATGTCGCAATTCATGTACCAGAGCCACCCGTCGCAGATGCACCAGCACTCGTCGCACAACCACCACGGCGGCCGGTCGCGGAGGGCGCCGCGCATCAGCGCCTCGCACCAGCGCATGGGCAAGCAGATGCAGATGTACCGCACGCCTAAAGAGGCCTACGTCGAGCCCCCTACCGTCACCGCCTTCCGCCGCGACTTCGAGGCCGCCCGCAGCTTTGACCTGGAAGACGACGAGGTCTTCTGCCCCTTCCACCTGCTGACCGAGGACGACGTAAGTCAATGTTTTCGTCCGATGTCGCTTTATCCCAGCCGCATCGGATCAAACATCGTCAACCGTGGGTACTGACCGAACCAGCTGCAATCAATCCACTCGTCGGGCTCTGACCGGTCATCACTGTCAAGCGGCAGCCCGGAGCAGTCTCCTCTCCAGCACCAACTGCAGCCGACCCCCAGCTTCGTTCTGTCATCCGCGCCAAACCCATACACGCCCTCCTACCAGCCCCAACAGTCGTCGCAAACCAAACTCCACCAACCATTAGCCCAGCGCACCCGCAACGCGATCCCCATCGTCGACCCCTCTACCCGCACCGTCGCCAGCCCGCCGCCATCCGTCTCGCCAAACAGGCAGATGGCGCAGCAGTTCATGTCGCGGCGCTGGTAATCGCAGATAGCCCCGGCGGCTCCCATTTACATTCCATCTAATCTTCACATTCTCCGGTGCGCGCTGCGTTGCTATTAGACATCTAGTGGCTGTCTCGACAAACAAACATTTCTGGATCTCCGCCGTTTACTTCAAGATACCCTGGAGGATTCCCGTCCATAATCTACCTCGATTTCTCACCTGTATAAATCACCTCGACTCGCCACGAACCCCACGTTTATGGGAAATGTTACAACCACTTCGATACCACTATTATTAGGGGCAACGGCGTACTTTGCGAAACCTGTCTTCCAGCGATAAACTCATTTCTTTCTAATACTGGGTGTGTGAAGAAACTAGAAAAACGCATTTGGGGTGTCTGCTGCTTTCCCTCTGTCTGCTCTCCTATCTATACCTCTCGTCTGTCTTCTCCGAGCGTTACGCATGATAACGGTGGGCTATGACTATATTACGGTGTTCTTCTGTTTCCCTTTTCCTCCGGCTCAGGGCATGTTGGTGTTGTTGCGGGATTCGCGTCTTCGCTTGGGATATAAGCGAATTGAGCGATGAAGCGAAGCGTTGTCAAGAAATCTATCTCGGTGTTATACAAGAAAATATGGAACGGGATGTATCATGGATCTATTACCGGGGTTGTTGGGTTGGGTTCAAGATGCGCATTATCTCCGGAAGACCAGCGTCTCTCCTGGAGTAGAATTTTCTACCTTGTTCTTGAATCCTCTTCTTATCTTCTTCGTACTTGTTCCCTTTACGGAGCGAGTACTCTTCTTGTTTCCCTTTGTTGGTCTCTGGCGGCGACGGCGAAATCTAGCGATCTTTTGGATCTGGTCTGGAAATACCAATTACGGCGGGGTTGGATTGGGATTGGCGGTTACGGCTACGGGACGGACCGGCTGGAGCATTATGTTCGTGTGATTCTTTCGATCTAGCGGATCTATATGGATGAAGGAGGCTAAGGGGGTTTTGGGGAGTGCTTTTCGTTGTATAGTGGTGATGATTAGGGAATTCGCAATCGCTGCTTTTATTATTCTTACCTTTGTACACCTGTACCTGCGGATGTGAGACCCTGAAAACTGATAGCCCTATCCAGACGCGACGTAATCCCATGGCCCGTACAAATGCCATTCAGCGAATCAGATAGTACGTAATCAATCGCGATGATCGAGCTATGACGACATCGCTGGATGAGAGGGCGGACGATGGATGGGACGCAGCTTGAACCGAGGATGTTGTGGGTGCGGTCAATTATCTTGAACTGCAAACCTCAAACGCTTCAATTCGGGTTATCAGACTTTGCAATTGAACATCAATTCTCAGCCGTCAAAAGCAGACCCTCAAAGACCTCTTTCCTCGCGGACACCCCCGGACCTTGACCTGACCACCCCGACGAAAACACTGATCGGTTCCTCCTCCCCGCACGAAGCTACCGTTAGCTATCCGTCCAAGAAGCAAAACCGTGAATCCTTCGACAACTCACCCGTCTGCATTTCGAAATCAGCGATAATGGCCTCTCTACGAGCCTTCACCCGCCGCACCCCGCTGCTCGCGAACAGCTATATCCAGCACGCAGGCTTCGCGGTGAGCGCGCGGGTTGGCGCTGGGAAGGAGAGCGCGCTTGGTGCGTTCGCTATCCTGATGTACCCAATGCAATGCAAACCCGCTTCTTCCATCCTGTCACGCAGCAGAGGAGCCTGAATGGGGCGCGATTGGCAGGTGAGAGATATTGGCCAGCTCGCTGACGCTCGCACAAACAGGTCATGAGGGCCGCGCGGACGAGATCGACGAGCACAAGGCCGATGCGCTGAAGAAGCAGAAGGAGGGGAAGGGCGAGTGGAAGGATGCGCTGGCGACTGATTCGGAGAGTATTGTGCGTATATCCCCATCCCCCCCCCTTACAAAACTATAAGAAGAGGGGTGGGATGAGGGCTAACGAGATATGGCGATGCAGATCAAGGCGGATCGGGGCGAGCTCGAGGCGTCGGAGCAGACGATTAAGAAGTTGCAGGAGGAGACGAAGAAGGTGGAGGGGAAGAAGTGAGGGTCGGATGGAGCTTGGCTTCGGGGAAATTGTGGGATGGTGAGTGAGAGCGATGAGTGAGGAGCATACTGGGAGGTTGCTTGATGCGTGATACTCCGATGCTGAAGTGGGAGTGGCTGTTAGATGAGCTGGGTGGATGGTACGGAGGTCCCTATGCTTCTTCTTAAGCAAATGCATGAATTGATTCTATCTGCATTATCTCTCTTTCTCTCTCTTCCGTAACCGGTTCCAGCCGTTGTCCATCCTTATTCGCTATCTTCCATAGGCCATTCCCATTCCTCACTGCTCACCTCATCCTCACGTGCAATCACATGCCATCTTGGCAGCCATCTTCTAAGTATATAAGCCTCCTCCACCCTCTGCTCTACTTTCTTCCTCATGTGTCCGGTCCGTTCTCTGAGTCAACTTACAAAGTGAAAGACCTAATGGAGGAGTTTGGGAGGGCTGGGAGATCAAAATGCGCATACAGGACGCACATGGCGCTGGGCGGAGTGTATTGTTCAACATCACACTTGCATCAATTTCCATGGGGTCGTGGAAGTGATTAAGTAAAATCACGGAGGTGTTTATCGAATGGAGCGGTGGAGGTGGTGCTGTCAGATCAGATGTGCCTGAACTTCATGGGGTGGCATGCTAGCAGATTTGGTAATGACGAGCAGCGTTCTGAGTCAGTGGTAATGGGCAAACGGCTCGGGATATGGTTGTGGGGAACAGGCTGGGTTGATGAAAGACGTGAGCAATTGGTGAGGAATATTATCTCTTTTGAAAGATGATGAAGCCTGGGATATCGGGCTTGCGTAGCGCTAGATGGATAGGTTAAGTTACGAAGTATGTGGTATCATCTCAACCCCTTCATCCGGCTCTCATCTTCACATACGACTAGACATCGAGTTCCATCCAAACGGCATCCCCCTTCACTGCCCGCCTGATAGCATTCCGATTTAGTATGTTCAGAGCTTTACATCATGCGATTCATGTTTTTAATTTATCCGGCGGTGTCTTCCATTAATGTGCAGGCTGTCCAAGGAGAAGCAGCTGCACATACATACAGGGCCTCACCCAAATAACCTCCTTCGCTAGCCGCCTGACGACGTTATGGTTGAGGACATCCAGAGCTTCACATTGTGAGGTTCGACTTACATATTAGCCCTGTGGTGTATTCGCTCGATACATAGGCTGTCAAGAACAAGCAGGCACGCTCAGATGTAGGATTCATCGAGAAGACATCATGGAGAATCCAAAGGGACATCGCTCATAGCACACATCATAAAGGATCAAAGAAACAGATTTTGGGGTAAAGGGATTGCATTCCAGTAATTCATGTGCCCACTTACACTACCCGTATCGCATGAAGACGACGGCGTAGAATTGTAAGGGGCGAGGGGAAAGAAAGTCAAAATCAATGAATCTTGTTCTCCAAACAAATTGATACAACAATCAAGATAGAAGAAATATTGAGCTACCCATCCTCTAAGATCCGGCTAGAGAATTAGCTTGGAAGAAGAATTAGTCTAGCGCTTCATAGAAGCATTAGACGGAGCGCTGATTTCGACGTACATACCTATCGCTTGGCGATTTTTCCGTTCTGGCATTTCGTTCCGGCGGCCACAGGCTCCCAGACGACTTTGCCGTGGTTGCAGATGCCGAATTGGTCTGCGTCATTGCAAACGATGGTGCCATCGCCGCTGCAAGTACCACCTCCGCCTCCGGTCGAAGGCGAGCCAGATGGAGCTGCTGGGATGGATGGCGAGCCGGTCACCGTAAGGAGTGTGGTGAGTGAAGATTCAACGAGGCCAGCTGGAGGTGCGCTCAGAGATGGAATATCAGGTGTGCTCATCGAGGGAGCTGAGGGAGCTGAGGGAGCTGAGGGAGCGACGGGTGCGGAAGGAGCCGGATTCGCCGAAGGGCTCGGGATGCCTGGATTTGGACTGCCTGTTGGAATGCTTGGGTTGCTCATAGTCTGGCTCGGAGCACCAGTGCTCGGCATCGTCGCAGGCTGAGTACTTTGACCGCCATCTGGAGGTGCAGGGCCACCGCAAAGGGAAGCAAATGGTCCATTGCCGATTACAGTTTTGTACTCTCCTGGTTTATCGTACTTGTAATCGAAATTTTCGGTGGTATTGCACTGATTCTGCGAAGCGATGTTGGCTACGGCCATATCGGGAAGCTTATCGAAAGCGGAATGATCGGTCGCACCCCCGGAAACAGTAATCGGCGCACAGTTCATGTAGAATTCGCTGTTGCCAACCTTATTTTCCCAGGTCCATGCAAGGGTGGATTCGCCGTTGGGAACTTCTTTAGGAACCTTGAACGTAAAGGTGCTTGGGGGATCATTTCCAGGTCCTGGACCGGGGCATCCACCCTCAATTGAATAAATCACTTTGAATTTCGAATCCTTTGTTGGTTTTTTATCCGTCGTGACTGATAGCTGACATGAACCGCCCCCATGGGTTGCGGTGCCGGTAAATGACAACGTCTGGGTGTCCCCGACTTTCATGTTGTTCATCGCTTTGACATCGTAGGGTACATTCTTGCAGGGGAAGTCCGAGCCGGAGGCGTCGAGCGGGCTTTTGTCGGGGTTGCCATATGGAACAGGCGTCTTCATGATCATATGTCCGGAGACACCTGTCGCGAGCATAGCGCCAAAGAAAGCGGCGGTAATGCCTGACTTGACCATGGCCGTGATTGTGGAGGTTTGAGGAATGTGGTAAGCTTTGGGTAAGATTGTGAGAAGACACGGCGTGTGTGGGCTTCGAATTTGAACCTGCTGTATGTTTGTAGAAGGCTCTGTTTGGAAGCTGTGTGGGGTTTCTGGTGATGAGAATTGACGGAGAGGGTCTCCTGGAAGATTTATATACCGCGCCCTTCAACAATGTGACTGTGCCCTTTGTGAATGCATTGTGCTCATACACTGACACGGAGATACCTGATGGGTCATGATGGAAAATTTGAGACATTCTGCTCGAAAGCGTCAGAGTTGATAGGTAGAAAGAGTGGGAAAACAATGCAGTAATTCTGGTAGAAGTGACTCAATAAGACTTTGTGAGTTCTAGAATGAGCAAGACAGTGAAACAAAGAGGTCGAAAAAGCGCTACAGTACTAAGTTAGGCCGTAAGTCTGGACACGAATTCGTGACTACTGGGCTTCGGTTTTGCTCACTCGACACCACAGTGAGGAGCGGCCTGGCTAGCTAGTCGCGAGTTAGTCAAAAGGTAGTCTGATTTGAACTGCTTGATGCTGGACATCGCGCCTGCAGCATTGAAAGTCCATGGGCGTACCCAGACAGTGGCAGACGGGTGTAAAGGGTTCTGGGTTGTGAAGCAAGACGAGGGGACTCCGTAAAGACGTTGCTGACCCGCTAGTCCTTCTTAGAGTAGCGCGTCTTGGCGGTGTTCCTGGAGGAAAGCGCAACGGGCAGCTTGGAGACGAGACCATCAACGCGCCGCATTCACCGCGACCCTTGCGGTTTCGCCAATCCACGAGCATTTCCGGCCCTCACCACCGAGAAGCGGTCGCATTCACGGCCTCGTTCAGACGGCATTCTGCGCCCGCTCTAGTCGCCAACGCTCCCGACGCGTCGAGCATCTCTAGGATTCCTTCGCCCATCCTCTGCAGCTTCACCCTTCCGCACGCGCATCGCGCAACGCTACCACCATGTCCTCTATGGGGAAGATCAACCCCCCCCAAGCCTTCATATCAAGCTATGCGCCGCGATTACGGACATACGGGAACTCGTTGATTTCACCAATCGTCCCCCCTGCGAACACTCTACCAATCCCCCGAACCACGAAACGAGGAACCACAGCCATCAACTACGCCGAAGATGGGTACGACGATGAGGACTTCGATAGTGAAGGACCACGGCGGCCAACTGGGCTTCGGAGTTTGAGGCGGGATGAAACAACCGTAGACAAAGCTGGCCAGATCGCGGAGCTTGGAAAAGAGCTCACCGCGCCTGTCGACGTCCAAGGAATATGGAGAGACTGGATGGGCAAGCCCAAGGGCTCCAAGTACGCTAGAATCTGCTGTATTGGTATTGTGTAGATTGTTGGCTAACGATCACCAGGACCAGGACCGAGAGACAGCTCCAAATCCAATCCGCCCTACCTCTCACCCTCATACCCATTCGAATAGACCTCGACATCCAACCCTTCCGACCCGATGCGCCGCTCCCCACACCCAACAATGCGCGAGATTTCGGTATCGATGAAAGTCTACCGGCCTACAAACAGCCAGAGATGACACCAGCATTCCGACTGAAGGATGCTTTCCTATGGAATCTTCACGAGGCCCTCACAACTCCAGACCAGTTCGCTAAAGTCTTTGTTGACGAACTCGACTTTCCTAACGATCGAAAGCCCGCGCTAGTCATGACAATCGCGGGACAGATCCGACAGCAGCTAGAAGAGTATGCTGGTGTAGCTCTACACCCTTTATTTCACTCGACAACAAGCACAGCAAATGATGGCAATACAGTCAAAGCAATCCAGCCTGCGCTATCGCGAGACGAGTCATCTACACCTGCCCCCGCTTTGAATGGAATGTCTTCAATGCTATCAAACTTCTCGAATTTCTCAAATGGCACCAACGGAACCCCTGGTACACAAACACCAGTAAAAGCAACAAATGGCGTCAACGGTATCACGGCTACCGCGACCCCATTACCCGAAGAGGATGTTCACAATCCGGACGACACATATCGCTGCATCATAAATCTCAACATCAACCTTCTCAACCGCCTCTACAGTGACAAATTCGAATGGTCCCTGCTCCATCCTCCCGGATTCGCGGAAGTGTTTGCAAAACAGACATGCGCGGATCTTGGACTCGCTGGTGAATGGGTTCCGGCAATGACACATGCCATCTACGAAGCTGTTCTGCGACTGAAAAAGGAGGCCTGCGAGAACGGCGGCTTGGTGGGAGGGTACGGCGAGATCGATAACGATGCTGCTGAAGGCGCGGAAGCCGGCTGGCGGTACGATCACGAGCACCTCTGCGACGAGTGGGAGCCGAAAGTGGAAATACTGTCTAAGGAAGAAATTGAGAAACGCGAGGGCGATCGCGAGAGACAGATTCGGAGGTTGAGGAGAGAGACAGCACGATTCTCCTCGACAGCGAATATGACAGGGGGTATGCCCCAGGGTGACTACTTTGCCAACCCAGAGTCACAGGAGCAAGCGATGGGTAGGGGCGAGAGGAATAAGAAGAAGAGGCGATTCAGGAGTCTGAGTCCGGTGTCGAGGGAAACGCCGGACGTGGGCGGCACAGGCTACGGAGGACAAGGTGGTGGGCTGCAGGAATGGTGAGTTTTCAATTGAGTCCTACACCCACGCCAGTTAACTAATATGATGCACAGGGAACGACAAAATTGGCGATGTGCTCACTGCTGGGTCTGGGGCTCTGCGGTCTGGGCCGTGAGAGATGGACCTAATGGCCCAAGAGTGAGTCCTTCTCCATATCTCGTCATTCGATCATGGCTAACCTATAACAGACCCTCTGCAACAACTGTGGCCTACTCTACGAACGCGACAAGCGACTCCCACCTTGGTCCAAAGACAATTTCCTTCACGAGAAGGCCTATGGAACTCGGTGATTGGATATCGCGTTCTGATCTGTTCTTTTTCAATAATCTAACCCTTTTCTCTGTAGAACTCCGGCCATTCCTTGGGCCGCGTGGCAAGATGTTCCAGAACACTACCGGAAATACGAGCTGGACAGCCTTGTTAGGCTTTACGGCCTTTACAGCACTATAGCCATCAAGTTACCAGTGGATCCGGCAATTCAAGTGGACCCCGGTACATCTTGAAGCCTTGGGTAGATGCCGTGTTGCTGGAGTCGACTGGATGAGGAGCCACGTTTGGTGAACGGACTTTCTTGCATGAGCCTGGGCTGGACTGGGCCTTTTGTGTGGCATCTTGTAGAGCGCGGCGTTGGGTTTGGGATACTGGTCTTGCTGGTTTGTAATACTAGGCTCTCCCGTGTGTTCAGTGGGTACGACTATGGGGTTAGGAAATCTGCTTGCTTAAAAGGTATTCACTAGGCTGCTGCGAAGGAAGTGTCAGTAGGTCAGAATTTAGCTTGAAGTATTTGATACGCGTCCGAACTTTGCGCTGTGATGTCGCTACGTGAAAGGCTTTGATACCATCCCCAACGTAGAACGAGAAATGATCTTGTCATTTCCACCAATCGCCACCCTTCTAGCCTTGAGTATCACGTGATCCTCGCCTAGATGGATAAACTTCGGCCAAACCGCCCATCCACGTAATCTATGTTTTATACTTTTATACAGCGCCCTCCAACCTTCCACCTCTCACCTCGACAACCCTATCCACACCACTCCCTCCCACAAATCATCTCTCTCTCTCTCGCAAAGATGTCCGAATACTGGAAATCCACGCCGAAATACTGGTGCAAATTCTGCGCCGACTTCGTCAAAGACACGCCCTTTGCGCGGCGCGAGCACGAAGCGTCCCCAAAGCACCAGCGCAACATCCAGCGCTCCCTGCGCGAGCTGCACAAGACCACGGAGCGCGAGCAGCGCGAGAAGGCGCGCGCGCAGGCCGAGATCGCGCGGCTGAATGGCGTCGTGCCCGGCGCGGCGGCGGGAGGCAGCGAGCAGCCGTTGCCGTGGAAGATGAAGGCGGTGGAAAGGAGTGCTGGGGAGAAGCGGCAGGCGACGGCGGAGGAGAGGAAGAGGCAGCTGCAGCAGTTGGCGGATATGGGGGTGGCGGTGCCGGAGGAGTTTCGGAAGGAGGTCGCGATGGTGGGGGGGTGGGAGACGGTGGCGAGTCGCCCGATCTATAACACGGAGGAGGAGAAGAGCTTTGACACGTTGTCGGTGGGCGTTAGGAAAAGGAAGATTGATGAGGAGGAGGAGGAGGTTAGGGCGGCGGAGGAGATGGCGGAGAGGAGGAAGGGGTGGGGGCAGGCGTTTAAGCAGTTTCCTGGGAGGAAGGGGGAGGAGGAGGATTTGGAGGTGCTTATGAGGATTGGGAAGAGGAAAGAGGTGAAGAAGGAGGATGAGAGCACGGAGAATGTAAAGGTTGAGGAGGGTGCGGAGGGGACACCAGTGAAGCAGGATACAGACGCGGGAGACGGGCCGGTGCTGAAGGAAGAAGAGGCAGAGAAAAAGTTGAGCGAGGTGCCGGTAGCTGGAGATGCAATCCCGTCCCCGGAGACGAAGGTCGAGAAGAAGGTTGCTGCGCCAGCTGTGGTCTTCAAGAAGCGGAAGAGGGCCGCGAAGCCTGCTTGAGCCAGGACGTTGTGCGACTACTACGATACCCAAACCCCTAAGAGGTTTGCAAGAACCATCTAAGATACGAACTTATTAATACAAAGCCCCCATCCAACCTCGGAGGTACTCCAGGGACGAAAGGCAACGAAAGGCAACGACAGCGATGATAGCGGCTCTAAATACCTTCAAATCGGCATCCTACATACAGTAAACCAGCACACCCTTTATCTCGGCAGCTACGTCGTCATCCACGTAACTACCGCGAGTGATGAACATGGTGTATATGTCACAAAAGCATTCAAAGCTCAGACTGGGATGTTCTGCAATCTCTCTCCTAGCATTGTGGGTCTTTTGCGGCACAGCGTAGGAGGAAGCGTATGTCTATCCTCCATAGCTACTCATATCATCACTCACGCTTTGGAAAGACTTTGACGCAAAATGGAGCGGGAGAGCTTCCGAGAAACGGACCGACAGCCGCGCGCACAGTGAGTAGACAGGGTGGACTCCGCACGAGTCGTCCTGAAGATAGTAGCATGTTATTCCACATGAATCAAACAATTTTCACATTCGGAGTCATTCCTATCAGATATTCGTGTTTTGTTGTTTTCCGAACCGTCCTAGTTCGCAGATGTCCACCCTCTATGTGCCCAGGGCGCCTACCACCTTACTCCCCAAGCTTTGATCAGGCCCCCATAGACAAGCTCTACTCATCATCCCCAAAAAACACCTTCACGGGCAACCACTCATCCCCACACACCTTGAACCGATCCGGGAGGCTGCTCAGCTTCGTCATCTCCTCATCAGTCAATTCCCACCCATCTAGTTCAAAGTTGCTCTCGATCCGCGAAGCCGTCACGCTCTTCGGGATCACGCTGGTGCCGCGCTGAAGACCCCACTTCAGAAGTACTTGCTGCACGGACTTGCCCTTGGCTTCGGCGAGGGCCTTCAGCTGGGCGTCTTTGTAGAGCGGCGAGTCGGTGGAACCGAGGCAGGAATAGGCGGTGCAGTGGATGCCTTTGGCTTTGCAGTATTCGAGGAGTTTGGGGCTGAGAAAAGGGAAGTTAGTGGGGTCGTCTGGGGATCAAATGTGCGACAACGCTAGAGTTGGACAAGGGATGGGGAGGAGCTTACGAAGGGTTGTTAGGGTGCAGTTCGATTTGATTGACGGCGGGCACGATCTTAGTCGACGGGTCGTTGAGGAGAATTTCAAGGTTCCTGATGGCGAAGTTGGAGACGCCGATGTTCTTGACGCGGCCAGAGGCGGGGAGCTTTTGAAGCTCTTGCCTAAAACTGGATTAGCTTGATGTCAATAGCGAGGTGTTAGGGATGGGACAAACCAGGTCTTGACGAAGTTCCAGTCTGGGAGGTGCTTCTTCAGGTCCTTGGGGTCGGTGCTGGAAGGCCAGTGCTATAAATTAGATATTAGCAAACTGCTATTGTCTCAAATTGATTACGGGAGCTGAGCTCAAACTTACCATGAGATACAAATCCACATAGTCCACGCCCAGGCTCTTCAAGCTCGAAGTGATACCCTCCTCAACGCGGTGGTGCCACGGGTTATCGAGCTTGGTGGTAATCCAGATCTCCTCGCGGGGAACACCAGAGTCACGAATTCCCTGTCCGACCTCCTCCTCGTTCTCGTACGCCAGTGCGGTATCAATGTGGCGGTAGCCTTTCTGAAGCGCGACCTTGACAGCTTCGCGGACCTCGTTGGGCTTGGATTGCCATGTCCCTAGACCGACCGCGGGGATCTTGGCCCCAGTGTTCAAGGTGAACGTAGCAGAAGTGGGATTGAGCATTCTGAGAGCTTTGGTTGCTTTGAGCATTCAATGGATTGGGTTTGGGTTTGGGTTTAGGGAGTTGGGGTGAAGAGATTTGCAGGTGAGTTGGATGTGAGAAGACTGAAAGGAAGGAAGAAAGGAAGGAAGGAAGGGCAGGCGCGAACTACAAATATCTTCTAATAAAACGTCGCCGATATGCGCGTTTTACCACCCCTCCCCATCCCACCATTTCATCATCATCGGCGCTGCCCCACCATAATTTTTCCACCGGCTAAAGTGCCCCTCTGCCATCTTTGCACCGAAATCACCGAAACCGGCACGGGATCACTGCATCGCGTTAAGCAGCGGCCCTTCTAGCGGCGGAAGCAGCATAGTTTGCGGTAGCTTAGCCGGTCGTCGTCGAGGGTGCCCTGTTGTGATTTACCACCACTCAATCTGCCGAATCGAAGCCCCACGGCAATACCAATACTTATCCCCACACATTCCCCGGAATATGTCGCGCTTCGTACCCGGCGGGACCGTCGACGAGCCAATCGAGCGCGACGACGAATGGGCGAAGGCGCAGCAGGAGCTGGAGGAGGAGCGGCGGAAGAGGGAGGAGGCCAAGGAGCAGGCGGGGGGGAAGAGTCTGTTTGAGATATTGGAGGCGAACAAAGGTGGTTACATCTATTTTCTCGAGCTAGAGAATTGCCCTGAGAGTCAGGCTGACATGTTAGATCTTGCGTGAAAGCCGCGAAGCAGGAAGCTTTTGAAGAGGTCAGTCGTGAGCACTACAATCGCCATATCAAACAGTAAGGCTAATGAGTGTTGTTCAGGCGAATCGCTTCAAGAACCAATTCCGCGCCCTAGACGATGAAGAGGTCGAGTTCCTCGATGCCGTACTCGAGTCCGAACGCGCCAAAGAAGCTGCGATACGGAAGGAGACGCGAGAGCAGCTAGACTCGTTCCGCAAGCAACAGGAGGAGGCGGAGAAGGCAGCTCTAGCTGAAGGAGACACTGCCATTCCGGACGAGGAACAACTGTTTGCTGCTGGCAGGAAGCGGAAGAAGGGCAAAGAGAAGGAGCCGTTGAGAGGAGTCAAGCTCAGGAAATCCTCTTCTTCTACTTCGGCCGTAAAGCCTCAGATCGAGAAGAATGATGGGAAGGCAGCTTCGAGCACACCAGTCGAGCAGTCGAAGCCCAAGGCCTCTAGTCCTGCTGGAAGTGACAAGGGAAAGGCGTCAGCACTAGGAGCGTCACCCTCAGCATCACCACCAGCTCAAGCACCAAAGCCATCAGTGCTGGGACTTGCCAACTATTCATCTGACGAAGATTGAACCGGACGATTCATCACAATAAGCATACGGCACAATTTAGGACATAGTTTACCAAGCATTGAGGCGAACAAGGGTATCGGCGATACGTGTACTTTAATTCTGGGTACTATCAAGATAGTATCCAACCAAATTGCTCTGTCTTCCTACTATAGTGCCTCTTGATATATCGAATCTGGGCCTCCATTCTAAACCGTGACCAAACACCATGCATGTAAACCCCACCATCCCAACACCTCGCAGTAACCCACTCCGGTCTACCCAGTCAGATTGTAGATCTTCTGAATCTGACCCAACACCTTCACGAAATCGATGTTCAAATCTTTCAGCAATCCATCCTTCATATCAAACACCCACCCATGCACAATGGGATACTGGTTCTGCGCATAACTCTGCTGAACCGCCGCTGTCTTGATGATGTTGCGGCATTGCTCATGCACATTCAGCTCCACAACGCGATCGCACCTCTTCTCCGCATCCTCAATTGCATCCAATTCCGTCTCATACAGCCGGTACACATCGCGGATATTCCTGAGCCACGGGTTCAAGATCCCCAGATCCTGCGGGGTCAACGCGGCCTTTACGCCACCACACCCATAATGCCCGCACACGATAATGTGCTTGACGTGCAGGTGGTTAACCGCATAGTTGACTACGCTCATGACATTGAGGTCGGTATTGGGGACCATGTTCGCGATGTTGCGGTGGATGAAGCACTCGCCGGGCCCCAGACCCGTGATCTGCTCAGCGGGGACCCGCGAGTCGCTGCATCCGATCCAGAGGTAGTCGGGCTCCTGGCCGGACGACAGCTTGTCGAAGAAGGCCGGGTTCTTGACCTTCTGCTCGGCGGCCCATTTGCGGTTGTTTTCGAAGATGTGGTCGTGGTCGGCTTGCAGGTGCTTGGCGACGTCGGAGGGCGGCATTTTGGAGGACCACCAGGATGCGAGCGGGCGGATTTGAGTGGTGCTAGCTGGGGCTGGGGTGGTCGAAAGAGGTGTGAAGCGAGGGGAGGGGGCCGCCGGGCGAGGTTTTATATGGCGGAGGACCGACGACGGGATCAACCGTGGCTTGCACATTGGAAGTGATTGGCTTGACCCGAGGTTGGGGAGGATGGATGCGGTTGGGCGCAGGTCTCGGGTTATCACGATCTTGTTGAGGACTTCGCTAAGAAAGTTTATGCGCCTTCTGACGCCCCGAGGAGAGGCTGCAGCGCGGGTTTTGTTTTTCAGGGCGGGATCTCACGGCATCTTTTGACGGAGTCCGAGGCGGTTCCTGGCTTCATTTTATGTACTCGCCTGGCTCCAAGGTTCCCCGGATACATTTTAATCATGTAATTTGGAAAAGTTACACGTTTTAGATGTCGATGGGAGGTAGCTTTACCTAATCAGGTCTAGCTTATGTCTTCCACAAGGACTTCAATATTCATCTGTCGACCAACACTATCGACATTTATCAATAGAAGATGCCGCAGTACCTTGTAAGGCTCGCCCAAACCCATGAGAGCTTTCGCAAGGCTGAGCTGGAGGCTCTTGCCGAGCTAGCCGGCATAGATATCAGATTCGACTTTTACGACGAAGATGTAAGGATTTTACGCTCTTCCACTTCGATATATGCATTTTCATTGAATTCTACCCTCTAATTTCCTCTTGTGTTTTGAACACTTCGTCGTGCGTTTCCATCCATTTTTTGCGTATGGTGGCTTCCATTCTTCTACATTCGAGTCATACTCAATCCGAAATCAGACTCCTAGATTTCATTCGTTCAACGCGCCTATCATCATCTTTACAACTATGTACATCTCCAATCCCTTTTCGTACACAGGCTCTCATACTAATCCAAATTTCAGTCTCCTTTCTGCATTCTCGCTCTCCCTTCCCCAACCGCCGCCGCAATTCTCATCCACAGAAGTATACTTTCCCTCTCTATCCATGAACTTTGGGCACAAGGAACCGACTACGCCACTCTCCACGCCTCCAACCATGCAGCATCATCTATCTTTTGGCCGCATTACGCCACCTCCTCGTTCCGCTTCACCCTCGACTCCTACCGCGGCTCCCGCTCCACCGCGACCCAACGCACCATCATCGACAGCTTCTCCTACATGCCCTTGAACGGCCGCATAAAAATGTCAAACCCAGACCTCTCCCTAACCATCTTCGAAGACTTTGCCACCGGCAGCCATGAGCCCCGCGCCCTCTACCTCGGCCGCCTACTCTCGCTATCCGGCCGCATCGCAAAAACAACCTACGACCTCAAGAAACGCGCTTACATTAGTACGACGAGCATGGATGCTGAGCTCGCTCTCGTAACCGCCAACGTGGCGCTCGCAGCACCGGGAAAGCTTTTCTATGACCCTTTTTCTGGGACAGGTGGCTTCATGGTCGCGGGCGCGCATTTTGGAGCGAGCGTGTGGGGCAGTGATATCGATGGGCGGAGTATCCGCGGAAAAGGCGGGAAGGCAAAGAAGGATGTTGTGAGTAATATGGTGCAATATGGTCTCACCTCTCGGTATCTAGACGGCTTCATTGCGGATCTGACCAACTCGCCTATCCGGGGTGCTCGCGGGCCGGGGGAGGACGCGGCGAGGGGCGGGTGGTTGGATGGGATCATGTGTGATCCACCGTATGGTGTGAGAGAGGGGTTGAAGGTGCTGGGGTTGAAGAGGGATCCAGGGGAGAACAGGGAGAGGTTAGCATGTGTTGATCGGTATATGGAGGAAGGGTACATACCACCGAAGCGGCCGTATAGTTTCGAGGCGATGTTGGAGGATATTCTGCAGTTCGCGGCGGTTATGCTAGTAGTTGGGGGGAGGCTGAGCATGTGGATGCCAACGGCGAATGAGGAGGCAGAAAATGGGGAGGAGCAAAAAGAGTTGAGTATACCGATGCATCCAGCTTTGGGTCTGGTGAGCGTTTGTGTGCAGCCTTTCAACAAATGTAAGTTGTCTCTTCTCCATCTTATATAGCACTAACGTGGAGATAGGGTCTCGTCGCCTCCTCACATACCGCCGTCTCTCTCCAGACGAAATATCACCAGAAGCCCTCAGCGCCATGGTATCCCACAAAAAGCGTGCCCATGGTAACGGCCAAAATGCAGACGATCTGAATGACTTTCGGAGAAAGTATTTCCAGGGGTTCAAGGAGCCTGAAACTTAGCTCAACGTCGATCGTCAAGAGCTGAGAAGTAGATACCCATCAAATGAGCACCGACTAAAGGAACACTATTGTAGAGACTACTATACGCCGAAAGCTCTACAGCTAAATACCACATCGGCGGTCACCGTCTCAAAGCCGTTTAAAACTTGACTTCAGTCCTGCTTTCGTCTTGTCTACGTCACGAGAAAGAACTCGACCTCCAACCACCCATTTTGATAGTAGACACCCTTATCATGATCGCCACGAGGAAACGTTCACTCCCGGCTTTCCATTGATGACGGACGAACCTGGTGTTGATGACCCACATAGAAATATCTGCATCTTTCGGATTGCACCGTTTCCGTCCCTTCCACTCTGATAAAGCAAGTTTAAGATCAGAAGTCGGCGGAGGTAGTTATACACCTCTAGCGAGAAAGACCTGCGCTATCACATGGCCCTCATTCACCGTTACCTAGGGTGAACCGTTCACACGGTCTCGATACGCGGCTTCGTCTTACTCCCATTACTTACGGCTGTCATGTGAGATTCCATGTGTCGATCACATGCTCTTGAGTCTTGGCGGGATTTTGCGAGTATAAAGACTTCTCATGTTTGCACCCGAATTTCTTTCTTCATAGATTGGATTCTTTGGATCAAAACGCGTGGGAGCAGGGGCCCATGGAGACGCTCGGTTGCTCTGGGGAGTTCAAATCTTTTCGAGATCAAAAAGCATGGTGCTGGTGGGGGCTGTGGTGTTCAAAAAGCCGGAAAACTCGCCAGAATGGTTGTGGTGGAGCGGCATTGTCCATGTGTACTCAAGAAATACTGATGATGACATGCAACTCTTTCCATCAGCCATATCCTTTACTACGATTCTACGTCGCTGAAGTTCACGGGCCTCTTCTACTATATCATCTCATCACCTCCCTTCCTAGTTGCTCATCATCAACTATCAAGAACCTCCACATCATCGTCCAACTCTCTTACTCCCGCCCACCACCCAATCCAAATGCTCATCGCGGACTTGGCACAGCGCTTTTACACCACCACCCACAACCCAGCACACTCCATTGGGCTTCACTAGGTCTTCAGTTGATGAACGCCAAATCCGCCATTCGACTTTCTTCTCGCCTCCGAGCCAGCCATTGCCCTTTCTCTTGCACTAGTTTCAACAACCTCGCGCAACCATCAAGGGCTGGGTCGGAGCGTTTTACTATATCCATGTCGTATTCCCTAAAGAAAGAAACGTCGGAACAGGAGGTAAGTCTTTTATACCCAAGATGAAGAGGGGTCACGTGTGACCGCGTAGCCTTCTTGACCTCACAGTGGCGTGCCTTCCTCATGTTCGGGCTGTCTGATGAGTGGCCGGGGAGTATTCTTGAAGTCGCGGGATCGATATGCAAATCACGTGCTACCAACGTGACGCCTGAGGCCAGGGGTATAAGAACTCCTTCTCTACCGAAGTAGAGAAGCATGTGTGGAAGGAGTTGCGGGATCAGCAACGGGTCATCAGCCACCGAATGTTGTCGGGTTGGTTTGTGCAACAGCACGGTGCAAATCGTCCCATGTGGGTGCTGGGTGGAAAATCAAAAAGAGCATTAAACTCGACTTGATGGTGTGTCAGCGCGGAGGGAGACAGCAGTTTGTTTATGCTGGTCTGTAGCAAGAAGGGATGGTGGACAAAACTTCTAGTAGGAAATGATGCTTGCTGTAGACTACTTCAGAGTTGGGCTTCATAGTAGGAAAAAGGAGATAGATAGCATCACTAATCTGCTTCTTAGTGACGCCGACCGCGCCCTCCTACAGTCCTAGCCATGGGACCGCCCCGGCAAGCTTTTTGCAAAATCCAGGCGTATCTTTTGATTTGATACCTATATCCAACTTCCATGATGGAAAGGAGGAAGTGCAGGGAGAGATTCTTATATACCAGCGAATATGTAAGTCACGTGTCAAGTACTCCTCTCCCCGACAACGCTCCGAGATGTGGAATGTAGCGCTGGAAGCTTCGGGGATAGATTCAATGTGCTCTTTTGGTTTTGTCCTGGTCAAGTACGAGAGTAACGAGCATATTGATGCTTGAGCTATTCCTATCTATCTGATCCATCTAAGCCGGTCTCTACCGATGATATCTAAAGCTTTGAAGTACTGTAAAAAAAACCACGCCCTCTACTTCTCTTCAACTCCGACAAAGATTATAGAAAAGAACAGTCTATGAGCTCCAACGCTAAGGCCCTTCAGCCGACGGCCGAATGAGTCGAGATTTCGTCTCTCCGTTCCAGCTCTTGCCGATGACGTCTAATCATCTTCAAACCTAGCAACCTTTGAAGGAATAGAATGCAAGGGATCTAACGCAAGAAAGCCTCAACACACACACACCACTCGCCCCAATAGCATCTATCATCCCTCTCCAGGTTCTGTGGCAACACCTGGCCACCAAGCCCCGTCCAGTTCTCCAACCTTCATCCCCCAATCATTCAGCTTTACCTTTTCCTCCCCCACTTTCTCCGCTGCAACCTTCTTCTCCTCACGCCATTGAGCCCCAGAATGCGCCTGGCGTTCACGCTCCTCGCATCGATGTCCGCACCGACACTGATACTTACTGTCGCTCTGTGGTCCGCGCTCGCACTCGCGTCTCCGCATATCCAACAGCGCTTCATCTCGCTCACATTCCTGCTTCCGCATGCTTTTTAGCACGTCTGTAGCCCAGTCCGCGATGGCATCTTCTCTGAGATACTCCGGGATCGAGTGGGGTTTGAAGGTGAACGGAATAGCGATGGGGTGAAGGAGGATCTTGAGTAAGTGGTCTCCAGACTCGTCGTTCTCGCGACGGGTATCGGATTCTTCGTTCGCACTCAGCTGACAGCAGACGAACTCCATCCCAACGCTTTGCAACCGCGGGAGCTTGCGGACGAGCTCTCTGAGACTAAACACGATGACGTCGACGCCAGAGAGCCTACTCTTGTTTAGAGAATGGTGGTGTGGGTGTAGAGTCAAAGAGCGCAGATTCGGACAGTGCTGAGCGACGTAGCGGATGGAAAGACTGAGCTTAGCAAGTCGGCCTTTATGCGATTCCTTGACGATGTCTGTCTCGTGCAAAGGCTTCGAGTGGTGAGAGTAGGAGTAGTTAGACGTCGAGCCGATTTCGTCGGTGAGGGTGATGGATGCCATGACTTGGAATGGGAATGGGGAGAGGGTCCATTGGGCAGAAGGGCTGATTGATTGATTAGAGGTGCACGGAGGATGAGTATAGAGGTGCGTATTACTTACAAATTCCAGTGCTTTCTTTTGCCTCGCCACAGCTTGTTTCCCAGAGGGAAGTCAAAGATGGCTTCGACGTTGGTCAGGAAGAGGGACCAAATGTCCATGGCGAAGAACGTGTTCAGGCACACGACCGCGCGAAGTTCGGGGAGTGCTTCGTGCTCGACTACGCTGTATGGGTGCTATTTGAGCAATTAATAAGTCTTGCTTTTATACATACTTCAGCAGAGTAACTTACGAGTTCGCCAGTTTCAGGGTGCAGCACGTCAAACCACGCTCGGCTGAGCGCCATCAGTTCTGGTGTGTGAAGGCTCACAGACTTCAGGATCGTCGACGCTGCCTCCGGGTTGCACCATGGAAAGCTCTCGTAGATGATTTTACGCATCAAGGGGAATCCGAGGTACGAATAGACATATTGGCGGAGCTCGGCTGGGAGCAGCTCGAAGCTGCTTGGACGAGAGACTTTTGACTGTTTGGGCATGGCCGTGGAAGTTACAGACGTCGGAAATCTGGGGATAGAAGGATGCCTGGCAAGGTGTTTGGCGGTCTATAGGAGATGGATGTAAACGCGAGTGTCCGTTTTCATGGCAAGTCACTGAAGGTTTGCGAATTGTCTAGAGGAAGCTTTTCAGAGATGGATCTTTGATGAACTGCGATGAAGTTTGTAGATAGAAGGCGGTTTAATATTGAATGCCCAACGTAAATGTCCATTTATAGATGTCAAGTCGCCCGTGAAGTTGCCCGACTAGGCAGCCATGACAATATAGCCTCCTCCTCTGAGATTATACAAGACTACCGAAAACTTTCCTTCTTTGCCTTCTTACCGGTCTGGCCTGCATTCGCCCTGGCAGATTAGCCCTTCTGGCGCCCTTCTGCCGGAGGCTACAGTTGCCGTCTCGCTTGCAGGCTTCATTCGTTGAAGATGCCCAGGTCTAGGCTATCTCCATCCGCCATGCAGCAGTCCTTCAGCGCCATGACGCCCTTTCTCCATCGTAACTCTTCAAATAGGAACGTTGCAAAAGCGATATTATGGATGCCTTTGTGATCTGACCGATAAGTTGAGCAACCTTCCCAGTCGGTCTTGTGGGCTAACATGAAGAACATCAACCCTAATTTTAGCAATCTGCCCCACCGTTCGGAGTAAGAATATGTGGGGAAGCATAAATACAGTCGATAATTATGTCTAGCTCTGATACTTACCTCATCCATTACTCTGAGTCATCGATAAGGAGACGCTGAAGATATTAGCGACATGATTGGCCCTTATGCTTTTCCAATTCCGGATATCACCAGCCTCAGAACCGTTCCAGAGCGTTTTTCCATCATATTCCATCCTTATCTAGAGGGCCGGCTTCATCCACGGTTCTGGTGTCATGTGGACAGCAATTCCGCGCAAAGATCGGTCCAGTACAGTAGTGATCCACGGGTGAGTGAATTTCAAAATTTTTGTTCAACAACACCAAAACTGGCAGGTGATGCGATGGGATTTTTCTGCACAAGTCAAGCGCTTAAGTGGCCAAGGGGAAGTTCTAGGTGGAGGGTAATCCATGGATGAGTGACCTCCTGACTGATTAAAGACTTCAGCGACACCACAATCGGTGGGCAGCTGTGCTCGTTTTTTTTCTAGAAGATACTGAATTCCGACTTAGCGCTGCCGCCACAAACACCGACGCCACGTTAACCACGAGCCTGCGGGAGAAGGTCACGCAGCCAGTTGACGCCATTGCCTGCTGTCCATGTCTTCTCGCAGTGTCCGTTCAGGCCATAGACGGCGACGATACTAGAGTCTAGTTAGCTGGATGGAGGAATACAACAGCGGAGAGCGTAATCGGTGACCGGGTCGGTCTCCTCAGAGACCACCTGCAAGCGTTGGGCTGCTATGGCTGTTGGCTCTGCTGGCGGCGGAGAAACAGACGGTTCTGTAGGAGCCTGCTTGAGTGTCAGAGCCTGTGGAAGAGCGAGGAGTTTAGCAAAGTCTACCTTTGAGCTGCTATTCTTCGATTGGAAGTGAAGGAGTCGTCGCATCATGCTACGTGACGAATGGACCAACAGGTTTGTAGTGTGGGACGTCCAGCAATATGGCGCGCGAGGGCGGTCATAAGGCTGAGAACAGCGGCTGCAACATGCTGGCGGTCGAGATGATACTTGTAGAGGGCGCCTGTCGTCGTTGTCGTTGGCGCTTAGTCTCGGCTCTTACTGGTATGGGGGCTGCTGCCACGGGCCATCTGTCCTTCCGCAAGGGAAACACGCGAAACATCACAACAGTGCTTGACGGTGGTCATTGTCGTGAAGTGCCCTACAACTATGCTTGTTCGACGTACTGCTAAAATTAGTTATAGGGCCAAAGCAGCCACCTTAGAAACCCAATGTCGCTCGAGCCCATCTCCGGAGCTAGCCACTCAAGCCGCCGCGAACGGGTTGGGGCCGCCCGAGTCGTCGCAGATGCTGCGGTTACTTGTAGCAGAGACGCGGTCACCGTCTGGAGCGAGCCATTTGCACCCCACTCCTCGTTTCCGAACATAGCCAACCATGAAGCGATTGCGGAGGACCTAGACCGGGATACATGCAGCTTGAGACAGGCAAGGCCGCATCCAGCCAAGCTGGAATTGCTTAATTTGGATGAATGGGATGAAAGCGAGACATACGATGACAATCCGCCAACCTGTCTCCACTACTCAATCGAATGGAAAGTCACTCTAAACAACAAGCTCATTTCCAAGGATACAGAGCCGGACCTTGTGCTAGCGCCTAGATTTTACTGGTCCTTGTTCCTACGTGAGAAGCTTGACAAACTGCTGCAGAAAAAGCTGTCGTCAAGTAAGCGTGTAACTTGTGAAGATACCAACGTTGTTGTATCAGTGACCGGTCGCTCGGAGCGTGACTTGACGAAGCGCTTCAATAAGAGAGATGTTGACTGGTTCCTAGTGGAGAAACAGTTTCTAGCGTGGGGCGAGTCATTCTGGGCAGGCAGAAAGCTTAGAGTCGATGTATCGTTCAATTACGTCGAGGTAGGTCAGCAGGCGCCCGTATCAACGAAAAGAGCAGGGAAGCCGGGGTGTTCGTCTGCTACTCAGCAAATGCTTGCAGAAAGAGACTTGCAGCTTGATGCTAAGGAAGGGATCTTTAGACAACCGTCCATATGGCAAGACGTCTGCAATCTAATGCGATGCCCCGGGCCGCCTTGCGACCTCGGACCCCACTGCTGGCAGGATCCCAATGGAAAGAAGTATTATAAGCTTAGGACACATCAGCTACAGGGCTTAATAAGGCACGTAGAACAGGGGGGCCAATTACGGACCCATAACGAACGTGCTTCCTGGACCGCCTCATCCGCCGTCGAACCAAGCAGTAGCATCGTCAATGCCTCGTCTTGACATTCCTGGTTTCCTAGACACTGCAGTGGAAGAGTACAGCAATTGGCAGCAGTCGCGAGTTAGAGGGGAAGACCAGAAGAACGAGATTCAAAAACTGTGTGATATCGCCTTAGACCATGGACTGGAACTACAGCAGCTCTACGACAATCAGGATCCGGATTTCTTCACCAAAGAGGGGATTAAAGTAGGTATTGCCCGGCGCTTCATCCGCGATATTATATGCTGGGTTCAACAGCAGAAGGGGGCTAACGAGGGGTTTACTTCTGTTTGAAGCATGACTAGTGTTTCCGATAGGACGCTTGAGTCTGCAACGCTAAATTTATCAACTTGTTGTTCCATAGTACCTTCTACTCTAGACTATATACACATGTAAGCTTAGAGCTCCTCTATCGTAATACCCGCGTGCCTGAAATGACCTCTCGCGCTATGTTGCTTGCCACCCACAACATCAATACACCATTCCAGAAATGCGTCAAAGCCCTGCCCCGGTGCGTATTCGAAGGCATGCCAGTTCTTCTTGATGAATGCCTTTAACTCGGCGAAGAATTCTTCGATTGGGTTCAGATCTGGAGAATAAGGAGGTAGGTACAGGAGCTTGACACCGGCTTCGTAACACATCTGCTCGAGTCGCTCCATGCGATGAAAGGACGCGTTGTCCATGACGAGCACAGACTTTGGCTCAGGCCACCTACCGCAATGAGGAAGTAGCTGCTCTACATACTCTTCAAAGACTGCGCTGTCGGCCGAGCCCTGGAACACGCTGGAGAACAGGACCCCGTCCTGCGTGTAAGCCGGCAGGATCTGATATCGCTGGTCACGGTGGAATTTGGCAACCTGCACCGGGGCCACGCCGTGAGGAGACCAGCTTGTTCGCCTGAAGCCGATGCGCTTATCGCAGCCCGACTCGTCAATAAAAAAGAGGTGATAGGACCGAAACTGCCTTAAATTGTAGAGGTAAAAGTCTCGTAGATCCGCGTTCTGCTCCTTTGCGATCTGCCCCTTTGCGATCTGCCCCTTTGCGATCTGCCGAGCCGCTTTCTTCGACCACCCTACAGCTTTCAAGGCTCTACTGGTGCTGAACGTCGAGACAAGAACATCGAAATCGTCCCACAAGAAGACAGCCATTTCCTCCTGGTCCAGTCCGGGCTTTTCTAGCAGATGTTTACGCAGGGCGTCTAGCATGGGCGATGTGATCAATCGACGCCTCCTATTTCCATTTGCAGGAGCCTTGGTAGAGTTGAAGTGGCGGAGATTGGACCTCATTGCTTTTATCGAACGCTCGCTGCAACCAGCTACCGTGGCCATGTGAGCAGTGGTAAGCGTCCTGGCCTGAATCATATCGTGGATTAGATCATGCTGCGAGGCTGCAAGATTTGGTACCATGTTAGTATCTATGAACCTTACTAGGGTTCTGGGATCCGGGCCTGGTCAAGTAGTAAATATGCACCGTGGAAGGCGTCTAAAAGACAGGTTGACGATGGTGCGAGGAGGTAGGCCCGTGGCGGGCTGAACAACGAACAGCAACGAAACAAGCAGCCCTCCATCGCCTCGACCGCCAGCATGCCGCAGCCGCCATGCGTCTCAGCCTTGCGACAGCCCTTTCGCGCGATGCTGCTGGACTTTGCCTACACCACACAACTGTCAATCCCGTCCTGAGTTACATGAGCGCGATGCGACGGCTCCTTCAGTTCCGATCGAAGAACAGCAAGGCTGAGGTGCTTCTCCCAGGCCGCCTTTTCTTCCACATGCTCTAACGTCCAGGCAGGATCCTTTAGAACCCTCCGCATCCTCGGTGTCAGCAGAACCAGCTGCTGCAGTTGTACTAGGCTTGCAAGTGGTAGCTGAGGGCATCGAACCGATTGTCGAGTATGCTTCCCCGTTGCTCCATTGCTCGTTCGACAGCTAACCCGACTCGAGCATTGTCGCTATCCATGGCCTGAACGGACACTGCGAGAAGACATGGACAACGAGCGACGGCGTCAACTGGCTCCGCGACCTCCTCCCGCACGACCTCCCCAACGTGCGCGTACTCAGCTGGGGCTACGATGCGAACACGCATAGCCGCTCTCGTGTGAGCTGCCAATACCTGTTCGACCACGCACGAACACTAGTATCAGACCTGTGCTTGGAGAGGCAGGTCACACAGGTACGCGATATGCGAGATACTGTGCACGACTGAAGTCAAAGTAGACAAATAAGCGGCCGATCGTCTTCGTGGCGCACAGCTTGGGCGGGATCATCGTGAAAAGCGTGAGTGCGCTTTCCATGACTGCTGTGGTACGCTTGACTGATAGAGGCAGGCGCTCATCCACTCAGATGCTGCCCGACACGGGGCTCTCGAAGAGCATTGTTCGATCAAGCTGTCGACATACGGCATCATGTTCATGGGCACGCCGCACCAAGGTGGCAGCGGCGTCGCGCTCGGCAGGCTCATGGTCAACGTGGCGTCGGTGTTTGTGGCGGCAGACGACCGGCTACTGCAGCACCTCGAGCGGGACTCAGAATGGCTCCAGCAACAGCTTGGGCAGTATGCGCCGATCAGCAGTCACTTTGTGACCAAGTTCGCGTTTGAGGAGTATGCGACGCCAACCGCGCTTGGCCAGTCGATTATGGTCAGTTGTAGTAAAGTGATCAGCGTATACCGGCTACTTACTAACATCTAACAGATCGTTCCTCGAGCGTCAGCTGTAGTACCAGGCGCTGCGGACGGCGAGCCGATAGCGATACATGCAGACCACATTAACATGGTCAAGTTTGGGTTGAAGTCGGACCCCGGCTACAAGACAGTGTCAGGCCACCCGCGAGTAATGGCTAGAAATGCGGGCGACGCTATCGGTGGGCAGTGGGATACACAGGGCAGAGTGGACGCGGGTACGTAGTCTTGGACTAGCAAGCGTGTTGGCGAAGTAGTGGCAATAACAAGTTGTTCGTAGTTCTCTCCAACGAGCCCATTAAGTCGTTTACTGTTCAGTCTAGCGTGCCAGAGGTGTCGCACGTCGAGCGTTTTGTCGGCCGGGACGAGGAAATCGACAAGATCCACGAAGAGCTCCAGTATGACGGCTCTCGCAAGACAGTCGTAGTGCACGGCCTTGGTGGGATGGGCAAGACTCAACTAGCATTGGCGTATGCGCTGCGACATAGAGACCAGTACTCGGCAGTATTCTGGGTAAACAGCAAGGACGTGGACACGCTGAAGCAAGGCTATGCCACTGCTGCAAAACGTATCTTTTGCGATCATCCATCGCTGATTCATCTAAAGGCAATTGCTGGGGGAAGCGACCTTGACGAAGCGATGGAGGCGGTTAAAAGGTGGCTGAGCAAATCTCAGAACGATCGATGGCTGATCATCTACGACAACTACGACACGCCAAAGCTTCCAGGATGCGATGACGCAGGGACTTTCAACATTCGACCCTTCCTTCCCGAAGCCCACCACGGAGCTGTACTGATCACGACGCGGTCTTCCCAGCTAAGGCTTGGTTCTCTTGTCGCAGTAAAGAAGATGCAGAACATCGAGCACAGCCTAGAGATACTGTCGCATGCGTCTGGACGTAATGGGCTAGGTAGCGGTAGGCGCCCTTTCTATGTCATCCTACTGCAGCTGCTGACCCTAGATCAAGACCCCAATGCCCGCGAACTGGCCCAAGAACTAGACGGTCTACCACTTGCTCTTGCCACAGCTGGCGCCTACCTCTACCAGGTGTCGACCAGCCTTGCCGACTACCTTCAGCTGTACAGGAAATCGTGGCTTCGGCTGCAGCAGAAGACGCCACAGCTGCTTTCGTACGAAGATCGAGCGCTATATTCGACGTGGGACGTCTCGCTTGCTCATGTCAAGCAGCGAAGCGAGCTCGCAGCCAAGGTTCTCCAGCTGTGGGCGTACTTTGACAACCAAGACGTCTGGTTTGAGCTCCTGCAGGAATGCCGACAGGACGGTCCAGAGTGGTTTTCGGAGCTGACAGAGGACCAGCTCAGCTTTGACGAGGCGGTAAGAGTGCTCTGCGACCATGCGCTGGTCGAGACAAATACCACATATGGAGATGGCAACGTAGAATCGCGTGGCTACAGCATGCACGGCTGCGTGCACTCGTGGACAATGCACGTAGTGAACAACAGATGGGATGCCAGATTGGCTAGAATCGCGTTAAGTTGCATAGGCCTGCATGTACCAGACCACAACAGGCCTCAGTACTGGGTTGTAGAGCAGCGGCCTCTTCGTCATGCTAATCGGTGCCGAGCGTTTCTTCGTACTAGGCCAGCGGGGCAGGATGACGACAAGTCAATGCATGGAGCAATACACAACTTGGGCATGCTCTACGTAGATCAGGGCAAGCTGGACGAGGCAGAGGAGATGTACCAGCGGGCGCTGCAAGGCAAAGAGAAGGCATGGGGACCAGAGCACACATCAACACTTGACACGGTCAACAACTTGGGCCTTCTCTACGCGGACCTAAGGCGGCTTGACGAAGCGGA